AAAATCCTACAAACAATATAAATCTGTGAACAAGGCATACAACAAGGAGCCTGGAAATTCCAGAGGTGGAATCAGGTGCTTAGGAGGAGTAAGCATCCCCTTTGGACCGTTCACACTCGCCATGAGCCCTATGTATTGTTCAGATATACGGAATATTCCGTAGTCAAATTTACTATAAAAACAAATGCCTAACAAGTTCATACCACTTGTTAGGCATTTGTTAGACAGAAAAGGTGTTTTTTTAAACAAGTATAAATCCTTATCTGATTAGGTTCGTATCTCTTCAATACAATTTGCAAATATTATATCTTTATATCCTAAATATACTTTGTTGAATTTAACATCATATCAGTAGACCCTATATCACCATAATATATCATAGTATATCACTAAAAATCCCCAAAATTATACTTAAATTTCAATCTGAAGCAATTAATGATAGTTATGATAAATTAAACGTATTTAAAAATAGCTGTGCAAAAAAGCAAAACAAAAACAAAAAACAAAAGACAAAAACAACTAAAAAAAACAAAACAAAACCAAAAAAAAAAAAACCAAAAAAAAAAAAAAAAAAAAAAAAAAAACCAAAAAAAAAAAAAAAAAAAAAAAACAGGGAAAATAATCTACGGAAACCCCTTTGTGATATAATTGTATTTAAATGCTCTCTGTAGCCCAAATTTATTGCAATAAAGATGAAATATATGGAGGTAACGAACAATATTCAAGCTCAAAAGTCCATTAAACATTACAAAATAGGTGCAGAGCAAACACCGACCTCCAAAACATCAGAGGTGAGATCAGGTGCCATGGAGGAGTGAGCATCCCCTGCAGACCGGTCACACCCGCCGTGTGCTCCTTGTCATGATCGGGAAATAACGGGAAAATCCGTCGACAATTCAGTGTGTAAATAATGGCCTAACAATTAGTATGAAAAACGTCAGTCAGCATTTGACTCAATGATAAATTGTATTTGCTGTCAAGGTCATTGTATCGACCATAGAGTTTACGAAATGATGACTTTAAACGAAACTGCTGATATTCTTGTTTCATCAACTAGTTTGCCAATAATTTACCTCGTTTTAGAAATTGTACATACGTAGAGCTCTTGCATATCGAATCAACTGAGAGATATAAACTCCGTATCCAGGTGATGAAGGTATATTGATGCATAAGTAAGGGAAGTTGACGATTGAAAAAGTTAAAGTCATCACGTTTATCATAAAGCTTGGTTGTTAGATTACCATTAACGTCTTTTTCAAGTAAAATATGAAACAGATGTGTCAGACTCTGTAGTATCTTTTATCTCAAGCTCACCGGGATATATCGTATGGACATAAGAATGGAAATAACCATTGTTAACGAGGTTCGCTCCTGAGCTTTTGAGCAGATTCTTATCTTAACCTATATTTCAAAAATTCTGCATAATGTTTTAATTCTTACAATAAATTTGGATTCTACAATGCCAATTTAACTATATTCAGTTAAAACTCCATGATTAAATTCCATACCAAAAGCATTAAGTGAGGAACTATATTTTGTGGCGGAAGGTTTTTTAGAAGAAAATGATCATTTTTTCTCTTTCGAAGTATTTAAAGTATGTTAAGTTTGGATTCCTATTTTTACATGTAGTCTGCACACATAGTTATTTTGTGCAGTGGACTGTTTTATACTGGTCCTAAATTATCTATTAAAAAACTGTCATGAATTCTATCATCATATTTGATAAATATAGCAAATATATTGTGGAAATGAAGAAAAAAAATAGTCCTAATTTAAGCTTAAAATTAGCACTATTTTAGTAATATCTAAAAATTAACATCACAGACCCCCACTTTTAATTTTCTTTTCTGAATATATACGATACTTTGAACCATTCTTCTTAAATTCAGTAAAATGTCATTACTTTCAAATGATTTTTTTGCTTGTTAAATTTTAATACCAGAAAAATGAAAATGTTTGAGTGCAAAAAGGTCAAATAATTGAACATGCGGAGTAATTCAAAAATTTCTTCGTTGTTACAAATTTTAATGTGTCTATTTAAGATGAAATAAGACTATGTTTGTTTACCAGAATTTATTTGAACAAAAAATATTGAAGGAAAAACTTTAAAAATTGATTTATATGTAAGACGTATTTACAGTGCAAAAAGGTCAAACTAAAAGCTCTGTAGCGCCAAAAGAAGCGCATTGACCCCCATTTTTTGTTTTGATTTTTAATAAAGCTATGTGTATAAATTCTAAAAATATACTTGATAAAAAATTCTCATTACTTTTGATGGCAGGATCCAACCTCCTTAATTGACAATTCGTCGTCGATATATCTAAATGTCGAGTTTTATGAATAAATGTCATCAACGTGTAATGGATGTTTTCTATACAATGTGATGATGTTAATGAGATAAATTTACTTCGAATATAATAATAATCAATTACTAGTAATTATTGCATTCTTGAATAATACTTTAGAATTTACACATGTAGTTAATTTTTTTATCAAATATTTAATTGTTTTTGTTTTTTGTTTTTTGCAAATTGTATCGTCCTTTGTGTGATTCTCTTATATATATATATATATATATATATATATATATATATATATATATATATATATATATATATATATATATATATATATATTGATTTTTTGGCATGATAGTTCGATATTTTAATTAAAAAAAATTATTTGGGCATTGAAGTCTTATTTTTGGATGTCGTCGGTCCTATAACACACCTGGCCGTGCCGACAAATTGAATAATTTGAAATTGATAATTTGTCGGCATAGCCAGGTATGTTATAGGAACGACGACATCCAAAAATAAGAATTCAATGCTTATATTTACATTCTCTAATTTTCTCTCTTTATAGTTGTTTATTTCGTTAATCTTTATTATGAATTTAGCGCCTTTCAGAACTGGTGTGCTTAATAGACGTACATGTAAGAGCCGTTTGTGACGTTGGAAAGTTAAATTACGCAAATGAACATTGCGAGAAAAAAAAAAGACAATTAAGGAATGTTTCTAAGTTTTGTGTGAGTTATTGGTGTGTAAATCACACAGACTTGTCACGTAGGCATATTTCATGAAGCGCGCTAGCGCTTCATGAAAAATATGCCTACGTGCAAGTCTGTGTGATTTACACACCAATAATTCACACTAAAGTTAAAAACATTCCTTATATTTACATTTTACAAGTGTAAAAGCAGCAATAATATACTCAATTTTTGAATTTCTCGCTGCCCTATATCGTTACATTTTTATTAACGTCTCTGTAGCCTCATTGTGACGTCACTTTAGCGCGAGTTTCACCGTGTATATTTCTACGCGTGAGTATACACAAAAATGACTTTCAAATCAATTTCACAGTTGGCTTAGTAGAAAAACACAGCAAATGTAAATATATTAATTTAAAACGCACAGTTATTGTATTTTACGTTAATTTACCAGAGTAGTTGTTTTTTTTCATTAAATTGAGTCAAAACAATATACATTTTGGTGTTCCTAGATATTGAAAATGCATATGTAGTTCCTACTGTGTATTCTACCGCGCGGTGCAGGGTTTCGCGTGTGTTATAGAGATTTGAACGTCGTATATTTTTAATGGATTTCATAAAGAAAATTACACTGAATGTAAATATATATAGGTGAACTTCTGTGAAAGCTTCCACACAAATAACTCAAATTATGGACCCTGGTGGTAGTGTGGGCAATAAAGGATCAAAGTTTGCATTGAAATGTCTAAGAATTTTTAAAAAAAATCTTCTCAAGAACCACTGGATTAGAAATGATGAAACTAATGTGAAGGTTTCCTGAGGAAGTGTAGATTCTAAATTATTCAAATCATGACTCCCGGGGCTGTTTTAAGCTGGGGCCACAATAAGAGTTAAAAAATTTACAAATTTTTAAAAATTGAAATACATTTATATAAGAAACAAGATGTGTTTGTGAAACACTGATGCCCCCTTATGGCAACTTATAGCGAAGGTTAATCTTTCTCAAATGCAAATCAAATTTGTTGGTACCCAAGGTAAGGTCTTGTTTGACTCGAAGAATATTCCTGTGAAATATGAAAGCCCTAGCAGCAACCATTGAAAAGATATGGAAAAAGTTAAAGTTTTTCAAAAGTAAGTCAAACATCAAGATCATGGTCAAAATTAATGGTGCCTAAGGAAAGGCCTTCTCACAAGAAATACACATGTGAAATATGAAGGCCCTATCACCAACCATTCAAAAGTTATGGCCAAGGTTAAAGTTTTTCAAAAGTAGGCCAGACTCCAAGGTCAAGGTCAAAGGGACAAAGTTGTTGGTGTACAAAGGAAGGTCTTGTCACAAGGATAACATATGTGAAGTATGAAAGCCCTAGCACCAACTGTTCAAAAGTAATGAGCAAGGTTAAAATTTTCCAAAAGTGGGTCAAAATCCAAGGTCAAAGTTCTTGGTATCCAAAGGAAGGTCTTGTCACAAAAATTACATATGTGAAGAATGAAAGCCCTAGCACAAACTGTACAAAAGTTATGGCCAAGGTTAATATTGGGTAAAATTTTGCTGCAAAACTGTGTCAAACTCCAAGGTCAAAAGGTCAAATATGATGGTACCCGAAGAAAGGTCTTGTCACACTGAATACACATGTGAAATATGAAAGCCATAGCTCCAACCAATCAAAAGTTATGGGCAAGGTTAAAGTTTTTGCGGACAAACAGACAGACAGACAGATAGCCAGACAGACGGACGGACAGGGCAAAAACTATATGCCCCCGAATCTTCGATTATGGGGGCATAAAAAAAAATCTTCTTCTCAAGAACAGCAAGGCAATATTATATGGAAGCAATTTCGGGTAGTGTAAATTCAAATTTGTTCAAATCATGACGTCTGGTAAGAGGGTGAGGCCACAATATGTGATCAATGTTTTACAGAGGAATGAACAGCAGGGCCATAGAACCTCAGGTGAGCATTGTGGCCCAAAAGTCTCTTGTTTGCATTTTGGCAGGTTACCAAAACCCATTATGGCAATACTTTTTAGGCAGCTACGGCTTTACGTCATTGTAGTTACAGCGTTTACAATTATACTGATCTTCAGTGGGATGCGCATATTGTTTAAAACACTGGAAGGGGCGTTAGAAGAAGTCAATGAACAAAAACCAGATGATTTTAGTGTAACTGTTCATTTAAGTACATACTCTGTGATTAAATTAGACAATTTTCTCCTTCCTCCTCATCCAAAACAAGGTCATCCGAATCCAGACCGGAAGTTCTCCGAAGCACGACAGGACGAGACAGTCTATAAAATATTCCCGAAAATAGGTGGGTTTTTTATAGAACTTGGTGCAAACGATGGTCTCTATTTGTCAAATACAATTTGGTTAGAAAGACAACACGGATGGACCGGACTATTAATTGAAGCTAATCCAGGACTTTGTAAACATATCGACGATCTGAAACGCCATGCTTGGCGACTGTGCTCATGTATTTCTAAAAAGATGAGACATGCTACGTTCGTGCGAGCTGACAGTATAGGTGGAGTAGAGGAAAATTTGGACATTTATCACAAAAAACATTTCAATGTCACAAGAAAGGTAGAAGTACCGTGTTTTAGCATGTCAGAAGTCCTGGACAGAATTAATGTCCATCATATTGACTATTATTCGTTAGATGTTGAAGGAGCAGAAATATCTATTTTAGAATCCATGAAGGAAGAACTTTCTTCAGGCAAAATGACTGTAGACATATGGTCCATAGAGTACCGTGTTTGGGACGGGGAACAAACTTTGGTGCAAAAATCTATGGAAAATTTAAAGGTTATTCGAAATTTTTTCGGAGAAGTTGGTGGTTATGTTGAACATTCTCACTTATCCGAGAACAGAAACAACGCCATTGGTTATGCATTGGATGTTATGTTTGTAAATTTTAAAACTTGGTGTAAACATTATCCAAATCTTCCTAACGGAGGGACCTGCCAGAAGGAGGATAATTTATAAGATGCTCTCAAAAGGAACTAATAAAAACTTTCAAAATGACAGGTGGAGGAGCGTAAAACACGAAATACACTCCTTTACTAACATTTCTGTGGACATCAAGTGTCTGTTGTCCGTGAATTATCCCGTTCTGAATTAGGTTACAAGCACTGAAGACTATTCAATGGTTTAATAAACTTTATCTAATTTTCATCGGTAAAATCCTGTATTGACATGACATCGACTTCCATAATGACATGATAAATCTGCAACATATGATATAATAAACACATAGATGCATGCATTCTAAATTTGCATCAGCAAATTTTAAATGAAAAGGACTTGCTGATTTTCAACTAAATAATTTGAATTTTAAACTTGAGCATTTGATAAAAAGTATGATAACAATCTCTATGCTTCTCTTATTTATCCGTCGATAAATTGCTTGTAGATGTTGAATGTAATTGATCTTATGGTAAAATTGGAATGCAAAAAAAAAAAAAAAAAAAAAAAAAAAAAAACGCAATGAGATTTTTTAATTTAGTTGATCTAAGATGAAAACAATGCGGTTTTGTTTTTATATATTTCAAGAAATTAAAATTAAGCGCCGAAATAAACATTAATTTAAAAAAAAACATTGATGATATCGTTAATTATTTAAAGAATATCATCAGTTTATTTCCTGGGCATAAAATTGAATGAAAGTTCTCCTCGTCTATATTTTTGAATTACTGTACGAATTGATTCAATGGTTGTTGGCTTTAATATATTTGCTGACGTTTTGCAGTAATTGAATCGTTGCTCTCTTCAAATGCATGCGCTTAAAAATTCAATTATTGCTCTCATCTTATGAATGAATGAATAGTATCATTAAATTAATACGCACATTAATTTTAATAGAGAGCAACTATTAATTAATGTTTTCAATTCAATTCAATGTTATTCTTACATTGTGTAAAAACATAAAGAGAATACAAAACAATATCAAGCAAAATACATGATGCAAGCGTGTACAGTTGACGTGAACCTGAAGGGTACTCTCTCATAAACTATATTGATGAATTTACTAAGGTTTTTGATGACGGATACCTTTTTACGTGAAAATAAATTTAAATACTTAAAGACCCTTGCTCATCTTATGTATGTTGATGGTAGATACAAGTTTCAACAATCGTTTTAAGCTGGACATGACATGAAATATAATGGCATTCGTCTCCCCCGTCATTTTTACGTAAAGTACAAAGTCTTCGAATTGAAGGCATAGTGCTCCATCGGCCTATAAATCATAATTTTTTCTCTTTTGCTAGATGTACATGTAGGACAATCTGAAGTCCATTTTTGTTGAAATTGATCAACAAATCCATGATTTTATTGAAATATTGCCCTCTTAAAAATATAAATATGTAGCGAGCATTTATTTTTCATTAAAGCTGTAATTTTTTTAATGTAACTTAAACAAGCATTTTAAGAGTATTGCATTAGCAATGCTTGTCCCCTACCGGCAAGTGTAATCTGGTTCCCGAAAAATATTGAAAATGCCATAATTCCGTTAAAAATCATTGAAGCGGAATGAAATGCAAACTTGATGTATGACTAATCAAGTAAAGTCACATACCAAAAATCAGCTCAATATCTGCAAGCGTTTAGAAAAAAATGCGGAAAACCCTTGAAAATTGAAAAGATCGTAATTCCGCCAAAAACCAATGAAGCGGAACTAAATGCAATTTGATCTGTAACTCATCAAGATACACTCACATATATACCAAAAAATCAGTTCAATATCTACAAGCGTTTAGGGAAAAAGTGCGGAAAACCAAGTGGGACAGATTGACAGACAGGGACGGACGGACGGACAAACAGACAGACGGACGGACAGAGGCAGAGGAAACCTATAGTCCCCTCCGGTTTCACCGGTAGGGGACTAATAAAAGATATCCTCAATTAGATTAGCGAGATCAAGAAATCATATATATGTTTTGCTGATTATAGACGACAAGGACCAACTAGCAACTGTTTAACAAACGAGATGACTTCGGCTTTTCCATCGAAAATTTTCTTTATATATGTAGTAATATTCCGCTGTCACCTGAATATGGGATTTATGTCTCCCAGCTTATTCGATATTCAAGAGCATGCTCAGAGTATGATCAATTTTAAACCAAGGCAAACTACTGGCAGAAAAGTTTATGTTACGTGGATTTCAACAACCTCGTTTAAGGTCAGCTTTTCGTAAATTCTTATGGTCGTTATTATAATAATGACCTTGTTAGCAAATAGACATATATAGCTTATAAAATAATTGGGACGTATTTTGACTGACATATTTCATACCAATTGGTAGGCCTTTGTTTTCACACTAAATTTAATTTGACAATGGAATGTTCTGTCTACCTGATCAATTTATACCGGTAAGCCCCATGGTGGATGTGACCGGCCGATATGGGATGTTTACTCCTCCTAAGCAACTGTTCCCACCTCTGGAATTTCTGGGACTCTGTATTTTACAAAGCTCTTATACTTAATCAATTTTTGAGAGCAGTAATTCCACCACATTATTCTGCAAAATTCAAACGTCTTAAATTACAATGTAATTTAAATTAGTGTGCATATGGGTTTAATTTATATGAGCAATAAGATCCTTACGTCGCGGATTCGAATCCCACTGTGGGACGTGGAGACCGGTCCTTTGGATGAGGCCGTATAAACCGAGGTCCCTTGTCGTAGTAGGTGCTGGCAAGAAAAAGATCCCTCACTGCTCAATGGCCCTGAGTGCCGAGTAAAGGTCAAAATTTGCAGCTCTTCACGCAAGTGGTGGCGTCTCCATATGAGTGAAAAATTCTCGAGAGGGACATTAAACAATAAACAAACATACATGTAACATAAGAGCAATAATTAAACTGTTGCGCGCATCAAGAGCCTTTCTCTGTACACAACGATTAGGGCTTCCTGTAAGGTGTGGAACTGCTTTAATAAAAACAATGACCTAACAAACAGTATATGAAACAAAGCAGACAAATAAGAGCAAACCATAGGTTGTATTTACAAACAAGGTCATTACAACGAATGTGGAATTTGGAAAAAACTGACTTTAAACGGGATTGTTGGTATTCTTTGTAATGTAACATCAACTTACTTGTTGGTAGCTTGTCTCCTTTTTAAAACTGATCGTACTCGGAACCTGCTCTTGCGTATCGAATCAGTTGGAAGACATAAACACAATATGCAGGTGATGTTGGAATATTACTACATGAAGAAGGGAAGTTGACGATGGAAAAGCTGAAGTCATCCCATGTGTCATACAGTTTAGTTATTAACTGCTCATTATCGTCATAGTCAGTAAAACAACCGAATATGAAATAGATGCATGTGGCAGACTCTATAATGTCTTTTATGTCAAGTTCACTGGGAAATATTGAGTCGACATATGAATGAAAGTAACTACTGTAAATTAATAAAACGACCATATGGTCGATATATCTAAATGTTAGGATGAAGGTCACAGCAATTTTTCTTCTTCTCGTGTAGAAGTTTTTAATAAATTCTGCTTCATAAGAATGAAAAAACAGGATAGCTAATAAAGGAACACAGTTAGTGCCCATCCGAATTCCAACAGCTTGCTGAAAGACCTGGTCTCCAAAGACTACAAAGATACTCCAGCATCTTTTTAATATCAACTTCAGATTACTTGTATGTAGGATTAGAATGATATTTTTGAACAAAGTAGTTTTGTAGATAATCAATCATAAGTTATGAAAATCTCCAAGTTCCATTTTTATTGAGGAAGCAGTTGTCAGTCGTAACAAATGCCTGCCCTTCAATTTATCATGAGGATTGATTGTATAAATGGGCGTATAATAGACTTATGATGACAATAATAAACAAACATGAAATGAGTATGAATAACAATAATTCAATGTATTTATTTCCTTTTATACAAACTGTAAAATGTATCTTTATGTTCATCCAGGCATGGTTTTGATCACAGATAAATATTGAAAACAGCGTTTGTCAAGATGAGTACCACACGTAAAGTGTATATTTATCTAAGTGTATATCTTTATGTTCATCCAGGCATGGTATTGATAACTAATAAAGAGTGAAAACAGCGTTTGTCAAGGCGAGTACCACAAGTCAAACCATGATTTCCTATATGCATATGTGAATCAAAAATATAATTTGTATTTCATCTAATTATTCACCATTTTATATTTGAAGTATTTGCTTTTAAAATGTTCATAGAACATTTTGCGCTGACCAAAAAGTTTACCAGGTATTTAAAAATTCCACACTACATGAACAGATCGAACAGTGTTGAATAGGGCTTTGCTTTGCAAAACCCGTGCATATTGTTTGTCTGTTTCGTTAAACAAATAATCTGAGTCCTTGGGACAATTCTTGCGCTTATTCATCGTCTTGTGCCGTTATTCATGTATATTGCTGAACTTAACGGGAAAAAACGGTATGCACACATCAAATGTATTAATGATTTCATAGTAATCCTGCCTATATCGCTGCAGATTGAATAAACATGGCGTTGCTTGTTGGCGTGTTCACTACCCGTATCAGAATAGTCAATTTAAATATGGGTAAGGACAGGCCTTAATATGTTAAAGAAACACAATCGATCTGATCATTAATACAATGAACTTCTAGCCTCTCTTTACCTACTTTGTAAAATAAACTCGTCCATAATGAGCTTCATAGAAGTAGGTGTTTGATGAAAATAAACATGTATTTTGAAATATAGGAGAGGATGTAAGTTTCGAGAGGGTGGCAAAAGACATCAGAAGTTATAGGTAAGGCAACGTGGAATCATAACTAAACAAATGCCACGCTAACATATTCTAGGTAGATGATATAGTTTGTTATATGTATAGAAATGCATGTAGAAATGCCACGCTAACATATTCTATCATGTCTATAGGTAGATGATACAGTTTGTAATATGTAGAAATGCATGTAGGAAATGCCACACTAACATATTCTAGTCTAGTTATATGATAAAGTTTGTAATATGTAGAAATACATGTAGAGAATGCCATGCTAACATTTTCTAAATACTTGTGTAAATAATAATCTGTAGAAATAGAGAATGCCATGCTGATATATTTTTGATACTGTGTAAATGACAATCTGTAGATAAAGATGGAGGATGCCATGCTAACATATTCTATAGATAGACGGTAATCTGTAGAAATAGAGAATGTCATGCTAACATATTCTAGATAGACGGTAATCTGTAGAAGTAGAGAATGTCATGCTAACATATTCTAGATAGACGATAATCTGTAGATGTATAATGAAGGGATTTTGAACAATTTTGAATCATTTTAAACTAGTTAAAAATGCATTGCTAGATAACAATGAAAGTGAAATAAACCAAATTTACATGACTGATAACATAAAAGAAACTGGTCATTTTGCACTTTAAAAGTTTTTGAAGAGTTATCTGCCCTTGATGCAAAGAAGAAAATTTTAATTTCGTCAAAATATCTGCGGTAATTGATTAATTTTATTTCATATTTTAATAAAGAGAGAGTGTATGCATATTTTCACCAAGAGCTTTTTATGAAATTCAAATTACTTTTTTCAATATCTTAATAACACATGCATTGTCCATAGACTTCAATGTAAAATTCAATATGCAATTAATTTGACAATAATCAATTTTTTGTAATTTTCTTTGGTGGAGTATTTTTATTTCATAACACCTTCAAAATGATACCATAATTACAAATATAGGACCGTTCATTTATTAGATACAAAATATGGTCGTTATACATCGAATACCTTAAACATGTATTGCTTATTTCTTCTTTAACCCATTCACCCCGCCCCACTATTCGCTTTCAAAAAAAAACAAAAGATGAAAGTCACCACTTATGCAATGTAAGTAAAGGCACATATTACACATGTAAAGTGAGTATATTTTTAAAGAATATTCGTAGTACTTGATAGCTTCTCTTTTCGCAGGGCTAACTTACATCAAATCTTGTAAAATACCATAGAGAAATTCTATATGTAATTTGTGTTATCTATTGATTATGGGTGTAAATTGGTTTTATGAAATCTGGACAAAAGTAATATTAATTTCTTCAATATTTTTAACTAAACTGAGAAAAATATAACAATTGTCAAGTATCATTTAAGCAAAATACGCCAATATATATTAAATAATATAGCCTTTTGATGAGGTCGATCCATAGATACATGTATATCGACTGCACTGAAAAGCACATCGACTGTGCACGAATTGCGAAGTCGATATGCTTGTCTTTGAAGTCGATATATCTATGGATTGACCGAATCAAAGGGCTACATTTGTTACATTATTTTCTTTGGAACAAAAATGAAAGAAACAAATTCATTATTAGTTTTTGCAAGTTTTAAAGACTCTCGCTTTCGGATTTTCCTTAAGTTATTTTTAGTAACTCAAGTCATTATTGTAAAAAAGTAACTTTGCAAGTGACAACAAGCAAACCAATCAGATTTATTGAATTATATAGTAAAAATAATAGGGACTATACAGGGTCTTTTTCTTTGTGTCCTTTAAGCATGATATCTTGCTTCTAGTGTATCAGTTAATTAGTATATGTATCTCTTTGGTTGTTACTAACAATGTAGAGATTAATAGAGTTATCTATTACAAGCAGAACATTATCATGAATGAGTGAGCAGAATAGATAACTATGCATGTACAAATGGTAATTTCTAATATTAATGACCTGGCTACGGGGCCATAAAACTTAAATGAGCTCACATTTGATCTCAGACTCACTTTTTACTATTAATTCCTTTGGTAAAAGTGAGACTGAGATCAGTAGTGAGCTCGTCTAAGTTTTATGGACCTGGGGCCCGTTTTACAAAAGAACTTACGACTAAGACCAAAAACTTTAATTGATTATAAAATTTTGCAAAATTAATTATTCCGTTTGAAATTGCTAGCATAAAAATATCTTGTAAAATTCTTTTTAAAAAGATTAAAACCATTTTCAAATTAATGTAAATTAGAAATAATAAGCAGAGTTAAATTTTTGTCTTAGTCGTAAGTTCTTTTGTAAAACGGGCCCCTGGAGCTTGGAGATATGACCAGTTTATTTACAATGATAATAAATGTTCAAAATTTTCTTAATAAAACAACAATCTTGGTAGAAAACAATATATTAAGTCTTAGGACATTTGAGCTTGACACAATATTTGGAAATATACAAGTCAGTTTCCTCAGCTTTTATAATGCTGCTGCATAACACGAGGTATAAAGCATTCGGTTAATTATCATATTTAGTTTCATAGAGTACTGCAAATTTTTTCTATGCAATTTAAGCATTGTATATTTATAATGAATAATTTAACGTCATAGGAGCCAATTTTTGACACCTATCGCACATAAAATCCCGGAACATTTTCCCCCGAACAGAGTGTGAGTTCTCCAAATAAATAGAAATGGACGAAAGAAGGTGCCCAAAACACTTTCAATTTCAATTCAGTTTATTCTCACATTGTATAAAACAACATAGATAAAATAGAACAACGATATCAAACAAAATACATGATGCAAGAGTGTACAGTTTACATTAACCTGGAAGGGTAACTCTCTTATTAATTATGTATAGTATTATTTAGATTTAATAAATTGCATAGTAATTATACGAAAGCCCAGAACGCTCATTCGAGATTCATATTTCGAATCTTGAGATCACGCCTTCTGGGCTTTCATACAATCAATTAATACAGTATGAAAGAAATCAAATATGGAGTGACAAAAAGAAAGAAAAAAACCCATTTCGTTACGATGGCAGCAATGAAATTTTTCCCCAACCAATATACCAACTTTTTATTTTGCAGAAATCACTTTGCTATGATGCAAGGAATAATTTTTTAAAGTTCCAAAATGATTGATTTGATTTGAACATATTTTATTGTCTATAAACTTTACAACTGGGATTGGGCAAAAGTTCTTAAAACTTAAATAATGAAAATTTATCGAAAAATTCTTTTCTGGCTTCTGTATACTTTTTGCACGAGAAGAAATAATGATGAGTGTCCTCCACTCTTCCACAGGAACATAGGGGACCCAAAATTACATTACATCGAAAATGATCGCTATTAAGCACACAGTTGTATAGTAGCCTTGTATGTAATAAATTTAAGCGTCGAATTCCGTAACTGAAGTAAGAGGATGGCATAGTTTTATTATAAGAAAGAGACTTTTTAAAAATAGATTATGAGGAAGATTTTTTACAACAAGAGGTAATGAGTTCCATTCATCAATAACAAGGGGAATGAAAGTTGACTTATAAGTTTGTAATCTGCATTTGGGTATGTTATAGTTATGTGAATTTCTCGTGCTGTAACTTGATGAATTACAACGCGAATTTTGGATTATATCAGTCAGATATTCAGGAACCTAGTTATTATAAATTTTGTACATTGTAGTTAATCTAGTATTTTTCCATCTTTCATGTAATGGTTTCCCATCCCGTTTCAAAGTAAACTTTAGAAGCTAACAGAGTTAATCCTGTGACAATTCTAGCAGCACATAATTGTAATTTTTCTAATTTTTCGCTATCACCTACATTACATTATACCCACCCCACACCAGGGAAGCATATTCTAATTGTGGACTAATAAAGGTTGTGTACATGAGTGAAAGAGTTTTCCGATTTACAACAAATGTAAGTTTTTTTTAATAAGCCCGATTTTTTATACGCATTAGGTAGAATAGTATCAATATGTATAGACCAACTAAGATCATGTGAGAAAAAAAATCCCTAAATGTTTATGCGAAGAAACAAATTCTAGCTGACTTTGCTGGAAGAAAAGTTTAGGATAATTAACACTTCCTCTCAAGCTAAAAAATATTGCTTTAGTTTTAGATGGATTGAATTAAAGAAGCCATTTTTTCGACCAAATTTCTAGTTTGTTAAGATCATAATTCACTTTGTTTTCGATAGTATTGGCATTTTTAGATGACTGCTGTAGGGAGTTGTCATCCGCAAATAATCTACAAAAACTTGTCATTTCCTCAGCAACATCATTAACATACATAAGAAATAATAGAGGTCCTAACACTGAGCCTTGAGGGACACCCGCATATAAAGGTTTTTCGTCAGATAAGTTTCTGTATAAAACTTGTTGTGATCTATATGGTGTTCCGTTTGGACCACTCGCACCTTCGCACTCTCTCCTTTAGGGCGAAGATGCGAGAGTGCGAAGGCGAAAGTGCGAAGTTGCGAAGGCGAAAGTTCGAAGATGCGAAGGCGAAAGTGCGAAGATGCGAAGGCGAGAGTGCGAGGGTGCGAAGGCGAAGGAGCGATACTAATATTGCACTTTCGCCTTCGCATTTTACTTCTGTGGAGCTTTTTATCATTATTAGTTAATTTAAGTGGGCTCTTGGGTGTTATTGGTACGCATGCGCTAGATTGGTGTGACGGCGCCAAAATGGATGCTAAGCAATGGTTGAAATTCATTGAACAATGACGTTTTTACTAATGAATATACACTTGCTATTTTATGAAACGAGAAATAGTGTAATTGATCACTGCATGGACACTCTAATTTTATATACAATGGTAGATTATATAATGTAATGATGGTAAATGATTGTTGTAACTGGTGCATGGTGCACGAGCAAAATTATATATGTATGTAGTGGTGGTGTGCATCACAGTCTCAACTAAAGGACAGAGAACATATGATTTTATCATGATCCATAAACTGTAAAAAGTTTGATTTTGATATATCCTGGTGTAATATACATGTATATGTGCATATATGCAGTACGTAGACATACTTCGATCTTCATTGTAAGCATACGATAGAGAACTCCACAAAAAAAGGCGAAGGCGAAAGTGCAAAGGTGCGAGGGCGAAAATGCGAAGTTGCGAAGGCGAAGGAGCGATACTAGTATCGCTCCTGCGCCTTCGCAACTTCGCTTTTTCGCCCTCGCACCTTCGCGCTTCGCCGTTGCATCTTCGCACTTTCGCTCCTTCGCCTTCGCAACTTCGCACTTTCGCCTTCGCAACTTCGCACTCTCGCATATTCGCCCTAAAGGCGAAGGTGCGAGTGGCCCCAACGGAACGCTACTTTATGAAAAGAGAAATAGTGTAATTGGTCACCGGACACTCTAATTTTATACACAATGGTAGATTATGTAATGTAATGATGGTAAATGATTGTTGTGACTGGAGCATGTGCTCGAGCAAAATTACAGATATATATGTAATCGTAGTGGCGGTGTGCATCACAGTCTCAACTAAAGGACAAGGAACATAATTAAGATTTTATCATGATCCATAAACTGTAACGGCGATTGGTATCATTAAAGAATTAGAGGACAGTCGGGGTAACGACATGATGTTTTAACAGTAATTAATACATCTCGGACTGACCAATTACCCCATAATTTTAATCTGGAGAGCCCTAATTACCTCCCAATCAGCCTAAATAAATATATGAAAACGCGAAATTATCAACGTTTAAGAAGGAATTTCTTTTTAAAAAATTAATTTTAAGAAGATTGCCTTTATTTTTACATATAGTAAATTTTTTTCGACTAACCGATTACAGTTTTTTTAACCGATTGCCATCGTTCCGACCGAGTAATCGGTTAACCGGTTAGAAATCGCCATCCCTAATTTTGATATATCCTGGTGTAATATAAATTTGCATATATGCAGTAGATATACTTCGATCTGCATTGTAAGCATACGATAGAGAACTCCACAAAAAAGGCGAAGGCAAAAGTGCGAAGGTGCGAGGGCGAAAATGCGAAGGAGCGATACTAGTATCGCTCCTTCGCCTTCGCACCCTCGCCCTCGCAACTTCGCGCTTCGCCGTCGGATCTTCGCACTTTCGCTCCTTCGCCTTCGCAACTTCGCACTTTCGTCTTCGCAACTTCGCACTCTCGCATCTTCGCCCTAAAGGCGAGAGTGCGAAGGTGCGAGTGGCCCCAACGGAACACCATATTTATGCCATACATGATCAAATGCTTTAGAAAGATCACAAAATATCATGCAATAATTTTCACCGTCGTCAATAGCTTTAACAATAGTGTCATATGTTTTTATTAGTTGATATACAGTGGAATGACCTGGTAGAAATCAAGCTTGGTACTTAAAAAAAAGATTGTTATCACGAAAGCGATTGTACAAGTGTTTGAATATGATTCGTTCCATTACTTTACCAATACAACTTAACAATGACACGGGTCTATAATTAGACATAATAGAAGGATCATCTTTCTTAAATAAAGGGAGAACATTAACAACTTTCCACTTACAAGGAAAAATACAATCAACTAATGACCTGTTAAACAATATACATAACGGTTTTACAGTAGTATACATTGTGGATTTCAACATCTTATGACTAATATTGTCTGGGCCTATTGTTTTGTTAAAAGGAAGAATTGAAATAATAACTATAATCTCTTGTTCACAAATACAGATGGTATCAAATGTGCTATTGCAAAAAGAAATAATCCGGAACACAGCGTCGCTATCGTCAATACAAGTTATAGAAGCAAAATAATCATTTAAAACATCTATGTTTTTCTCTTCATTTGAAAAACTAAAATGATTGGCTAGGCAAATGTTGTTACATGTACATGCTACTTGAAGCAAGTCACATGCAATATCATTTATCATGAAACAAATTTCATATATATTCTCGATAATGACTGGTCACTGACACTCAAATATTAAGGTCATTTTCCCTTTCTTGAAATATGTATACTAGCACATGAAATTAAACTTATGATTGACATAGAGTAATCTCTGCCGAGATTCGGCACATGACGTCACCGAAAGCATCAGTCCAAACGAATCTCGGTCAAGATTATACCGGAAAACACTGAGATGTTCTAGAGAAATAATGCTTTCAAACAATTTGATTATTCATATCTCCTCTAGCGTTTGACACAGTTAATATGAAGGAGGATTAGTGGTCAATAAATTACCGAACAGATTCACCTAAAAATTTGAAATATGATTTTGCTAGCCGCAAGTTATTATTAATTAAAAAAAACACGGTGCATCTAAAATACTATTACATTTTCTGACATGTAATTTTTGTGCAGAACTTTTCTTTTCTCGGTGACTTGAATAATATAAAAATTGCAATGACATTCGAACCCTCCCAATGCCTCAATGTTGAGTATAATATGACAAACAATATATAAGCACAAAGTTACCATCTCAATGATCACGTGACAGTACTAGGTCTGAGTTTTCTTCTTTCAATAGGAACAGTTATACAGACTTTGTGTAACCGATTACTTTTCCTTGTTAAGAAACCACATTGCTACAATGTCTACAAGAAAAAAAAAACACACTAAAGTTTCAAGAATATTAGCTTGATCGTTACTTAAAATAATGTACAATGTCATGTAATTGAGAATTTTCATATTTCGTGTGTTTTCGTCGCGATAATGACTACTGATGAAAGCACAACTAAACTGCATGATTTTCATTTTTGTGAAAAAATAAGACCGGGGGTATATAAGTGGTGTTCTTTTAAGATTGTACAAGCTATCTGCCAGAACCTCTGGGGACAAACTTATTGGTGGGGATCACCTCATGATCATAATAATTCTTTTCTTTACATGGTATTCTCTGTTCCATGTACAAACTTCCTGAATTTTTACATTTATAGCAATGTCTGACAACCGTCCCTTAAGATCGAAACCGGTCAACAATAGATATTTACTTAAGCATTCTTACGATGTTTCCGGTGACCTGTTCATTTCTTTTCATTAAAAATTCAAATTAACCACGTAGTGGGAATTTCAACGTAAAGGTTTAGTTTCTAGTTTTGACTTTTTTTTTAAATTTTAAAATATCATACAAAATAATGACTTATTGCTTACAATTTTTTTTAAGTCGGGTGTATTTTCGATTTTTCAGGTTGCACAAACCATCATGGCGATAATTTTGAGGCAAAGGCAGCGATACATTATTGCCGCAACAGCAGTTACAAGTTTACTTCTTTTCTGGATTTATGTTTTGCTAAAAGAACCAGAGGAAATCAATGAACAAAAACCAGATGATTTTAGCGTAACTATTAATTTAAATGCATATCCTGTAATCAAATTAGACGATTTTCTCCGTCCTCCTCATCCCAAACAAGGTCATTCGAACCCCGACCGGAAGTTCTCCCAAGCAGGACAGGATGAGGCAGTCTATAAAATTTTCCCAAAATCTCTTGGGTTCTTCGTAGACATTGGTGCAAACGATGGTCTGTATTTGTCAAACACAATATGGTTAGAACGAAAACACTGGTGGACCGGTCTATTAATTGAAGCCAATCCAGGACTTTGCAAACACATCGACGATCTCAAACGCCATGCTTGGCGGTTGTGTGCATGCATATCTAACAAAGTGAGGCGTGCTACATTCGTGCGAGCTGACGGTGTTGGCGGAGTAGAAGGAAATTTGGACACTGATCACAAAAAACAATTCAATGTCACAAGAAAGGTAGAAGTACCGTGCTTTAGCATGGCAGAAGTTTTGGACAAAATTAATGTCCACCATATTGATTTTTATTCACTAGATGTTGAAGGAGCAGAAATGGTCATTTTAGAATCCGTGAGGGAAGAACTTTCTTCAGGCAAAATGACTGTAGACGTATGGTCCATAGAGTACCGTGTTTGGGACGGAAAGCAAATTGTGGTGCAAAAATCTATGGAAAATTTAAAAGCTCTACGAAAGTTTTTCAGAGAAGTTGGTGGTTATGTTGAACATTCACACTTATCGAATGACAAAAACAATGCCATTGGTTATGCTTTAGATGTTATTTTTGTGAATGTAAAAACTTGGTGTAAACATTATCCAATTCTTCCTAACGGAGAACCATGCTGATATTGTAAAATTCGTCTAATATTCCAAGGAGAACTACGAAACCTCTCACTGCTTAACTGTTACTGAATCAATAGGCTTCATACGAACGCCTTTATGTTTTGTAATCGTAAGTCCTGGACCTGATAGAAGTAAACGGTTCACAACAATAGCATCACATGCTTTTGTGAAAGAAAAGTCAGTTCGAATTCAAATATACTCAAAAATTTGTGATGTGTTGAATGTTTCATCTAAAATATGAAAAAGGGTAATAAATGGTTGTTTTTTAAGTGTGTTACTATTGTATTGAATAATGCAAATCTTTTTTTAGGCATCTATCTATCCTATCTTTTCATAAATTCGTACAATATTTTTTTTCTGCAAAAAGAGCAGTACCAGGTAAGAGCTAAGAGGTAAAAAATATAACAAATTACCTGAAAATCAGTTTTATACTTCATGTATCTGCTTTAAAAAAGCAATAAGATGAAATAAGCAGGCCCGTAGGAAGCAATTTCACTTTGAGGGGGCACAAACATATATTTTCAGCTGGGGGGGGGGCACTATCGTCTACCAAAATTCCTTGACAAGCAAAAAAAAAAAAAATGGTCAGACGTTATTTGAGGGGGCACAAACATATAGTAGCTATGTTTTCTATAGCATTCTATATATCGGCAAAATTATTGCGTGCCCCCCCCCGTGCCCCCCCGGTTCCTACGGCCATGATAAGTATTTTATTCTATCAACCAAACCTCGAACAAACAGAACATTTTCATCATATAGAAGTTGATCGTAATGTTTTACTTATACTGAGCAAACTTTTATAAGTCGGGTCGAAAGAATTGCAATAGTTTGATACATTTGACAGAGATCTTGTTGAAGCAGAATATTAAAGTTTTAGAAGAATCATATAAAAGTGTTTATAATGTTGTGATAACGGAGAATTCACATTATTTTTTATCATGCCAATTCAGCAAAATTGTATCAAATTCGTTTCCACTTGTCCTGTATTTATTGCATTTATATTGCATTCACATGCCCTACTTAATACTAACCATTCTAGATCTATCAGGAAAAAAACCTATCCATTTCGTTATAGATAAGAAAGTCATTTTTTTAATTTTTCTAACTCCATTGGAAATATACAGGTACATGTATCTTAATGGATTGTTTATAAATATACTTAGTTAATACAGTACTAAAAACACAAAATATTACATAAGAATGCCCTCTTTGAATTAAAAAAAAATTTAGTTCAGAACACATGTAAAAAAAAAAAAAAAAAAAAAAACTTTCGTTTTTTAATCAAAAAACTCTCGTTTTTTAATCGTCTGATAATTAAAAAAAAAAACCTTCCTGCTCAGAAGTCAGAAGACCCAACTCTGTTTTATGCAGACTGCTTGGAGAAATACAAGATGATCAAATACAGTGTATTTGTTTTGTAGTTGATAACCTGATATGTTTTGCATGGATTTCTGCAATTTATTTCATATGAAATATTGAAATTTACCAAATAAATAAATTATTGTAGCTTGAGTGTAAATTATTTTCTTTATATATAAGTACACAGATTGGAAAGGTTCGATAATGGAATACATTTGTACCTTGACATTACTGTAACGTTCTTATTTTAGCGATAATACTTTTAAGGCGTTTTTGCACTGCTTCTCGGCCGCTAATTCTACGACATACTAATATATGATTAATATAGATACATATAGAATGCGCTCATTCATGGTTAAGCTAATCAGCTGATGAAAAAGATTGTCCAAAAATTCTGAGTGCGCTAATTAATCGCAGTCTTGACAGCCTATCTTTGTCATTTTATTATATACATGTACATGTACATATGATGTTTTTCAAATAAAAGATGATGTGTACTCACAAACTCCGTCCACCTCTCCCCGGACCCCACAGGCCTGGGGACTCATCTGAATACCATGTGTGGATTGTGCGTTGGAAAACCATGGAATTAAACAGCTTTTTCAATACCATTTCCTCATACCAAATAAACATGTTTGTTGATTTTTGGTGGTGTATGAGATCAAACATATCTCGTGTTTCTTTGCACTTCTTGAAAAATTTAGAAAAAAAGAATTTTCTTTCTTTCTTTTAACAAGTTTATTTCAATTTCTTTCTCACAATGATTTTTTAGTACTTTTTTCTATACAAGTGACACGTTTTTGGGAAGATCTTTTTCATGGATATAAATATCTAACAAATGATGATTTTTATTTTCATAGATAATTTTTATTTAAAAAAAATTAAATGTGTACCTGATTCTTCTTGTCATAATTTATTTAACTTATGCATTTATTGATAGCAAATTTTAAGCCCTTTTAAAGTATATTACAATGTATTTGCAATCGAAACATTTTTTTCATTCTCTCTCTCTAAAAAAAGAAAAGAAACTTAATTAATAGCAAATTTAAGTTCTTTTAAAGTACACGTATCTCATTTGCGAAAAAAAAAAATTCAATTCTCTAGAAAAAAAACTTTATAATCACAGTACATGTAAATAATAAGGAGCCTATAATCCATTTCTCAAATTCAAAGGACTTCAGTAATAATTCGTTGAGATCGGGATCGGAGGCCCGGTTAATTGTGACGTCACAAGCTTGTTGCCGGGAAGCTGAGAAGAAATGGGTAAGTATTTAAAACTAGGCCTACAGAATTTTTGTTCTGGTAATCGTGCAGGAATTAAAGCAGTGAAAGGTTTAAAAGGTCTTTCTAGTTTTAGTAGATGACTTTTAGTGAACAATTTTACAATTTGGTATGAAACCCTGAGCACATGGTATCCTGCTCCATCACCATCGAGCATTTTCATAATTTTGAAATGTATCTGCTTAAACTTAAAAGAATGCAAAGCAATAAGCACTTTTTTCTCTAATTTTAAGTAATAAAGAAACCTTTCGTAGTTAGTATAAATAACCATTCATTGCCAATCAGAGAAAACGTTGACTGAAACCTAAGTACTATCACATTCAAATGAATTGATATAAACACATCATCTTCATGCATTTTATTATCTATGAATATTAAAAAATACAAGGTAGAGTAATATATTTCTTATATAATTTCAATTAAATATCGTTTTTTTTTGTCTGCATGTTTATCAAAATATTTTATGTAAAATACCTGGATGTCAAGGAACAGAATTATCTGGTGATTTTAATCACCAACTTCGACAGTGAAAAAAATCACGTTTTGTACAATAAGGCCAACATTTTTTAATAAAATGATTTACGGGAGCGCCGACTGCAATTTTAGCTAAAACCAAATAAAAATAAAAGTCCCTGTTGTTGTTTTTATTTTTAAATTTCCCGCCGATCGTAAATGCAAGTGCACTAAGAAAATAAAATAATGTGCAATTAAGTCGGCAAATCTGATTGGCTGCTTTATTGAAAGCCATTAATATCATCCAATCAATTAACGTTTGTTATCAACTGTTTCGGAAGTGTATAAAACATGCCAACATGGATGCAGAAATGTCAAATTTTACAAAAGTTGAGAATACTTTGTCCTTATACACGACAGTTTTTCCAAGTCAACCATAGCTAACAGGAAAATCAATTAGAGTATTCCGATAACGAAGTTAAGTTGGAGTTAAAAAGAAATTAAAGAAATGATCAGGATAATATGTTGACAGGATTGTCACTTTCGCGGTGGGTATTGTATAACTTACAGAGGTTCTCTTTTCCAATTTTGATACCTTTGATGAACGTGATAAAAAAATGGAAATTGAAAATAGACGTTCCAATTCTGTGAAGAATAAAATGTGAGGTATCTAACTTCAAACTTGTAACATTTTAAAAAGATCATATGCGGCACTGTACAGACTGGAAATTCATATGTATTTTGTTGTGTGTTACATGTAAATAGTTTTAGAATAGATGTAAATAGACACTGCAAACGAAACGGTATTTAATGTGTTAATACCTTCAAGCTTTCAGAAGTTTGTTCATATGCATTAACATATGCTGTATTGTAAAACACAGGTTTAAATCATGTTTTTGGGTTTTGTATTATATTGAGATTCTCTTTTTAACAATATTTTCCATTTTTGAATTGTTGGTACATGATTTTTTTTTCCAGTACTTTGAGCATAGTGAGGTTCTCATTATAAACTTTTTTTCTTGAGTCATCTTGTTGTGGTCATGATGATGATGAATATTTTGATAAATTCCTTAGAATCCCCCCCCCCCATTTCTCATAAGGGTTTAATAGTTTACTTTAATTTTTGTGTTGCTGTAATCATATTTTAATTAAGCTCCACACTGTACATGGCAATTTTTATCGAATAATTGAAAATAAAAAAATCAGATACTTTTTCTATTTTTATTTTTATTTTTTTAGTCGACTGCGTAAAATTTGGAATTTTATTTTTATTTTCATTTATCCCCCCCGACCCAATTTTTCAAAAAAATTTCCCGTAAATCATTTAATAAAAAAATGTTGGCCTAAAGTTATATTTTTGTGAAATACCATCTCTTGAAACATGCGCACCTTTAATCTATCATTTAGTGTTGTACCGATAATCAGAAAACATCGATTGTCGACGAAAAAATGCTACTGATTCCGATGATCAATTATAATTTTTCATAATCGATTATCAGAAACATACTTCCAATATATATATTTCATAATTATCCATTTCTGGTTTAAAATTTATTTCTTCTTAATGAAAGAAAATGGTGTCTGCATCTGATACTAGCCAACTAGCATGAAGCAGAGGTAATTAAGAACCGAAAGGTGCATATATAGGGCCTAAAAAAATTATGTTTGTTTCCTGTAACCCGACCGACCCATTCAATTTACAACCGGGTGGATTTTTTTCTGCCAAATCTGTGTTTGCTTTTTGATTTGATCAATCAGCTGATTCTTTTTATTAAAGAAATATTAATTGTATCTTTTATTTGAGATATAAAATATGCAACTTAGTCAACATCTACCTTAAATATAAAGAGTAATCCATTCCCCCTACAACTTTTTGAAGTTCGTTTTCTGCCGCTAGGCAGCCATGCTGGGTGTTCAGTGTATAACACCTAATAAAATTGCGCATCCCTAATAATTATATAATTACTTGTATACATCCTGGTCGAAAGATGCGTGGTTCCATCTTCAGGTGGATCCTCCTTCATCAGCTGTTTCGGCGCTGTCCACTACGGCCTCCAGAGGTACGCCGACTGGGGTGATCAGGTCCCAGCCCGGAACCACTGGCTTAACATCACTGCTGTTCTATTTTACTGTCTATATCACTGCTGTATTTTAACTGTCTTTCCACTTATCTGCCCTTCTTCTCCACAACCACATAGATGCTAACTCTGCCTCCCTACACACACTCCCTATCAATATCCTTCTCTCTGCTCCAGTAATGCCAGTGACTCTCAGTGCCCTCCACAAAGATTATCCCACAAATTCTCTACATCCCACTTCTACTGCGAAAAACCAGACCTTCCATCCATCTTGTTGACAATCCGTCACTAGGTCTTGGTACTTTAGGTTTTTCCTCTCATACACATCCTCCATTCTACCTTCCCATGGTACTGTTAATTCCAAAAGAATCATCTGTTTTGTTGCCACTGACCAGATAACTATGTCAGGCCCCTCTTGTTTGTAGCTGTTATCTCAGGTGGAAATTCCAATTTTTTCTTGAGGTCTGCCCGCATCTGCCAATCTGTTGCTGTCCCCAGCAGACCATTTCCTTCCACGCTAACTTTATGTCCTTTTTCACCTTCTTTCACAAAGTTGACAAATCTCAGGCCCTCTCTGTTTTTCCTTGGCTTTTTGATACTTCTCTCCAAGGTGTCAGCTATACTGGCTAGAACTTTATCATGTCTCCAAGTGTATCTCCCATCTTTCAAAGCCTATGAGCATGTTGATAATATATGCTCCAAGTTTGCTGGTTTACTACAGAGAGCACAGTTTGGATCATCTGTCATTCCCCATGTTAACTTACAAGATTAGTTGGGCTGGGAAGAATATCGTAAACAGATTTCAGCTTAAATTGAAGTCTGAATGGTTCCATCTTCCAAATATCATTCCACCCCAATTTCACCTGGCATGTATTCTCCCAGTTCAACCAGCTACGTTGTTTCTTCATTTCAACTGCTTTCACCATTCTTGAATCTTCCTCCATTGTACACACTTCTTTCTGTACTAAATTTTTTTTTCTCCTCTACTGAAGCTGTCCCCCATCTTGCTGTTGGTGTGACATCAAGCCTTTGTCTTCCTATTGCCTGTCTTCCAACTATATCACTGATTCTCAAGCGGGATTCTGCTTCCTCTATAGTTTCCTTAACTGACCACTCTCTCCCTGTCCTAAGTTCTACCTTCTCTGTCCGTACCTTCTCATCCTTGCTATTCTGTAACATTAAATGTTGACTCACTTCTGTCACCTTGAATTCCTCAGTAATAGACTTAAGAGGTAACTGTAGCTTTGTCCCAGAGCTATATAAACCAACACTGCTGAAACTTCGTGGAACCCCCAGCCATCTCCTCAGATATCTGCTTGCTGTTGTTTCCATCCCTTCTACTATGGTCAAGGGTATGTCGTACACCAATAGCAACCATAAGAGGCGTGGCAATATCCCATGTTGGTAAATCCATGCTTTATATTTATCGGGCAGTCCACTTTTATCCACAGTTTTCATCCATTAATTCATTCAGCTGTCTGCATGTTTCTTTCACATTCTGCCTGTCTGTTAATGTGTCGTTGAAGAATTTCCCCAAGCATTTTACTGGCTTCTCTGAGACTGTTGGTATTGTCTCTCCATCAATCTTGACTTAAGTTGTTATTTTCATGATTTTGAAAAAAAAAGTTTTTATGTATCATCTGTCCTTAAAGATTTATTTGTTTTAAACAACAAGTCAGAATTGAAAAAGTAAACAATTGTAGATTTTGAACAGTTCAGAATCTCTGTTATTTATGTCTCTGGTTGTAGGAAATGCAACCTTTAACTGTATATGATATTCTAGAATACAATCAATTTATTTTACCATGTCCAAAGATAAGAAACATTGTTTCTTTCCCTTTTGATATTTGACCCCCACAAATATGATACATAAATACTGTAATTTGGAATAATGTCCCAGCCTCACATCTTTCATACCTTTCCCTTTTGATTTTCCATTAATGAATAAGCAAAATTAAGAAAAATAAAGGTATTTGAAATATTTAATGGTATCATTTTCAAGTGACACATTCTTTTGCTATGATATAGCTGCATATGCTAAGGAGGGGTAGTATATAAGGAAATTTTTGGAAAAGATGGGGGGATTGTTAATCCAAGATCAAAGGTGGGGGTCTAGGGATCACCTTAACCTGTAGTTAAAAATTGAAGTGCCATTAATAGATTTAGGATCAAGGCTATTTCTAAGAAACCCTACAACGATCAAATTTTCATGGATAATGCATCTAAGGATACACATAACCAAACTTGTTTCAGATGCTGGATCTCACCTACATTGTCAATGAATGACCAGGTTAAAGTTTTTCAAGCAGTTCCATTTTCCAAGTAACTATAAACAATTATTATGACTAGATAGCATGTATGATGCATCTAGGGATGCACACTACTAGAATATTCATTTGATGTGACTACTACTACTTGTACATTTTATATAACAATCTTCATAATCTTTGACTTGTCTAAGATATTATTGAAAGGATATGCTAATTAATGTCATTTCCTTGCCACAATTTTTACTTTCTAAAAATGTCCATGACCTTACCATTTCATCAATTCTTCGACAAATGACTTGACTATTAGCCAACTCCCAGTGGACCTAAAAAATCCTGAATGATAGATTATGACTAAGGAAAAGAACTTCATCCAAATGGATGTGAATTATCCGGAATAGCAGAATACTAGGGTTAGTGATATATTGCATATCCAAGAAAGGCTCACATATACAATAATATTAAAGATGTTCTGAGAATTTTTAAAAAACTTGACCCAAAGAAATAGTCTCTAATCCATGAATAAAAAAGTTCTGATTTTCTGCCATTAACTGAAAACCAGTTAGTTTAACACAGTTTATGCCATACAACCTACTGTATTTGATTTTGATTCAATGTTCTGTAATATATGAAAAATAAAAAAATCTGTAAAGCAAAAAAATATTTCTAAGGAACATAGTTTTCTGATATTTACCTTCCCAGTGACCTAAACCTAATTACTATTCCTTAGTTTACATTTACCTTAGTTTCTTTCAAAGGACTGTTTCAAGTGATTTTCATCAATTAGTAATTTCATTAATTTTATGACCTTGACCTTCAGCATGTCCTTTAACCTCACTTTTCAAGATATTTAAATCAAACTTTATACAGAAATAGATATTGGTTAGAGCAATTCAAGATTTTCTGACCTTGACCTTTCTTATGAGGTTAATCTTTCTGTAGCCCTTTACTTCACTTTTCAAGTTTAGATGCACATTTATGAGAAATTCAACTGTGTCATTATTTTCTTAGCTTGACCTTTCTTATTACCACATAGTATATTGAATTTCACTTTATTTTAATTTTTCTCTTTTTCCATAATTCAATACCACACAGGTTTACATCAGACAACTCCTTACATGTAAATAAATCTTTATCAGAGCATTTCAACCATACCTGCTTAAAAGAAGCGATCATACATGAATTTGCTTACATATCTGAGAGAATGTACTTTATATCTGGGACTTAATTTAACTGTTAGATGGGATTTATCAATACTAAACATACCAAACTACAAAAGACAACAACTGTGCTTATATATAAAGGGTATCAGGTCTGTAGTGTATGTGACAAAAATTTTAAAATTATTCTTTATTTAATCATATTTCACAATCAGCTCATACAAAAGAAACAAGGTACATTTCTTTTAATGTTGCATTAAATATACATTGGATGGGGCATTCATAACCTAATGGACATATTTCTTGTTATAATATAATACTGGAGATTAAAATTGTAGAAATTATGACCTGTAGGGTCAAAGGGAGGTCCAGTTGTCAAAATGAAAATTGTTACTCGGGTCAGCATTGTGGCCCATGAACTTTTATTTGATATATTCATCATCCTTAAAGCAACATTTAATAGGTGCATTTTTGAGAATTTTATTTTGTTGTTAAAATGTGTTATTCTGATAAATTTGTATGTAATTTAAACCTTTACGATCAATTAGACAGAAATAAAGTATCAAATTGTTTCAGAATAAAGGATTCTGTACAATCAAATATATAGTATTATATAAGAAATCAATATTGTACAGGACGACATTACTGTAATTATGCCTCAATCAAAGCTTATAAATAGTTCTATCACAAATATGTACAACAGAATTTATATTAAAACATTCTTTTTTTTCTGTCATTGAAATTCGCAACAAAAATTTCTGACATGAAAGTTGCATCTCGTATTGCTTTAACTGATTATATAATAATTTATTTGAACTAATAATCCAAATTAAATAGACAAGAATTAAACTTTAAACTTAGAGGAAAGCTTTATTTTGGCAGGATTAGAAAATTCATTTTGGATTAGCAGAACTAACCAGACTTACCTTATGGCCGTGTACAATAAATGTGTTAGAGATCTAGGACTAATCTTCAGTTTGGCACAAGTTTGTATAATCTGGCAGATTTTGTTGTAGGTCACTGTGTTGCAATGGAGAGGAGAGTTTAAATTTTGTGGCTGGATCCTAAAAGGAAAGGTAAGGCGAAGTTAAATATTAATAAAAATCAGTCAAATGATTGGGGGAAAACTTCACAGGATAACCAATTAATGGCAAATCACTTTATTATCTCAATTTCATGCATATATATGACCTTCCTTTTTATTTTTAAAGAAGCCCCATTTTGGTTACTTTACATAGGTATTTAACTCTTAAAAATCCCAGGGCAGGTGGGGTCTACACCCCCCCCCCCCCCCCCCCACTACCACCACCACCACCACCACCACTTGATCCGTGCATGTGTAATAATTTGTTGCAAGTGAAAATAATATGAATGATAGAAGTGCTTAAGATATACTGTAAATGAACTATTATTCCGGGCACTTTTTATTTGGTAATTATCACCAGTTAAAATATTAATCCAGGACTGACTATTGATTATTATACATGATAAATATAGTTACAATAAAATAAATGATTTTCAGCAAGATGTAAATAAAATCTAGTCTACCACATTTGTTTGTAGAATACAATGTAGTTCAAATTTACAATTGAGCTTCAATGTTTTCAGTCCCTCCCAGGTTAAAGTTCACAATGCTGGAGGAGGAGGATCGCTGGGATAAACTGAAGAGCTGGGCCAATGTACAGCATGACATTCAGACCCGTCTCCAGGCCCTAGACAAGTTTGACCAGAGTGTGTCACTCCACCACGGTCCACAGGTATCATTAAGGTTTAGTGATCCTTTACTTAATTACATCACTATTAATCAACTTAAAAGGTCATTCCTGTAAATTTAATTTTCCCCTCAAGTTATGTTGAAATTAATTTGCATTTTAAATATAATTTTGATTTCTTAAAAAAAACACATATACAGTCAGACCTCATTATCTTGAACTCAAAGGGACCAAGAAAAAAACTTTTGAGATATCTAATGATTTGAGATATTGAGGTTAAAGTAGGTACTTAAAGAAAGTGTGCTTGGGACTTACAAATCACTTTTACATATCCATGGTATTTGAGATATCAGTTTTCGAGATACCAAAGTTCAGCTGTACTTTAAAGCAAAATTTGATATGACTGAACACAGGGATGTGGAGTCTTCATCTTTGCTAGCCAAGTGTCCGATTCGTTTACCCTCATTGGCTAGCGAAGATGTGGAGTCTTTAGCAAAGGCAGATATTTATATATTATAAATACTTGTCAATACACCTATGATGCATGCATTATTAATGAAATTCAAATAAATCTTTACAGTTGTATCACACCCTTCGGCATCCATCTCACATAAAGTGTATGACACACTTTACTAGTAATGTAGGAGAGAACTTTGTGACCCATTACAGAATTGGGACGATGGACCACTTCTCTGTCTGGAATATGGAATCAAGGGAACGAGATGCAGCATGTAACCAAAGAAGGTACTCCTCCAGAAAATCATACAAACATTATTTTAAAAGTTCACCTCAGTCAATATTAATATTTTTTCAGGTGAATATCCAACCATATTCAGCACCAAGAGAGTCCATAATTTGTACTGAATGAAGGGATGAAAAAACGATTTAGCACAGGGTTAAATTATACATTTTAGGTTTAACATTGATGCTGAGATCACAACCTTGATGTTTGTTCCTAAGCACAGAGTTTACCTGGGATTTGGGTCAGATTTAGTTATGAGGGTCTACACTGATGCTATGAGTGGCTGCAAGAATGTGGGGTCAATTCCTTGTGATACCACCATCTTATGGTAAGTTCTTGTGTTTATTTAGGATATTCAACACGAATAAATTTATGTTAAAGACACGTACATGTGTGATACTTTTATTATTATTAATTGTTACCTTATTTCATGCAAATAGCACTGCTCTGGATTTTAAAAATTCAAAATTTAAAAGTTAATTAAGTTTAAAACTGTTAGTTGTTTTATGTTCTTTTTTTAAAGATGTACATTTAATGATTTTGCAGCATTAATGAAGATTATTTAAGTTGTCTTAAGTTTGGTTTTTCAAAAGTTTGATGCGTAAAACAGCTTTTCATTGACTTTTCTGATTTCTCTGCCATTTCAGCATGTCTTACAACAAAGACACAGATGAGGTTTATGCAGGGGGAATAGGAGTTCTGGAAAAGTGGAAGTTTACGGGGTCAGAGGTAACCCTACAGAAAATATTTACTTTTTAGATTGGTCTTATATTTTTAGCAATGTGTTAGACTGAAGTCTTGTATAATGAGCTAGATGACTGGTGGATAATGTGACCACTTGTTTCTTTTTTTAGCACTCAGCAGTTGCTCAGAGGGGTGAGATGTTTGACACAGAATTAAGATCGGATGAGGTAACTTATCTTGTTTTGATGAAAATGTACTTTTTCTGCAAAAAAAAATGTTTACTAAATTTCTTGTTCATAGTAATGTAGCATGTTTGTTAAGACCAAGATATTTATTTTCAAACTCCATATAGAAAATTAGTTTTGTCACATCACTTGGAAACTTGAAAAATGTAGTCTGAGAAAAATTTTCATTGCAGACTTTTTGTAAACTGATGCATAGGTATTTTAAAAACATGTATGTTATATTTTGAAACAGTGGGTGATAGATATAAAAGTAGATCCTAGAAACAAACAGATGTTGGCTTTAACCCATGATGGAATATATGTTGTCAGTTTTGTGGTAAGATCCTGAATTTCAACAAACTAAAATTTTGTATCTATTGATAAAGTGAGCATACATAGTAAAATCAAACTATTTTTGCAGAGTATGAAACAGACACATTTACTGCAGAACAGACATGAAGGCTCACTTCGATGGTAAGTTAGGTTTCATGTACATGTGGAAGAGAAAATGGAAAACCAACTGTAATGAGAGTGAGAAATATCCACAAGTTTTCTGTCCTACTTTTTACTCAATATCTAGCCAAGAAATCATTTTTTAGTTGTGTATTTGATGTAGAATCTAAAGTTAACAATTGCAGATTAATTTCAAAGTAATGAATTGCAAGTGAAGCTGGTTTATTGATAGCATTTATTTTGAAATCACACAATCAACAGCATTGCAAGGAACTACTATGGAGACTGATTACTATTTTGTCCTTTTCAGCTGTTCGTTCTACAAACAGCGGGAGTATTTCATAACAGGTGGTGGGGATGGACAGGTCAAGGTGAGAAATTATTTGTTTATTTAGACTTATATTGTGTGCAGGTATAGAATGGTGTACTTATTTTCATGTATTTTTATATGTTTCCAGTGGATTAGTATTTTAATGTATAAGGTTTAGTGTTATGTTTTAGATTAGAATAATGTTGTAATTTGTTATATGCTATAGGTATGGAATGCAGTAGTGTTCACACAAGTCCATGTGTTTTATGGTCATCGCGGACCAATCACAGGGCTCCAGGTCCACAGTACTGACCCTCTTCTCTTCTCCAGCTCCATGGATGGAACAGTACAAATATGGAGGATGGACAACTTTAGCAAAGTAGGAAAATTACTTTTTCTATGGATATATGTGTCATTTATAGCATTCTGATTTTCCAATTCTTTAAAATCACTAATTTTCATTGAGGTTAGATTTTTCGTTGTTTTTGTGGTGTGTAGGGACCCACAAATTCATAACCTCCTCGACCCACAAATATTTTACTGCACAAAAATAAGTGATTTTACAAGTTCCTAATTTTTCTTCTAAAATTCAAGCTAGAAAATTTAAACCAATCAAAAATTCTTAATATTTGATGCTGAATATAGAAGGTGATGAAAATAAAACAGCATGTATCAAATTTTGCTCCCCAGTTTATGCGAGTTGACCTAGGAGATGGTATTCGTCAAATGAAATTGTTGGGTGATGAGGAATTTTTCTGTCAAACAGAGAAGGAAATAAGAATTTACAATCTGAATCAGGTAGGTGAGAAATGATGGACTAAATCTATACTGAGGTCAATTTTGTCTCAGTATCCAAGACCTATTTCAAAGTTTTAATACAGTCAAACCTCGTTATCTCGAACTCAAAGGGACTGAGAAAAAACCTTCAAGATATTTGAAGATTTTAGATATCCAGGGTTAAATACTTTAAGAATAAGGGATTGGGACTTCCAAATCACTTTGACATATCCATGGTATTCGAAATTTCCTTGTTTGAGATACCAATGTTCAACTGTATATAGGGGATATTCAATGTTTTGTAGATGAATATGGAATTTATTTCACGAGTGGGACAGGATTTTTTGATATTTTCATGAGTGCGAAGCACGAGTGAAAATATCAAAAAATCCTGTCTCACGAGTGAAATAAATTCCATATTCATCTACAAAACATTGAATTTTCTGTTTATTACATTTTCTTTGATTTTCCCTTTGCCTCTGTCTTTTCTTAACACAGTGTCATAGGCTTGACGTCATAGTTGAGCGGTTGAGACGTCATAGCTTAGAAGTTGTTTGTCAGATTGAAAACATTACATAGCATGGATTTTAGCAACATATTTAGGAAGAAATTTGCAGTTTTAGCTCTGTCAAGATGCTTAGTAGTTATCTCTATCTTATGAAAGGCCACAAATTATTTTTTACTTACTTTGATATCCTTTCACACTGTGAGAGAATATCATTTTTGGTATCCTTTCACACTGTGAGAGAATATCACTTTTATTCAATAAATAAATCACAGTATTTCACTGTTGAAAATGTAATAAATTGATTTATTTGTCATGGAGCTTTATGTTGCTATTCTTTTTCTTTTTAAGTTCAAAGACAATTTATATGTTTCCCAGTTTAAATTATTTTAAAATTTTTTAATTGTTCTCTTTTCAGTTTTACACCTTGTTTGCTCCTGTAGAGTCGACCGTTTTTAAACTTCAGTTGTTTCCCAGTGTTCATGGCCGCGCAAGTCGAGTCCTATGTTCTACAGAGGTAAAACATAACATGACAATAGAATGAGGTTAGAGAGTCTGAGTTCATGTGATCAGGAAATCTTGAATTCAGAACATACTTTATACAGGGAAATTTTCGCCCCCTTCACCCTACTCATAAGTGGGCGAATTTAAAACAGGGCAAATTTAAAGAACACAATGTAATTTCTTTAACAGAACTGTGACTGTGCAAATTTAAAATGGGGGAAAGTTGTTTGTAAGTGTGAAAGGGCGAAAAATAACATGGGGCAAAAATTAGCGTGTATACTGTAATCCTTTATTGTATTGAGATGTTGTCTTTCCTCTGTTGTAGGATGGATCTGTAAGATTTTTCTCCCCTGTCACAGGAGCCACAATTACCATAGTCTACCCAATGCCAACTTTCCAGGTTAGTGCTCTGTTTCAGTGTGTAGAATTTTATCAAAAACAAAAACAATTCCTTACTGGCGAAAGTTTTTGGAATAATAAATTTGTTTTCAATGCTGAACGTACAAGAAAAAAGAAGGTGTGGTTTTTATGGCAAAGGATCAAATCTGTTCAGATAGTGGAAGAGCCAGATTTTGTTCAGTCTTTTCAGAAAAATAAATGTAGAACTATGATGCATTTTTTTGGGACAGGTTTTGACTTCATTTGCCTACAATAGAGATAAAGAGAAGTTACTGACCATTCTACAGAATGGAGATGGTAAGGTATTTGTTTATATCATCACAATAAAATTTAGCTTTATAATCTGACTCATGAAAAATTCATATAGGTAGAGCCACTACAATGTTATTAAGTATTAGTGAAAATATAAATATAACCAGAAATTTTTTTTTGATTGTAATACTGTATAGATTCTAAATTGAGGACTTTATCGCAACTGCTTGCAAAATAAAATTACTGGGTTTTATTTTATATTGATAAAGTACATGTAAAAACTATTGAACAAACAGTCCAGCAGTGAATCTCAAGGTTTGATGACTTTGAGTAGTTTCATGATATTAAGTACTTGCATATAGATAAGGAATCTACAGTAGCGTAATATGTGTCAGAGAAACAGGTTCATGAATTACCATTACTCCAAGCATATTAGAGGTTCACAGCAAGATACTTGTGACTTGGCAAGAAGGGAGGGACATTAATCGAGGCTTTTACTTTTAGGAATAGAATTACCATTATTGTCCATTCTGATACTGTATGTTTACTTAAAAAAGCGGGCTTCTTATTTAAGTGCCTTTGGTGCAGACAACAATGCACTAATTAATGAATATACCTTAATAAATCATTAATAAATACAATACATGGCGCAGATGTATGTAGCGCTAATTCATGATTACGCCAACCACTCCATACCCAGTGATTGGCTAAATTTTGAATACGCCAATTTGTGTACGTGTACAGTATATTCCCTTGCAGTACTGGTGTTTAACTGTACCACTAACCCGAGTAAAGCTGAGGAGGTGTGGCAGGCAGCGTCAGTAGATGAGGAGGTCACTCAGCTCGCTATCATGGCACTGGTGGGTAACCTTTATATATACAGAATAGAAAAATCACAGTGAGCTGTCATTAATATAGAATTCAAATAAATTTTGTCTTCATTCTGTCAGGGAATAGGGACTAGAAATATATTTCTTCAGAGCTGCATATAAATGATGCAAAATGATACTTGTACATCTTATAAGCCATTAAGATGAGATGATGAATAGGAATGGGATATTTAGTATGTTTTTGAAATTTGTCATCAGTAAACTTATTTGTAAGAAAAATGTGGCTTTGGAGAGCTCTCTGGCTAAGGAGGCTATGGCTTAGGAAGTAGCAATACTTTCCTTACTATATTTAGAGCTACAAGGATTTGGAAGAAGAGGTTGTTAGAGAAATAGTTGTTTTTGGAGGATTAAAGAATGGACAAGTAAGTGATACATGTATATGATGGTACTAAAAAAGAGTCTTTTTTTTATCTGAAGAAAACTTACCTTTAAAGTTTATCAATATAAGGCAAAGAGTATTTTTCTCCCAACAAGATGAACATGTTTTTTTAAGAACTGCTTTGTATTTCTGAAGGTCTCCCTTCTGGATGCTGACCGCTGTGTAATGGTGAAGAATCTTCAGGCACATGAAGGTGCCATTACCTGCATGGAGGCTACCACTGATATTGATGACAGAGGAAAGCAAATTCTGGAAACAAACACCACCCTCGTCACAGGCGGAGAAGAAAAGTCCCTAAAGGTGTGGTCAGTATGTGTCAAAGCAGGACACTCGGGGAACAAAATTACACTGGAGCCACTAATTAAGGTATCAGCATTAAGTCAATATGAAGAAAATATGAACACTGATATTATTGCATTTTTTTTTCCGGGGGGGGGGGGGGGGTTTACAATTTTTTATGCCCCTGTAATTGAGGTAATTGAAGATTCGGGGGCATATAGTTTTTGCCCTGTTTGTCAGTCTGCAAAAACTTTAACCTTGCCCATAACTTTTGATTGGTTGGAGCTATTGCTTTCATTTTTCACATGTGTAATCCTTGTGACAAGACCTTTCTTTTGGTATCATCAAATTTGACCTTGACCTTGGAGTTTGATCCAGTTTTGCAAACTTTTACCCAATTTTAATAATGGCCATAACTTTTGAATAGTTGGTGCTAGGGCTTTCATACTTCATATGTGTAATCCTTGTGACAAAACCTTCCTTTGGATACCAACAATTTTGACCGTTTGACCTTGGAGTTTGGCCTACTTTTGAAAAACTTTAACCTTAGCCATAACTTTTTGAACGGTTGTGCTAGGGCTTTCATATTTCTCATGTGATTTTTTTGTGTGATAAGGCCTTTCCTTGGGCACCATTAATTTTGACCATTTGACCTTTTCATTGATGTTTGACTTACTTTTGAAAAACTTCAACCTTTTCCATATCTTTTCAATGGTTGTTGTTAGGGCTTTCATATTTCAGAGGTATATTCCTCGAGACAAGACCTTACTCTGGGTACCAATGTATTTGATTTGCAATTGAGAAAGTTTAACCTTTGTTATAAGTTGCCATACGGGGGCTTCAGTGTTTCACAAACACATCTTGTTTTTCTTTTTTTCCCCCCTTTTTTCCCTTTTTTTAAGCTCACCTCAATGAAGTTGAGATGAGCTTATGCTCTACCCTGGCGTCAGTGTTGGTGTCCCAATTAAAGTTTTAGGAGCAAGTCCCATTCCCAAGTAACTATAAGCCCTACCTGGACCAAACTTGCATGGATGATGCATCTAGGGATGGACACTTCCAAACTTGCTTCGGATACTGGATCTTACCTACGTTTTCCAGATGAGTGACCAAGTCAAAGTTTTTGGAGCAGGTCCATTCCCAAGTAACTATAAGCCCTACCTAGACCAAACTTGCATGGATGATGCATCCAGGGATGGACACTACATACTTGCTTGGGATGGTGGATCTGAGCTAGATTTTCCACATGTGAGACCAGGTTTAGATTTTGGAGCAATCCCATTCCCAAGTAACTATAAGCCCTACCTGGACCAAACTTTCATGGATGATGCATCTAGGGATGTACACTGACCCACCTGCTTCAGATGCTGGATCTGACCTAGATTTTCCATATGAGTGAATTTTAGCCATATTTTAACCAAATTAGCATGGATTATGTATCTAGGAATGGGCACTTCCAATCTTGCTTTGGATTCTGAATCTGACTTACATTTTCCAGATGAGTGACCAGGGTAATTTTTTTGGGAGTAGCTATAGAATATTATGGCCTCTTATGATTAAACTTGCATAGATGGTGCATCTAAGGATGAAACTTCCAGACTTGCTTTGGATGTTGGAACTGACCAAAATTTTCTTGATTAGTAAACAGGTTAAAAGTTTTTTGAGCAGGTCTATTTCCAAGTAACTATAAGTCCTACTTAAACCAAACTTGCATGGATATTGATCTTTGGATGTACCCTAACTAGAAAAAAATATGATGTGAAATTTGCCTTAATTATAGATAACATTCATCAAGGTGAGCTTTGTAATCTTTGATTACCTATGTTTTTTTTTGCTAGAGTTGGGAATTAAAGAGAAAATCTTTTGGAAAAATGAGCAAGTGCAGTATATTGCAAGAATTTCTATATTTACATCAGTGACAAGTACCCATTCATGTTTTATTTTGAACTTTACTTTGTTGTTTAACAGATTCCCTGTGCTGGTATCCCAGACCTTCTCAGTGTGTATGAGAACACTCTCTGTGTTACCATCAACAGTCCTGATACTAATCTGTAAGTAATAGGACTAACAGCGCAGGAACAGAGGATGGACATTTTTTAAATACTTTTTAAAAAAAATCTATATGAAGCACATACATGTAAATAATTTTATATTGAAAAAATACAAACAATAAAATATGGAAGCTCTCTAGAAATAGTTTGTACATGTACATGTCCTAGATGAAAAAAAATTGTCATCATTTTTTTCATTCTGAAAACAGCAGAAGTCAGAATTTTGAAAATTGCTTGTCATCATCAAACTCACCATAACTGTGAAGAATGGCTTTTTTCCCCTTCCGTTATAATGTCAAAATAATGTGGAACATCTTTTTACAGATATTTAAGAATGTACAGAATGGATGGACGTGATCTAGAGAATGTGTCATCTTTACAATTCACAGAACTTCATCATGCCAAGGATGAGGAACACACAAAGAGGGTAACATTGTCATGTCCTCTTTTAAGGTTTTTGTTTGTGAAAGTGATTCATTAGTTTATTACTTGAAGTTATTTAAAAAAAAGATATCTGTACAAGAACTAAATACTGCTGAAAATCAGTATCTCAAACACTGATATCTCAAATACCATGGATATATCAAGTCGTTTGGAAGTCCTATTCACTTTTTCTCTGTCTATTTTACCCACAATATCTCAAACCCTTGGATATCTTGAAGTTTTTCCTTGGTTACATTGAGTTCAAGATAATGATTTTTAACTGTATTACACTTTAAATGCATCTGATAGGAGATTTGACTCAGTATGTATTGTGATTATGCACTCAGTTTGCTACTTAATAATTTTTCTCAATATAAAACTTTTATTTAAACTTCATATGTTTATTGATTCATGAAAGAGCATTGTTTAATTTTTATATGATAGATTTTAGATTTCAAGCAAATTAAGATTAAATATGGATATTTTTGCTATATCAAGTCATTTTGAAGTAATGTTCATATAAACATTCACTTGAAATTTTTTTTATAGCAGCCTTAATATTGACATTGTTATATCATTCTCTCAGATGACGGCACTTGACAAATGTCCTCTGTTGGGACTGTTTGCTACAGCTGGTGAAGATGGCTATATCAAGGTAGTGAAACATTAGTAAACAGACCACAATATTTTTTGCTCTGAGATTGAAATTCAGGGGTGCAGAGGTCTTTGTGTGTTTCTCTGTTTGGCAATTTAATTTACAAGGGTTGTTCAGAAATTATTGAGACATTTACTTTTACTCTATAAAAGAAAGAGATAAATTCTTGAAAATTTGTCAACATTTCATCATGAACAAATAAGATACATGTGCAAAGTTTCTGACTAATAGCATAATTAGATCCTGGTGAAATTGTAAACTTGCATATGTCTATTGACCTGGAGCAGCATTGCTACATCATTTTTACATCATGCCAGCCTTAGATCTTTGCTCATGTTGAAATGATCAGGAAGCGTTAACTCTTCTTTCTCTGTCATCTATGTAATTTTCTAGAAATCAACCTTTCTCTTTTCTAAAACGATTCTTTAAAGACTAAAACAAAATGTGCGTTGTTGCTTCCCCAATGTAAAATTACATAAATGCCATATACAGATTGAATTAGCATCATGCAGTACTGCTTTTGCACTGTGGGTCAACGTTATTTAGTTTATAATAATTGATGGTTGCTTGAAGTGTTTGTTTTTACTCTGGCTGAATTATTTGGAAGAAAAACAAATCAAAAGAACAAAAGAAAAAACAGATCATTTTTTTATGATCTCCATATTTCTGATTGAAATTTTTACAAACTTGCACAAAATGAATTCAAAATAAAGTTGAAAAATTAAATACATATTTCTAATTTTTTTTCTCTCTTACTGTGGGTCCACCAGGAGTTTAAACGTACATGTAGGTGTTACATGTTTTCAATATCAGATTTCATGACTGCGCCAGGTACCCCTACCATTGACACATTAAAATACCATTGAAAAGAAGAAATAAAATATTTCTTGCTTTTATTATTCTTAGTGTTTGTCAAACTTACGTAAGTAAAGCATCTCCCATGATTTGTGGTTGGATTAATGATTTTTATCCAATGAGTTGTGTGTTTTTATCGCCAAGCCTTGGAGAGGGGTCAAAAACACACAACGAGTTGGATAAAAATTATATCTAACCATAAATCATGGAAGATTCTTTTTATCTCATGTTTTATACAGTTATTATCAATGTTTTACACTGTTTTTATACATGAATCCACATTATTTTTACTTCATCACTTTCCCAAAAAACCCATTGTGACGTCCCAGCAGTGGAATATGAAAAAAATATCCAATGAGTGATATTTACAGGATAAAGGGGTAAACATGTGATAAATGTCAGTTTTCATTAAAAGATATTCATCAGAAAGAAGAATAAACAAAACACAATGTCTCAATAAGCCCTTGTAGAATTGGTAATCACAGGAACCTAGCGACTATATTGTATGTAAATTTACTAATACCATGCATGCCTTATATATTTCATAGATACCTTGTTATCCTGTTACAGGTGTGGAATCGTCACAATCAGCTGGTGAGGGAGATGTATTTCGGAGAGCCTCTATATGGTCTCTGTTTTGCCAATGCTCGAGGTGATCTGCTCGTAGGATTTCAGAACCATGTCTGGTGAGAGCAGTTTGATCAAATGGATCTCACTAATTCTGTTTCAGATTTTTTATGAAGAGGTGACTTTTGAAGTGATTGAAAATTTCTGAATGAGTAAGATGATATCTTGCTCTGTATAGCTACTTTTTTGTTCAACATATTTGGCCAGCAGATATCTTCAGTTGCTTCTTCAGATGCTTTAGTTTTAGTAGAAATGTCTTTGTTTGCAATTTATAGAAGAAAATAATGCAGCTAAATGAACAAAGATCTGTACCAGAAATCTTTCAGACACTTGCAATAAATCCTTTGTGAGCCTGCAGGTAAATTGCTCAAAATCAATACACATTGGTAAAATGTTACATCACTTGCGACATGATTTACTCCTTCACTACCCCTTCTGATGTCTCAGGAAAATGCTTGGATATAGATCAGTGGAAGGTTTAATTGTAGATGGATTTTGTTTAATGGTGTCATGCATGGCTGATGATTCTATGACATTTGTAATCAGGGTAAATTTTATCACAAAATTATTTTCTGAGCATCATTTGACTTTGACAGTAAGTATAGTACTTTATATGGCTACTGTTTATATTCATGGAGAGGAGATGTCATCACAATTTAATAAGGATTGTTATTTTTTTTACCTAGGATAATCTACCTGTTTTAAAGATTTAGTATGGTAATTGAAGTAGACAGTGATTACCTATATACCTTTTAGATAGTTTAAAGAATTAACATTTTTATGGTTCCTTTTTGTGTTTTAGTTAGTTAAAAGAATTAACATTTTTATGGTTACCTATATGTTTTATAGATAGTTTTTAAAATTGACATTTTTGTTATAATGTAATAATTTTAACTGTTTGTGGAATAAGTTCTTTCAGATGATGAAATGTCAGGTAAATTTTATTGATAATTTTCCTGTCTAATTTTTAAAAAAAAAAGGGGGATGTAGCATGAATTGGAAGCATATTTTTAATTGAACAGCCTTAGTAAATGTAGGACCAACAGAATACTTTCTTCTTATGTATCAACCAGCCATAAATCAGATCTATCAATAAAGTATGTAGCTCTATGAGTTTTTATAAGTTCAACTTGAGTAATTGCCTTTATTACGCTGTGGCATTGCATGAAGATCTTTATCTCCTGTATCGTATTACAAACTTTAATCTTTGATGGAATAACGAGATTACAAAAATGCATCCCTCAGTTTTGTCTTTGATCAATTAATTAATTTGTTTTGCTCGTGGGGGCAGCATAAAATATTTTTTTTTTCAGATTTTGATAAGAAGGGTTTGGTATCCCCATTCTGAACATTGGCCTTTAATTGATATGCTGTGTAAATTAGAATCACTAGAACAATATGTCATTCAACAACACTGAGATCATTTTGTTTGTCAAAGATATATTTTGTTTATGAAAAGAGACTTTGGAATTTTTTTCTAGAAATAAGGTTTAGAAAAAAATCTTTTTGAAAGTAAGTATTAATTTTATATTTTGCCTTCAGGAGTTCTTCATATTTTGTTTTATGATTAATACACTGTATAAAATTATGTCAGGCAATATTTTTTGATCAATATGATTCATGGCAGCATCAAATAATATGTGATTTCCACCATACAGTATTTATTGGAAATATTGATTTTATGCTTTAATTCACAACAGTAAAATATAGATCAAAATGCACAGTAACTGTTTTCAAATCAACAGTTATATCAGATTTTTTTTACTGTACCACATCTACTGATTTATTAGTTTTTTGTATCAGCCCTTTCCTTTTTGTGATTTTTTTCCCCTGCATGCTTTTGCTTTGTTGATGAAAGATTTTTTTTTTTTACTTTGATACAAATACAGTAATTTTTTCAAACTTTCACTGTATAACTTAGGGAAAATTATGAGTTGTGATAGAGGGTGGAATTTACTTAATCAGTGGGAGCTTTGTTCTAGCTATACATCCATTTATTTAACGCCTTGATTTAGTATTGATAAAGTTCTCTTAAACATCCACATATTTATACAAAATTTCTTTTCTGTTTCAAGCTTAATTCCACTGACCAATTTCTTCCCTCAGAATTATCTGGAGCTCATTTCACTGCAAGAATTCAAGGTAAGGTATTCTTACTATAAAAAAAAAAGAAAAAAAACAAACAAACAAACAAAAAAAGGGATGTATGAAGAAGATTTTCTATGGTAAGAATTTAGAGAATGACTGTTCACATTTCTTGTAGGACGATTTGAGAGAACCACCAATACCATACAGTTCAAAGGTTAAATCATGGTAAGATTCGTTTTAAAATCTTTTAATGCGTAGACAATCAAATTACATGCTATTAATTCCAGAGATATCTTATAATGCAGCTTATTAGAGAACAGTATGCAAAATTGCAAATCATCATCTCTATTAAAAAAAACTAGTGTATCTGAGAACGATCAAACCATCATTTTAAAACGATCGTAATTTATAACCTAGAATGGAAAATAAGCATCAAATAAAAGTTTACCAATCAACTTAATCAGTACCCATGGGGTCATAATTTGAACAAACTTGAATCTACACCACCTGAGGATGCTTCCATATAAATACGACCAATCATGGCTTTCCTGTTCTTGAGAAGAAGATTTTTAAAGATTTTTCCTATGTATATCTATGTAAACCTTTGATCATCCATTGTGGTCCCATTCTACAGCCGGGGGTCATGATTTGAACAAACTTGAATCTACACAACCTGAGGATGTTTCCACATAAGTTTCATCTTTCCTGGCCCAGTGGTTCTGTTGAAGAAGGTTTTTCCTATGTTTTACTATAGAAAATTTTGATCATCCATTGTGGCCCAACCCGACCCCCGGGGTGTCATGATTTGAACAAACTTGAATCTACACCACCTGAGGATGCTTCCATATAAATATGACCAATCATGGCTTTGCTGTTCTTAAGAAGAAGATTTTTAAAGATTTTTCTTATGTATTATGTATTACTTACCTACCTGGACCAAACTTGCATGGATGGTACACCTAAGAACACACTACCAGGCTTGCTTCAGATGCTGGATCTGACATACATTTTCCAGATGATTGACCAGCTTAAAGTTTTTGGAGCAGGTCCGTGACAAAGAACCTCTAAGGCCTATTAGAACCAAACTTGCATGGATGATGCATCAAGGGATGAACACTTTCAAACTTGCTTCAGATGCTGGATTTGACTTACATTTTCTGGATTAGTACCTATGTTTTGAATGAATGGAAATCTTTAAGTTTTAAAATTGCAAGACTTATAACCACATCAGTTACATCTCCAATGTCCTAGGGATAGATCAGTTTTAATTACCATATATACTCGCCTATAAGTCGGTTTTTTGGGAATTAAACTTTGGTCCAAACCTCTGTATCTGACTTATATGCGAGTTATAAAAAGATTGGTATTCTAACAGGTCAATCCCTCTAATTTAAGCTTAAAAAATACAACCGACTTATAGGCGAGTATATATGGTAAGGCATTGTAAGTTAGTTGTTAGTCCCTATGATCTAATATGTGTTCTTGTATATATATAATAAACTTTGTATCTATAGCATTTTTGAGTTCTATATAAAATGAAAATATCAATGTATTTCCATGATAATTATACCCACCACACCTCAGGTTTGACCCGAGCAAACTGCCGACCTTCAGTACAACCTTGTCTATCAGAAACCAGGAGAAGAAGGACCCAGATATCGATCAGGACGTCCTCGAGGACATCGAGGATCACAGTGATTCTGAGGACAGCTTGTTAGATGCCCCAACCTACAAAAAATACCGCCTCCCAAAGTCAAAACTGAATGTTCAGGAGGAAAATCTGCTGAAGGAACTGGAAAGAAAGAGGAAGTCAGTTGTTGAACCTGGTAAGAAGACAAATTGATCAATTATAGACATTTACACAAATTTATCATTTATGCTTTAATTTGCATGAATTTTTTTCAAACTCAGGATTTTTGTCATATGTAATATTTATGCTTAGAGATTTAAAAAAGTGACTGTTTCTGAGCTCTTTTTCAAACAAACACTGGTCATTCTTCTTTAATTTTAGGAACTAAGTGTTTTAATTGTTGTTTTCATGCATGATTTTCAGATGTGATGCAGTATACAGATTTTACCGATATCTTCAATGATTTGTACAAAGCAGAGGAAAGTCCGCAACCTACAGACATTGAAGAAGGTATCCCACAATTCTTGGATGGACTTCATCACTTTCTCCTGCCTTCTTTTTTTATTTCAAAAACTTGCAAGATTGGAATTTAAAAATTTTTTAAATAAAAGTTGAAAAAGATAAATTTTGAAATTTTTTTGTTCTGATTTGGGTACATGGATAATTAAGAATATCTATTTCAGTGTAATTTTAAGTGGTAAGTGGTGCATGTAAATACTTATTTGTTTTTTCAACGCATTCTTCTCTTAAGTGCTAATATACTCTTGTCTTTAAACACTGTAAATTTAAAAGTAAGAATACTGTAATTTAACATCCTTTGATAAATTTTCAAGTTTTCAATCTTGAACATTGAAATCAATTTTTACTTGTATAGATTAATTAAAGTATTCTGATAGACATGTACATGTAGTAAAGGTTCACATGTAGGTAGAAAGGCACTTATAACACTTTTGTTTAGTGCAAGTCAACTTTCTGCATGCATTTGTAGAGTAGATTACAGAATTACGACATCATTAACCTTGATGCATGCATGATGATATATAAGGGCTGTCCAAAAAGTTCAAGGACAATGGCATTTTCGTCTTTTTTAGTAAAATATAAACATACTGTATATTTAAACAATTCAAATCTAAATAAAATTTAAATGTGAAGTGCCTAGAATAGTTGATGACGTTTTCCAATGTCATTACAATCGGTTATTAAACTGAGAGAAATATGTCTCTGAACAGTGCTGAAGCACCTGAAAAGTGACCTTGTCCATCCAAATATCCTAGCATCCGTCATGAAATTATGTGTTGATCTAGTGGAAATCCTTTATAATAATTAAATCAGCAGAGAATAAAAGGAATATTTCTATAGTCAATTGATTTACAAGTGGTATAAACGGTTTTCAGACTATGTATTACTATACTATATTTGGGAGACTTTGCAAAAAGTAGAAGATTACTGTTATGTGATGAAAATATGAATTCCATATTTATTATGATTTTGGCTGTATGTCTTGTATATACAAAGTATTCATGCTGATAACATATGTAAAATATTGTGTATTGCTATGATTTCTATATATTTACTTGTCATGGTTTATATCAAAATCAATGAAATACTAGTATTTCTACACACTCTTGGTAGTGTTCTCAAAGTAAACATTGCAAGAAGTGGAAGACCTTAAGTTTGTTTTGTGATGAAAATAATGATTATGAGTTTGGCTTAATGTCAGACTGGGTCATGAGTCTTGAATATACAAAGTGTTTATGCCAATAACGTTTGTAATTTTTTGTGCATTGCTCTAATTTTTATATATTTACTCAATAGTGATCTATTTTTAAATGTTATCACATGCACTTCGCAGTGTTGTTAATGTAAATGAAAAAAAAAATAGCATATGTGTCCATGAACTTTTTGGACAGCCCTCGTATATTTTATCTCATTAATTTTTGCTGTCCAATTTAACAAATTGAGGCATTGGGATGTTGTCCTTTCTTTCCATTTACCAAATCTTATTATCATGATCATAATTTTAAAACTGTATGGGGTATTGACTTCATTTTCAGATAGGCCAGATATCCCATAAAACTGTCTGTTTGGATTATGCCCTCATATAGTCATACATTTCATAATTTTTGTTCTTTTTCTGTTTTTAGGTTGTTTTTTTTTGTTTGTTTTCTGTTTTGCTTCCTTAGCAAACCATCATTTTTTTGCACCTATTAGAATTTGTATTTGCTTGATTAAATTTTTTTTGCAGGCTTTGAATCAGACATAGAAGAAACACCACGAACAAAGAAATCTAAAAAAGAGAAAAGAAGTAAGTAATAAATCTGTCTTTGTTCACGTAAAATTCATGTGGTCTAAAAGCATGTTTTCAAAAGAATACCAGTATATAATTATCTAATGTGAATATACCGCTTAAGATGAAGCTTTCATGCATTTGAATATCAAATGTGATTTGTTGTGTTACAGGAAAGAGTATGTCTTCCATTCCAAACATCCATCTACTGTCTCCCTTTGAGCAGGCCCTCCTAAAGAGGAAACCAATAATAGCACTTGATGGTAAGATACATACTAGACTAGAATTCTAAGTCTAATGTGAAATAATAACTTAAGAATATGTGGGATCATCATTTAACTCTTTGTTATTTCACTGAATAGGGTACATACCAAACTCGGTGATCAGAAAACAGCTAAGTTATCGTCCACCCACCCCACCACAGCCACAGAAACGAAAGGATGTCTGGAGACCAAAACCGGTAAGTTAAATGTTAAAGAGGATTTGTAGGATGGTTTAATTAATGTTTGTAAGCAGGTTTGGGTCATTCATTTTGACTTGGTATTATGTGAAAGATTTAAAGTAAAACAAGCATGTAGAAGGTTATGCTCATGTATATATTGAGGAAGGGGCACGAAAACTTCAGAGATGAGAATGAAACAAAATGTTTTGTCATAACAATAGAATTTATTGAAAAACTGTTTACAATTTCTTGGAAAACTTTCACGAAAAAAAGCAATAAACCCCATGATATAAGTTCAAGACTCTTTTGACAAGCTTTCTGATTTCTTGCATGCAGGTTCCAAAGCCGATGCCAAAGAAAGAAGTTGAAGAAGAGGAAGTTATGGATTTATATGAGGTATCTATATTGTGTCAGATTTATATGAGGTATCTATATTGTGTCAGATTTATATGAGGTATCTATATTGTGTCAGAGAGATTTATATGAGGTATCTATATTGTGTCAGATTTATATGAGTTATCTATATTGTGTCAGATTTATATGAGGTATCTATATTGTGTCAGATTTATATGAGGTATCTATATTGTGTCAGAGAGATTTATATGAGGTATCTATATTGTGTCAGAGAGATTTATATGAGGTATCTATATTGTTTCAGAGAGATTTATATGAGGTATCTATATTGTGTCAGATTTTTATGAGATGTCCAAGTCCTGTAGGATTCTGTCTAAGACCAAGACCTAGACCTAGATTTATATGAGGTATCAAAGTCATTTAATATTGCATCAGAGAGATTTATGTAAAGGTATCAAATGCACAAAGTATTGTGTCAGAGATATTTATGCAAGGTATCAAAGTCCTGTAGGATTCTGTTTAAGATCTATAGATTTATATGAGGCATTAAAGTCACTTATGTTCCGTCTGAGACTTACAGATTCAAAATGAAATTACAAACATCAAGAATTGTAACTCGATCCTACCAAAGATTATACTTTCTTATTTAAAAAGAAGGCCTCCAGCTATCACATGAAAGTGTAATAAAGTTTTAAGTTATGGAACCTATAGAATAAAATTAATGTAATATGTATGCTCTAAAGGACTGGTGCAGTTGTACCTACTTTAGTCCTGAAATATTATCTGCAGAATTCAAAAGGTCAAATAAGTTTTGGATGAGATTGGCCAGCACAACATTTAATCCAGTTATAATTTTTTGATAGGAGTTTCTCAAAAGATTCGCTAAATACATGTATACTTGTACTTTTTTTATTTTATCTTAAAGATTGATCAGAATTTGTGGATGACTAAGTTTCTTTACAAATGGCTGCATTTAGCCCCATAAAGTGATAGCAAACTGTGTTCCAGTGTTGATATTCCTCTGATGATCCCATTAGGATTAGTAATTCATAGAAGAAGTCAGTTTCAGAATTTTTACATAGGCTTTAAGATGCAAATAGAATTACAGTGCTGTACTGTAAATTTGTTTTAATAAAAGCAGTGATTCTGGTGAGCTTTGTGGTCTCTGAGCATCATGTTGATACATATTAAGTTTAGCTTGGTTTCTGTAGCTGGCATGCAAGTACAGAATTGATTGGCTTTGTTTCTGTAGTTAACTTCCAGGTACACATTTGATAGGTTTCTTTCTGTAGCTGACAGGCAGGTTCAAATTTGATTGGCTCGTTTCTCTAGCTGGCACGCAGGTACAGATTTGATGCAGGAGAGTCAGATGATGAAAGTGAGGCTGATGAACCAATAGTAGAACGTCCCAGTAATCGTGGGAGGAACAAAAAAAGCCGGAAGGTGAAGAAAAAGGTAGTAGATGATTGGAGTGATGGGAGTGATGTTGATGATTATGAGGAGGAAGAAGTCATTGATGACTTAATGGAAGATGACTCGGGGGTAGAAATGGCCGAGTCACTGGTAGGGAGTCAGTTCTCTCTGCTTGCTGCTGGCAAACCGCTTCAGGTAGATATGGTAGTTATGCTCTGACTCACCTGGTGAACCTTGTCCTGCTTGTGTTCCACCACACATTTGCTGGCCTGCTTCTGTTGCCTGTGTTGTATAGAACTGTTGCTGTTGTGTCCTACAAAGCACCTGAGCAATGTGATGTTTCATGTGAACTAACTGTTTGTTCATTTCTAATTTGTTGATTTCAGCTTGATTGTTTTATAATTACATGTATGTTCATTAGAAGGTAACTTTTTCATGCATGATGTTTATCTCACCTCATACACTGTCATAAAACTAATTATTGTGGGCTTCTCCATATCTTAGCTATTACATATGTGTTGCGTTATAAGGGAACTAACTCTTACTTCCTTACATACAGTTTGATTTCTATTCTTGTTCTATTCTGTTGTATAGCATAAATCTGGACTAATTCTTGATTTAAAATATTTGTATTCAACATTTTAAAATAAGATCTGATTATTATTATTATTATTGTTTAATTAACTAAAGTTTTATTTAAAAAAAAAAAAAAAAAAAACTTGATGAATTTTTGTTTTTTATAATTACTCTTTATTACAATAAATTTCATGTGTACAAAAGTTTTGTTGAAAAGAAAATCTGGCTTCCAAATAAAAATAAGGACTATTCTTCATAACTTGTATATTAATGTATGCTTAACCTTCTGAGCAGAAGCCATTAGTTTGGGGAGAACCGGAGCCAAGTACAAAGAAATCCATTATGTCTCCGTGGAAAAAGATGACTTCTATGGTTAGGACAACATCCAATTTGTCGTCTACATCTTCCAAAAGGGCGTACAAACCTCCCAGTCGCCGGTCAACACCCAACACTCCAACCAAATATGAATGTAAGTGGTCAGAATGTTACATATTCATACATTATATTACATATTTAGTATATTAGAATTATATGGGGATTTTCCTTCTCTGAACAGCAAGGCCACATTAGTCTTAATTAGTATTCTGCATCCTCATGTAGTGTGGATTCAAGTTTGGTTATTAAGTCATGATGCCTTTGATGAGAAATTAATAGTCCTATTACATAAAAATGTATTTATATTTAGCTCACCTCAACGAAGTTGGGGGAGCTTATGTAATACGCTCGGTGTCGGCGTCGGCATCCCAGGTTAAGGTTTTTGGAGCAGTTTTCTTTTCAAGTACTTCTATGGCCTATATTAGTCAGAGATGCATGGAGGATGCTTCTAGTGTGTTTCATTGTACCAGTCAAGGTCTTAGATGCTGCAATTTCAGCAAAAGAATGACCAGGTTAATGTTTTTGGAGCAGGTTAAAGTTTTTGGAGCAGGTCTCATTTCCAAGTAACTATAAGCCCTATATTGACCAAACTTGCATGGATGATACATCTAAGGATGCACACTACTGAACTTGCTTCGGATGCTGGATCTGACCTATATTTTCCGGATGAGTGACTAGGTTAAGGTTTTTGGAGTAGATCTCATTTCCAAGTAACTATAAGCCCTATATTGACCAAACTTGCATGGATGATACATCTAAGGATGCACACTACTGGACCTTGCTTCAGATGCTGGATCTGACCTATATTTTCCGGATGAGTGACCAATTTAAGGTTTTTGGAGCAGATCTCATTTCCAAGTAACTAAAAGCCCTATATTGACCAAACTTGCATGGATGATGCATTTAAGGATGCACACTACTGGACTTGCTTCAGATGCTGAATCTGACCTATATTTTCGGGATGAGTGACCAGGTTAAAATTTTTGGAGCAGATGTCATTTCCAAGTATCTATAAACCCTATATTGACCAAACTTGCATGGATGATACATATAAGGATGTACACTACTGGACTTGTTCGGATGGTGGATCTGACCTACATTTTCCGGATGAGTAACCAGGTTAAAGTTTTTGGAGCAGATGTCATTTCCAAGTAACTATAAGCCCTATATTGACTAAACTTGCATGGATGATACATCTAAGGATGCACACTACTGGACTTGCTTTGGATGCTGGATCTGACCTACATTTTCCGGATGAGTAACCAGATTAAAGTTTTTGGAGCCGATCTCATTTCCAAATAACTATAAGGCCTATCTGAACCAAACTTGCATGGATGATGCATCAAGGGACAAACAATCTCAAAACTTGCTTCGGATGCTGGATTTGACTTACATTTTCTGAATGAGTGACTAGTTTTAAGTTTTCAGATAAGTCTACTCCCAAGTAACTGCAAGCCCTATCAGACCAAAATTGCATAAATGTTGCATCTAGGGACGCACACTCCTAGGGTGCATTTTATTAGAAAATACTATGTATTCATTTCCCTGGTCGATAAATAATATAAGTAATTTAAATCATCAACAGTCTAATTTCACTGTTGATACTAAAATACCTAAGAATAAATTCATGTGTTTGAATTTTAAAAAAATGACCAAATGAATTGACAAAAGGTCACTATAGATTGACAAATATAAGTTCTTCCTTGGTGGTCATAAGAGCAACTTACTATTACATTGAGTTCTGGACATCACTTTTGACAAAAAGAGAATGAGTTGGAATTCCTTCAACATTGCAGAAATGTATACATGTGTAAAATATGTCTATCATAAAAAATTCTGAATTGTACATGTATTAGCAAATTATTTTTCTACAGTGCCTAGCATTGTCAAGCACCAGCATCAACATCAGCATTTTGGTAAATTGAAGATTGTTATTGGTGTATTGTTTTTGGTAGTATTGTATATTGTCAGCATAAAGCTAGTTTTTGAGTTTTTAGCTCACCTGAGCTGAAAGCTTAAGTGAGCTTTTCTGATCACACTTTGTTTGGTGTTATTTTCTCTGTCCATCCTTTGTAAACTTTTAACAGTTTTGATTTCTTCTCAAAACTGTTAATTTCAACCAAACTTGCTAAAAAGCATCCTAGGTTGAAGGGGATTCAAGCTTGTCTATATGAAGGGCCATATCCTTCAAGGGGAGATAATCAAGAATTAGTGAAAATTAAATGGCGTCTTTCAAAAATCTTCTCGAGAACTACTGGGCCAGAAAATATGAAAATATGTGAAAGCTTTATTACATAGTGTAGATTCAAATTTGTTCAGTCACAGACCCCTGGGGTAGTGTGGGGCCACAATGGGTATTCAAAATTAAACATAGGAATATATAGGATGAATCTTTAAAAATCTACTTCTCTAGAACAGCAAAGCCCTGAATGGTCAGTCATATTTATATAAAAGCATTTTCAGCTAGTGTAAATTCAAGCTTGTTCAAATCATGACCCCCAGGGGAAGCTTGGCCAATCAGAATTTTACTTACGAATACATAGAAAAATCCTTTAAAAATCTCAAGAAAAGCAAAACCATGATTAGTCATATTTATATGGAAACGATCAACAGGTGGTGTAGATTCAAGTTTGTTCAAATTTATGACCCAGGAGAAGGGGGGGGGGGCGATTGGTGATCAAGTTTTACATATAGGAATATATGGGGGAAGTAATCTGCTAATGAAGAACAGCAGGGCCATAGTGGTTCATGTGAGCATTGTGGCCCATGGGCCTCTTGTTTTTAACACAAAAGCATCACTGGACTTTGTCATACACTTGTTCTTAGGAGATCATTTCACTTCACATCACACTTTTTTTTGGATGACAAAATCTAAGATAGGCAATTTCAAAAAAATATTTTTAAAAATATTTCCCAAGTTATTTAAAGATAAAGAATTTGCATATTTTAAAATTATTTTAAATACACACACTTTTATTGCTCTTTATTGTGCTTTGCATGCCATATTTGTATTGCTTAGGTTGTTCCACAGCAGTGTGTCAATCTTTTGATTTTCTGTATATGAAGCTTTTCCACACAGAGCTACATGTTGCAAATCACTAAACTTTTAATTAATTTGTTAAATCGGTTCACAAACTTTGTTTTGATGGAAAAAAATGTAAAACAAAATTTAAATTGGCATTTATTCAGCAGCATCATAAAAAATATAAAGAAAAAATCTGTCCTTTTTTAAATAAATGCAATTCATTCAAAAAAAACAACATGCTTTTATAAAATTTTGTCTGAATTTGTATGTTTTTCAGTGAAGTCTAAGGCATTTGAGTTTGGAAATGTTTTTGATGTGAGAGGACCACACCCTAAATCAGGTGGTCCAGGGAGTCGAGAGAGAACCAAGTCATTCAGACTGTCAAACATGGTAGTTGATGAAGATTCCACCGATGTCAGATTTAAGGTGAGTATTATTCAAATTTAAATTAGTACCTGTACCCTGTAGTTTTTAAGTCTAACTTCTACATATCATCGTTAATGATCAGAAATAGTTGTTTTCAAGAGCATGTCTGTGTGTATAGAATGTTCTTTCCTTGATAAAATCTCTGCATTAAATAATAATATGAACAGCAAATCTAGGTCTACAACGAGCTTTTGCTCCATGCAGTTTATGATATCATATGCTATAGATGCCATGGGGTTTAGTAGATAAATGTTCATTATATTATTAAAACATTCAAATAAATCAGTGAGAATTATTACAGGAAAAGGAAAGCAGGAAGAAGGCGATACAGGTGAATGATATGGAGGTCATGCACAAACTGATGAAGGAGGACTTCTTCCGTGACCTGAAGGGGACACCGTCATACGAGTCGGTCCTCCAGCAGCTGCTGACCATGCTGGACACAGATGATGCGGATCTACATGGAAAAGTCTGTAACTACATCTTAGAAATCCACGAGTAAGTATAAACTGTACAAGAAAAAAACATGTAAGATAAGTGCAGTAAACTTTGGCTGTTTTTATTAATCTGAGATTTTTTATTGAAATGGCTTCAGGTTACATTTGATTAGCTATTCCATTTGAAAATTTTAAAAGTGGAATATGGTTTGGGTGAAAAACTGAATCATGGATGGGTGAAATTTATCTCAGAAAGGTGAAATTAGAAAGAAGGCTAGTGTTTCTTACCAACTTTAACTTTCATTTTAATTCCTGAAAAGTTCAGTGTATTATACTGAAATTTTGTTTACTTTTTAAAATTGAAAAGGGTAGTGGATTTTCATGATATCTATTTAGGTCACTATTTTCTCATGTTATATTTTATAGACAAAATGACAGTAAAGATGTAAGATCCTAAAAAAAAAGTTTTCTTTTTTTTTTTCTTTCTTTTTTTTTTTAGAAAAGTAATATAACATTTTCCTTATTTTCAGAGATGTTGGTATATCCGATGTGTACCTAGATAGGATCATTAATAAGTTGTCCAATCAGCTGACGTCAGGGAACATTCAAACATCCATCAGGAAAAATGGCCTGTCTGCTCTCTCCGTCATCGGCAAGAGTCGTCAAGATGTCGTAGCTACCATTCTACCCCGACTCATCGATAGTTCGGTAATTAACTACAGTTTACCTAAAGGACAGACTTAAACGAATTTTGTAAATCAATATGTAATTCCTCCTCTTCCAATGTAATCAGTATAATCAATGAAGATATTGGATTTTTGACAGAGAAATCATTATGCATCTTTGAAATAGTAGAGGTAGAGCTGATTGTATCTTAGATGAGAAGACATTGTGCTTGAAAAACTGTGGTCTGGGCTCTAATTCAGTAATCCCAACTTTAATAACAACAGGCTTTAGAATTATCAGGTCAAAATCAATATTGGGACAGATTCATGGTATAAAGCTTAAAATTTTATTTCTGTATAGAACTTTATAAGTCATTGGAAAAACTGTGTGTAATACTATTTATCTTCAACTGTAAGTGTTTTTTTTATTGCCTTTGTCTTCACATTTAACCACTTAGAATAGAAAACCTTCAATTCAGAGGATAGAATTTTAAGACCTCTTCAAGATTCAAAAAATCTTTTGTTAGAGTCAGTTTTCATGGTGTTTTTTGATAAATGTTTTTTCTTAAATTGAAGTAAAATCTTTATTAGTTAAAATATTAAAACCATTTGTCAAAATCCTTCACATTTAGTATATTTAAATACTTAAAGAATACATTAATTTTCATCATTTATTGGTTAACAGTACATTGAAGAGATGAATCGATGTAATAAAACCATTGGTAAACAACATTTTTTTTATGTTTCAATATCTTACGGATTTAAAATAATTCTTAGGTGATTTATTTTACGGATGATCACAACGACAATAGCCAGAGAGAAATATCAGACAGTCCACTGTAGATGTCTTGTCTGTTTAAGATAATATCAAATGCTCAGAAACTTGTGAATGTTAATTCATTTCTGTTACATATATAAGTGGTAATATGTGATTTACTATAAATCAGTATTTAAATCTTATTCAGGTAAGATTCGATTTTTATACATTTGGTTTAAAAATCTAAAATCTTGTAAACTTTCTAAATTTCTATGTGTTTGAATTATCTGAGACATTTTCCTGTATCCGACCGCAGACTGACATCCGAGAGGAAGCCGCAGAAGCCTTAGCCGCCCTAACAGGAGTGACGAATAAGACAGAGTTGTGGAACTTGATGGAGGAGATGGGGCTACAGAAGACGTACAACAGCAAGGAGGATGAGGAGGAGGCTCTGAAGGCCCTTGCCATGAGGCTGGACGTCCCTTACAGACCGGACAGCTTCACAGATTGGATCGGGGACTGGATGGATGATATGCAGAGTCCAGCCATGTATGATGTGGAAGATGATCTGCAGGTGAGTGAAACAGACTTTGGATATCAGAAATTATTTAATTACCGTATATACTCGCCTATAAGTCGGTCCGCCTATAAGTCGGTTGTAATTTTTTTAGGTTATTTTGGAGTTATTTGCCGTTGTCCCGCTTATAAGTCGGTATAACTTTTTGCTAGAATCAGCTGACGATTTCAAATCAATGCTCTGATGTTTTAACCTGGTTTTTTAATTAATATGTATCGAAAATAAGCCGATATTCAATTTTAAATCATTGAAAAAAATAAGTAATGCAATTTTTGAAGAAAAAAAAATAAAATCATTAAAATAAGTTAATACTTGTACTTTATGCATAGTCTAAGAATACATAAATGATATAAAATATCCATACTTTATTCAACGATAATCGTCGGAAATGTTTATGAAACACTACATTTTTCCGTCCAAAACCAATCTTTTTATGAATCACCTATAAGTCGGACATAGAGTTGGAGACCAAAATTTAACTCCCAAAAAACCAACTTATAGGCGAGTATAAACGGTAAGGTAGTCCAATCCTCAGGTTCTGAAAATCAGCAGTCAAGTAATTAAAAATGCTTACAAAAGTGTTTCTGAATTAATTCACAAAGTAATGTGTTTTTACCCATGTATTTCTTTCATCATTATTCATCATTACAGTTAATCATATTATATACTAGGGAAAATTATCAAATCTCAAATATATTTTTAGGAAACATGAATGAAAATACTAGCTATGCATTTTCTAATTGCATATTGATCAAAATATACATTTTAGAATTAAAAAAAACTATAGGTATCCAGGCATTCAGGAAACAATTGCATGTTTTTTTATACTTAAAAGAAATTTTAGTTCTTGTGTTTTCTTTAACTGTTATATAACACATACTTGTATTGCAAAAGGCTAGTGTTATCACTGGAAGACATCACAGATGACTTCTAATTTCATATCATGCTAATAAACATAATGGTATTTAAGGCTAGATAAAAGGAAATTTGATTTCTCTAAAAATATATTTCTTTTGTACTTTTATGGGGTACAAATGTGAACTTTTTACAATACAGTTTTGAAGACCTGAAAGTACCATGAATCATATTGAGATGCTTGAAATGTAAATTGTTCCATAAAACGATTTCAATTTCAAGTTTACTTTCAAGATTTTTAAAGAAAATTAAAATAATAATTTTAAGAGTTATCCTTTCTGGCTGAGGATCAAATATCCTTAAAAGTTAATGTAAAAGATTATTTTCCTAAAGAAAAGGAGGTATCATGGAAAGGGGAGTCATTTATTGAATTTCTTTTAAAGAGTGTTTGGCATTTATTATTTCCAAGTCTGAATATGAGGAACTGTATCAACACAGTTAAATTTGAATGATACATGTAATACACATGTATTCTTGTAAAATATTTTTTAAAATTCTGCTTAATACCAACATATCAACAGCATCTGTAGGTAATCTGTAGAAGATTTAAGGGAGATATTCTGGTTGAAATGTCTCAACTGATATGTTATTTTAATTTTTCTTGTACAGCTGAATGATATAGAGAAGGCCTGGGGTGGCAGAGACAAAAGATGGAAGCCTGAGTCATTATACTTATCAGAATCTGTCAGCAGAGCTTCCAATCGACTCAAAGAGTTGTCCTTTATATCAGATAGATCTCGTAAGTTTATGTTTATCAGTGCTTAACAAGAAAGACAACTCTTCACATTTTGTCATGTTTTACTTACTGCGCGGTAGTATCCTTTATGTTATCACATCTTTTAAAGCAAATTTTGAGTAAGACTTTGAAAAAACAGTGCTTAGTAAGAGTCCTATATGTCTTATTAAGTCTCATATGAAAAATGCAGGTATGAAAATTGGGATTTTAGATAGACATGAATGAATTTCTGTCAGTCAGATGTGAGCTTTTTTTGCATCAGGATAAGTGAGGTATGTGTATGTTGATAACTATGATTACAGTATTAGAGGAGGAGAGGCTAAGTTTTCTAAGCTTTCAAAGTGAGGCTGAGGAGGATTCCCTCAGTGATATATCTGAAATTGAGGAGAATACAAATCCCTCCCAGGAACAACCCATGGGGCACCTGCAAGGTGGTATTGAACTGTGTGTAGGAAATCAGGTCCTGAGGATCCCAGAAAAACTCAGTCAGCTGCTACAAGACACGGATCCTAAAGGCATGTTCTCCCACATACATCATCCAGGCAATGAGAACTATGCCAAACAAATGTCTGTTATAGAACAGATACTGAGGGAGAATCCAGACTTCCATCTTAGTGACTTAGAGTTTGATAGTGACCTATCTGGTTTGACTCAGCCTGAGACTCAGGAGGGGCGAATGGGGACACAGGAGGATCAAACATGGAGGCAGGAGTGTCATACGTGGAGGTGGGAAGGTAATTCCCCACCACAGGGTAAACTGATTGATAGTAAGGGGTGGCAGAATTTGGAGAATGTTGTGAGCACCCAAGAACAGGGAGTTCAAGTGGAAAAAAGTGTAGAATTGACTAACATGAAAGACACGAATCTGCAGAAAAAGGAAAAATCAGCTGATGATCAGAAAGGAAAGGACCCTGGTATTCAATTTATAGTGTTGTGAGGTTTTGCTTCTGACAGATGCCTTTTCATGCAGGATTGGGCTTTTTTTAACAAGTAACCTGCTGCATGTGATAATTCTAGTCATTCTACCAGTGGTGCATGGACCTAGAAATTGTTACATTGTTGGAAGCTTCTGCCTTTGTATCTAACTTACCGTTGACCAGGTGTCCAGTGCCATATTGCATTTAATTTTATAGAAAACAATACTGATTTGACATCAGTGTAATTTTGCTGCTTTCTAACACAGTTGTTTATTTTTTCTGATGTTACTCTTCATTTAAAATCAGTAACTTTGGTTGTTGATTTATTTTGTTTGTGTATAAACTTGCATGCTGTTAGCCAGGAGACACCTTTTGTTAATCCTTAGTGCCATTAAGTGCCTCTTTCTTATCGAGAGTCTGGAATTTTGCTTTCATTGTTACTAATTAATTAATTGTCTTAGGTATTCACATTAAATCACAATTTTAAAAAAAGAAACACACAAAATGACTAAAATCCTTTATATTAATGATCTTACCTCTCAGATCAAAGATCAATTTGTATTTCCATTATTAGCAAAAGATTTTTTTGTTTAATACTTTTAATATTACACATGTATTTATTTTGATGTGTATTGTAGGTGGTTGGACCCCAGGAACCACAACCAGAACTAGAATGGATTTCAGGAATGAACTTGAGTGAGTATTGATACAACTCATAACTTACTGGTCTTTTGGTTTAACCAGAGGGTTAAAACTTAGAAAACTAGAGCTATCTATGCACAGCTATTCACAGATAAACCACTTGCTACATTTTTAAAATTCTATGCAGTCAATCAAACTTCATATGTTGATACATACTGATGAGAGCTATTCAACTGCATTGATATTTTTTGACCTTGACCTTTCCTTTGACCTTGACCTCACTTTTCTTAAATTAGTGTTTAGCTCAGTTTTAATGAAATCATTCAAAATATTTTTATCAAACTTCATATGCTGATACATACTGATGAGAGTTATTCAACTGCATCAATATTTTTTACCTTGACCTTTCCTTTGACCTTGACCTCACTTTTCTTAAATTAGTGTCAAACTTCATAAGCTGATACATACTGATGTAAGCTATTCAACTGCATATATATTTTTTTACTTTGACCTTTCCTTTGACCTTGACCTCACTTTTCTGTGTTTAACACAATTTTAAAGAAACCATTAATAATATTTTTATCAAACTATATATGCTAATACATACTGATGTAACCTTTTTAACTGCATCAACATTTTTTGACCTTGACCTTTCCTTTGACCTTAACTTCATTTATTTAAAATTAGTATTTAGCTCAGTTTTAAATAAAGCATTCAAAATATTTTTATCAAACTTAATATGTTGATACTTATTTGTGAGAACTATTCAACTGCATCAGAAACTTTTGACCTTTAACTTTCCTGTGACCTTGACCTCACTTTTCTTAAATTTGCATTTTGCTTAATTTTAAAGAAACCATTTAAGATATATTTATGTAAGCTTATGCACTTATACATAATTTGGTGAGAATTTATCATCTGTATCTAACTTTTTAGATTTCAATTTCAATTTTAAAGAAACTATTCAAGATATTCTCATCAAATTTCATACACTAATACAAATTTTCATGTTGCATTACTAATATACCCTCGGCGGGGCATTCACGTCCTATGGACATATTTCTAGTATTATTCTTTTTTAAATTAAAGGATAAAGTAAAATTCAAATGTAAGTGTTTTTATTTACTCATTAATTATGTAATGTTGTTTAAAATTTGCCAAAGTGATATTATATTGTTTGAAGGAAAAAAAATTGTCAGAAGACCAAGCTAGGTTACCTACATTTTTGGCATTAACTTTGGTAATGTGAAACCAATCTATATCTAAATGTTTTGTTGAAGATAACAGATAAAGACTATGCAATTCACTTGAGAGACCCAGAATTTAAAATCACAATGAACATTTCTAAACTATTTTTGCTTTCATTGTTCTTATTAAATGTCCTCATAGCCCTCATCAAGTCATTGTAATAATCAAAAATCTACAGATCATTGATAAACACTGGCCCCGTATTCAGTCTGTAAGTATATAGCAATTGTTAAAAGTTTATTTTTGTTGAGGTAATTCATTAAAACCTCTAATTTTTATTGAAAAAAATAATTATTTTTAATTGACACAAAAATATTTAACAATCATTCAAGATTATCAATGGTAAAGATATTTTAATGCCATTGAACTGGTCGGATTTGTTTGTCCAGGCAAATTACCCACAAATATAAGTATGTACCCTGTATAGTGTAATTCTCATGTTAAAGGGTTTTGTCAAGAGGAAGCGAGCATTGTTTTGGTTGACTTTGTCTTTACATAACAGGCAAATTACACAATTCAAATTCAAAATTGAATCTTTGTAACATTTTAAAATGATTCTAGATCAGACATTGTCAGCATCACAATAAGAATTATTTACAAAACTTCAGAGTTATGTAAACCAAAAAATCTAATATTTTAGCTACAAATAAGTACTAACTTCAGCTGAATTCTAATAAGGTTTTTTTTTTATGAATAATTTTTATCAGCATTTATGCGTAATGATTTTGCAAATAATATAATAGTAGGCTTTGGAATATTGTCCTTGCTGATGATATCCTTCAATTAGAGGTTTGAAGGACAATAAATCGAGGAAGATCAGCTGTTTAAAGTGACGCCCCTTCACCTTCCCTTTGTTGCTCAGGCAGAAGTGTGCCAAGGATTTGGGGAATAAATTTAAAGGATTATCCCAACTGTTAGAAATTTGACACAATATCAATATAATGGCTGTTAGATTGTCACATGTATTTGTTTCTGTGTATGTAACAGGATTTAGAGAGATTGATGGACTAAAAAAAGTATTTTAAGTATTTTTATAAACCTGCTTTTAATGTTTTTGAGTAAATTTTTAGGACAGGTAGTTTCTTAAAATCTGATAAAAGTATTTATTTCACTCTTATTTTCTCTGGAACTTAAAGCCATTGAGAAAAAAAAAATCTTGATGCTATCTTTAAAAATAGGACTAAATCCTATATCTCCTTTGTAACATTACACATATCAGACCAGAGCCCACCCCACGAATGGCCCCTATTACGTATTTACACTGACATATTACTCCGATTGACAATGTCTTCAAAGTGCTTGGATTTAAAGTGAGGGATTTGTTAGTCTGATGGTAAATGACTGATCTATCAAGGGTGATGATTGGGAATTTTGTGAGGAATTAGACAGGTGTGAAGGATGGAAAGTAAGGAGGAGGAGGAGGAATATTTACCTGTGTTTTTTGTTAAAATGTAAGTTTTATTGGCAAGGGTTGCAAATGTGTTGTACTCCTAAAATTATTTAGGAACCTCTATGTGGGATGTGAAACATGATTTTTTTTTAAAATCAATTTTTACATAGAGTAATGTGGTGTATTTTTTTGTGTATTTAAATTATAGGTAAGTCTTTTAATTAACCCATAGACAGTCTTTGATACTTTATTTAGCATTCTTATGAGAAGATTCCCATTTATATTTTAAACACTTTAAATCTAGCTACACTGAGTACTTTTTAACCAAGGAGCTGTGCAATTCATGATTTAACGTAGAACCTACGTTGTATGACGTCATATCGAGTAAATGAGTTTAGTCTGTCTTTTTAATGCTAGATCAATTATGATGTCATAATTAATTTAATGTTACTTTTTTCCCGTACTTTACGGCTTTAATCCAAGACTGTCTCATGTAATGAAGTTGCACAACTGTGATAATGTGAATGGCATGCAACTATTTTGAAGGAATGCAAAAATCCTAAGAAATCTAAATAGTACAATATCTTGATATGAAATGAGTCTGAGTCAAAGCTCTGTTAAAGATTGTGTGTATATTTTGTAATGTCTATCATGAAATGGCGTGCATTCCTTTTCATAATTATTTGTCAATTATTCATAATGGTTGGTGTATTAATAATAATGTTTCCCTTAAATATTATCTTTTTAAATAAAAAAATTTCATTTTTTGATAAATATTCTCATTGTAAATCTGAACGTAACCCCAAAACAGTCATTTAATAAAAAATCCTGTGTAAGTGCAAGAAGGTCAACAAAAGTATTGATAAATAGAGTGTCTCTCATTAGTTGCGGGGAAAGGTGTATATTTTAATTACTTTTTCTAATTATTTGGGTATGTTCTTCACCATATTAAAGATTGAAAACATTCTGACAAAGACTTTTGAAAAATATTTACAAATTTAGGTTGTAAATTGACTCAAAAAATATTGAGCACAATTGCCTATATTCGTTGAAATGTGGACTTAATCTTTTATGTCAATTGAATAAAAAAGAATTTATTCTTGAATAATATTGCTTAATATGGTTCAGTTAAGAAAGTCTATAAACGGCGATGTTTGAAGAAGTATTTTTGTGATTTTCTATATTCTCTTTATGACCAGTACACCTAAAAATGGCTGAAAATATGTAGTCCCAGTGTAAAATTATCATTCAAAATTGCACAGGCTGCACTACATTTAATGAAAAGGAAACGTACCATATATTTTTAACTGATTGATAAGCGAGTGCTAATTTATCATTTTGAAACGTTTGAAAATCTTGTGACAAAGACTTTTCCGACATAGGTTCTACCTTAAGATTTTTGTACAAATGTGTATTCAGTATGTTTTTTTTGGTATGTGTTTCATTTAAAGAAACATTTAGATATATGCATTTTCCTCATCAGAACAGTCCCATCAAGAAGAAGAGTTTTTAATTTTCTGTTCTGTGTTGTTACACTTTTTCTTGCACACCTAATATGTTAAATTTCTTTTGTAGAAATTTGAAAGAATCTGTAGACGGCCAGGGCCCACAGTCACCAAGGAGAATCAGTCGCGGAAGGTAACATTACATTTGAGTCTCAGAAAGAACATTTCTTATAATGAAACAATATCAGATAGATATTAGCATGATACTGGATATCGCTGATTCTCTAAGGTCATCAGTTAGTGAAGTAAAGGACTATTGCCTATTATTCCTTGTATTAAGATTCACAAACCATGTAAATTACATAATTTTATTCCATTTCATCATTCAAGTTCTGATAATCAAAATTATTACCTGTTTAAAATTTAAGTTTATTCCTATATATTAAGGTTTTTATTCTGTACTACGGTAAAATCATTCATTTTTGTGAAGGTTTAATTTTCATCATTTTCAAGGTATATGACGAGACCCACTATTTCATGTTCACCAAAAAATATGAAAATGTCATATACAAAACTACTCATCAATTCTATACCCACGAAATCAAATCCCCATGAACCCGTAGTTTTTCCTCAAATTACAAAAATTTGACCCCACAAAAATATGTGATTTTACAGTATACATTTAAAATTAAAAACTGTTTTTATGAAAAAGGGAATCTTTTGTATTATTACCAAATTTACTGTGAGTATGAAACATACTCAATACATGAAAACTTTGACAATATGGAAATGCTGACATCTTTCTCCCCTTTGTCAAATAGCAATGGTGTATACAAGTAAGCAGTCAAAGTTTCCACTTACAAAATGTCTCATATAAGAAAGTCGTCAAACATTCAACCCTTCAATATAATACCCAAATGTACAGTAGTTATCCTGATCTTTATGTAAGCATTCACTAAATGTTACAACCAAATGACACTGCAATATTGCTTATAAACTTACACTCTAAAGATTAATTTTTAGTGTATTATATACATGTACTCTATAAAAGATATTTTGAAAAGAAATAGGGATGGAAAGGTTGTCAATTAAATATTGGTTTTTGTAAATGAGAAAGATGATTACTTTATGAAATTTGAGCAGGAGTTTCAGGTTTGGTTGGTGAAAGAGGTGTTTGCCCAGTTAAATCAGAATGGGGTGTTTCCAAGCATTAACAGAGAGTCTGATTCAATGATTGTAACCATTACACTGTATTTAAAACTTCATCTCCAGCTAGAAACATCTAAGTACTGTTTACCTACATGTCTGTATCAGCGTCACCATATACGAATATATCGATAGGAGATTTGTTAAATTGATATATGATCTTGTTAATCTACACAGGTTGGATAAAGAGAACCTGATCTCCACTCAGAATGATGGGTAAAGTCTACTGCTATTAAAGTAGTCCATATTTCTTCTGGCTTTTTATTAACTATCTGTGGTATTATTCTGCTATAAACTTAGTTTTACCTCTAGCTATCTGTCTGTAAAACAAAGCTTAGATAGCCCCCCTTGTACACCCCCTCCCTTGTAATGCCATGTGAAATGTTTAAGATTTACATGCTTTATACATACATAATCTCCATTACCTGTATCAGTTTAAAGTGGTTAAATATGACAATATTGATGATCAGGTTACAATGTAAAGTAAAAATCAATTCTACCTTTTAACACCTTTGATTTGATTTGTGACAGAAAAGGGTCTACTTATAAATTTCTCTTCCTTATTTCGAACTATCTGTATTGTTCTTCATAATTCATAATTACATAATGGGAAAAGTTCAGAATAAATTATTGTTAACCTGTGAAAGCTAGCAAAACATAATCTAGAATCCATTACCTGGCCATCTCCCTATTTACCTTTCCTAATTACTTTCTACTTTAACTAATTTATCCAGGTACATGTGGTACAATATGACTGTGTGTAGTATTTATATTAACAGATTTTCTTTTTATTTGACCAACAGGCTATACTCATAGCATAGAGCTTTTTAACTCAAACTTTTAGTATTTATCTTTTTTTCATAGCTCTGGTCGCAGTTACAATTCAGAAATGGACGATTGGTAAACATTGATACAAAATCATGCTCAATGCACACTTGAAAAGTTAAAAAATGCACTTTGTTCAGGGGGAAAATGGTGCATTTTGATTTACTTTCTAATCTTCACAATTCTTTAATTTTCTTATTCCTGTTTGATTTGTAATTCACTTTCAACTCAAGAGGACAACAAAGCAAAACATCAGTGGGAAGCTAATTTAGACAAAAACCTTGCATGGGTGCTCGACCTTTTAACCCAAATCATATTTGGGACTGGTTTTTTCTCTAACAATCATATATACCTTTTTGAAAAAATTGCACTAGTTATAAACTATTAACTATGCTGCATTTGTGTTGAATGACCAAACAAAGGCAGAGGGGATAATATACCTAATTATTTTAGCTCGTATTTCATCTTTTATGAAGTGAAATTTGAGATATATATATGCTTTTTGTCTCAATACATAGAGATCTACCTACTCATAATCTTAAGAATCTAAATTAAAATCAATGACAATAAGACAAATCATTTTTGCCATAACTTTCTGATATTAAAACTATTTTTGTTAAATACTCACCTGAATAATTTATTCAGTTATTTTACTGTGATGATGTGTTCTTGGATGAAGCTAATTTAATTGTTATTCTTTAAATATCGTAAAGGTTTGACCCCCGTGACCCTCACCTATATAAATACTACAGAAACCAGTACAAGAGACCGGGCAGTGGCAGGCCCAGTAAGTACTTACTTCTAGTATATTGATATCTAATCAGCAACATATATTTTTATTCATGTTTATACTAAAATTCTATCAATCAAGAGGTCTTGCCAAGTACATAATGCATCCTTTAATAGCTTTCTTATATGAATAAAGAGCAGTTTTGAACTTTTAATTACGGTACTTATATATTTAAATCTTTTTTTGTGAACCCTTGTTTTTGTAGTTGTTGGAAAGCGAGGGGGAGCTCTCGATCGGTTTGGAAAATTTGGAGAAGATTCTGATGGCGAAGGACATCTGAGATCTCAGGGAGAGTTTGTTGATTCCAGTATCACTCAGGTAATTATTTACCTTGTCAGTAGGTAATAATTAACCACAGTTCAGTAGGTACTAATTAACCACAGTCAGTATCACTCAGATCATTATTTACCCTGTCAGTAGGTAATACTTAACCATAGTCAGTATCACTCAGGTTATTATTTACCCTGTCAGTAGGTAATAATTAACCACGGTCAGTATCACTCAGGTCATTATTTACCCTGTCAGTAGGTAATAATTAACCACAGTCAGTATCATTCAGGTAATTATTTACCCTGTCAGTAGGTAATAATTAACCACTGTCAGTATCACTCAGGTTATTATTTACCCTGTCAGTAGGTAATAATTAACCACTGCCAGTATCACTCATGTCATTATTTACCCTGTCAGTAGGTAATAATTAACCACAGTCAGCATCACTTAGGTAATTATTAATCACTGTGAGTAGGTAATAATTTTCAATGTTAGTATTTCATGGGTACATGTAATTATTGCTTACTGTTAGTATCCCTCAGGTGATTATTGCACTCTGTTAGTAACCATGCAGTTAATTATTGCCTACTCTCAGTATCATATTGGTAATTAATTTCCACTGTCTGTCACTCTGGTAATTATTAATTGATGTCCATATCTCAGGTAATTTATTGCTTACTATCAGTACATTGTATCACTTGGGTAATTTTGTAGACCACTGTCAGTGCCACATGGGTAGTCTATTCACTTGGGTAATTAATTTCAACTGTCCATATCATTCAAGTAATTACTGCTCACTTTCAATATCATGTTCGTATTATTGCTCAATGTCAGTTTCATTTGGCAGCAATCAACTTCACTGAAGTAATTATTTATCTCAGTAAGTATTATTCTTAACTTGAAGTATCATTTCTTTGTCTGCAGTCAGTAATTCTTGTGTAATTTTTGTAAGGAGTCAGTAGATGTGTCACATAAGTAATATTGTAATTACAACCCCAGTCAACATTTTAAGGTATTCCCTATGGTCAGCATTATTAAATTAATTATTGTCCAGTGGGCATAACCTGGGTAGAGAGTATTGTCCAGTCATCTTCACTCTTGGAAAATTATTAACTCTGTCAATTAAAGAATGGTAATTATTGCCTATTCTACAACAGTTATCACAAAGATTAAAGAGATGCTGCAGCCATTATTTTCCAATAACTCACATACGTCATCAGCAAATTATCAATAACTTTCCTCTAATTTTTACAGATTTTATGACTGCCTTTCAGACTTAGGACATTACTACAGATTCTATGACTGTCTTCCAGACTGAGGACATTACTACAGATTCTGTGACTGTCTTTCAGACTGAGGACATTACTACAGATTCTGTGACCGTCTTTCAGACTGAGGACATTACAACAGATTCTATGACTGACTTTCATTACTACAGATTCTATGTCTTTCAGCCTGAGGACATTACTACAGATTCTATGAGTGCCCAGGACTCTGGCATTGGGGGAGAACTCTCTGAGTCTGTCACTTCAAGGTCAAGTAAAGGTCAACTAGTGAGTTCCCATCCCTCCTTTATGTCGTCAGAGAGGAGCCAAGGACATCCAAGCAAGGGTACATAGTTAATTTTTTTCAATTTATTTCCCCTCTTCAGTCATATTACATGCTCATTTGATTTAATTTTTTTTACAACATACCACCCTCTTTTTGGAGTATAGCCATTACTCTCTGGTCTGTATGATTTTATTGACTTGATCTCTTACAGGGGTTGGTAGGAAGCGTTCTAAGCTGTCAGATTGGAGCAGGACACAGCTGTCTCCAGTAAAATCCAGCAGTTCTCTACACAAATCTGCCATGTCTACTCCTAGATTCAGTATGTACCTTTTCCTCTTCACTCTCTTTTCCTACTGAGGGTACTACTTCCGAAAAAGTGGAAAACTATTATGTGAAAAATAACATAAATGTCACAAAATTAATAAATCTGATTTTTTTGTGGAAAATAATGGGGGTGGGGGGGGTGGGGTGGCAAAGGCAAAAGATTGCATGTATTTCAGTAATGGAAATAAGTTGGGACATTCCTATGGTTCATGAAAATATGAATCAAGATACATACAATTGAACTCCGGTATCTCGAACACGGATATCTCGAATACCATGGATATGTCGAAGTCATTTTGAAGTCCCAACTACTTATTCCTTAAGATTTTATCCTGGATGTCTCGAATCCTTGGTTATATTGAAGTAATTTCTTGATCCCCTCAAGTTTGAGATAATGAGGTTTGACTGTATTTCAGTGTGTTCTGTTCATTCTTTTCAGGCAGAGATTGGCAGAAATTTTTTAACACTCCAACTGCCCAAGAAAGGAAGCGCATGGATATGGTTAAGAAAGATTTCACAGAGGGAAAAGTGAAGCATCCTATATCAGCAACCATTAACTACATCTCAGATGACCTTCCAATGTTACCTGGAGAGGCAGGGCTCAGGTAAAGCATATGATTTGACACTCAGTTACGGTCAGGTTAACCATATGTTGCGAATTGGCATTTACATAAATTTGCAAATAGTCAAAAATTTATAAGATAATTAGATAATAGGCTGGGAAGAGACTTTTATAGAACTTTTAATTTTTTTTTCAAATTTGAATGGTAGGTTACTACACAGAGTTAAAGTTGGAGAGAAAATGGATGAAAGTAAACATGAACAGAGGCATCAAGTGGAAGCCATTCCAGGAAAGCTGAGCTCACAGACAAAGAACGAGTAAGTCAATGTTCTGGTCCAATCACAGACAAAGAATGAGTAAGTCAATGTTCTTGTCCAATCACAGACAAAGAACGAGTAAGTCAATGTTCTGGTCCAATCACAGACAAAGAACGAGTAAGTCAATGTTCTGCTCCAATCACAGACAAGTAAGTCAATGTTTTAGTCCAATCACAGATAAGTAAGTCAATGTTCTGGTCCAATCACAGACAAAGAATGAGTAATTTAATGTTCTAGTCTAATCAGACAAAGAACGAGTAAGTCAATGTTCTGGTCCAATCACAGACAAGTCAATGTTTTGGTCCAATCACAGACAAAGAATGAGTATATTAATGTTCTGGTCCAATCACAGACAAAGTATGAGTAAGTCAATGTTTTGGTCCAATCACAGACAAGTCAATGTTTTAGTCCAATCACAGATAAGTAAGTCAATGCTCTGGTCCAATCACAGACAAAGAACGAGTAAGTCAATGTTCTAGTCCAATCACAGACAAGTCAATGTTCTTGTCCAATCACAGATAAGTAGGTCAATGTTCTGGTCCAATCACAGACAAAGAACGAGTAAGTCAATGTTCTAGTCCAATCACAGACAAGTCAATGTTTTGGTCCAATCACAGATAAGTAAGTCAATGTTCTAGTCCAATCACAGACAAGTAAGTCAATGTTTTGGTCCAATCACAGATAAGTAAGTCAGTGTTCTGGTCCAATCACAGACAAAGAATGAGTAATTTAATGTTCTAGTCTAATCACAGACAAGTCAATGTTTTGGTCCAATCACAGATAAGTAAGTCAATGTTCTGGTCCAGTCACTGACAAAGAATGAGTAAGTTAATGTTCTGGTCCTAATAACATTTTACTCTGTGTCAAGTGTGACATGGACAAAGTACACTTTTTCTTTCTCATTAATGAGCCATTTTTTCTATCAATATTCTGTAGAAACCGTGGCCAGGCACAATATGGCATCCTGAGTATGCAGTGGATCACAGACATTCCTGTTTCAAACGCTCCCAATGTATCCACCCCTCGATTTCAACCCAGATCTGACGCAGGTTCATCATTGTCTCAGGTCACTGAGAGGTCACAGGATGTTCACACTGTGAAATCCATGGGCAGAGAGACGTCACGTCTTCCAAGGCTTGCTCAAAAATATTCCAAAATTAACGTATCCAGGTAATTTTTTTGAAAATAAAATTAACACAATGAATAAAAATATACCAAAACCTGCTCTAGCAATCCACTGTATTCAGCAACTTCCTCTGTAATTTAATATCCTCCTAATGAAGTTCTTATTAATATATCTGCATTAAGTGACTACCTGTTTAACAAGACCAGTGATCATAATCTTACTTCCCATTATCATAGAAACTGTATTGAAAGACTTCATGAAAATTAATTTTTGGGAGATTTTTTTATTTTAAGAGTATATACGGTAAAACACGCTTATAACAAAGTGCCAGGGAGGGACAATTTTGCTTCATTATAAACATAATTTGTTACGTCCATTAAGTGCACAATATATTTTAAAGTCACAGGGAATGAAAATAACTTTACTCTAAGTGTTGCTGGAAGAAAATATGCACTAGTATCCCACTTTAATTTGCAATTACGATAAGCCGATAGCACACATTTCTTATATCTTGGAACATGGAACTGTGAAAGTTATGGAACACACAGTTATCAAATAGGGCCTTCAAAAAATTCCCCTCGATAGATCCCTTATAAGATTAAACTGTGTTTATTTATACTATGTGTATACAAATTTTATTTCTCTGTTTTAGCAGAGAAAAATCAAGAAGAGATACAGATGATGAGTCCTTTTATTTACCCACAATTCCTGGTGCCTACACTCCTGATTTCGTGTGGGAACACCCCCTGCCACCCCCACCTCCCCGTGAATCCAGGACAAATATAGCATCCATCAAAAAACAGCAAGAAGAATACTGCAAATACTATAAAATGATAAAACATAACATGCAGAAATATACCTCTGTAAGTATACAGACTTATCTCCCTTTATTTCTCTTTTTTTTTTTTCTTTTTTTTTTTTTTTTGAGCATTTCAAACCGTATGCCTGTATTTCATTCTGCATGAGTAAAATATTAAAACTTGTTAGTATGAATCTCTATATGAGATAAATGTAAAAAAAAAAAAAAAGATACCTTAGTTTGCCACTGTCTTGTGTAAAATTTTATGGAATATCACAGACAGACTATAATCTATTTAAATATCCCGTTTTTTGAGCTTTATTAATGGTACATTTGAATCGTGATGTTTTAAGGAATGTTTTAAAAACAATTCTTGCTTAACGTAGAACCTACTTTGTATGACATCATATCAAGTAAACCAGTTTAGACCGTCTTTTTTATGCTAGATCCATTATGACGTCATAATTAATTTAATGTTACTTTTCCCCGTACTTTCTCCAAGACTGCCTCTTAATTGTAGGGTAAGTCAGGGTAATTTCGACCACCCTTTAATTTCGACCAAAGGAAAACAACACTACACAAAGATCTACGGAAGGTTGAGACAAGTTTAATTTATTCGGAATTATAGAAAACTATTCTTCAAATTGTGTGTCCTAGTGTAATTATTCATCGCAAATATGGCTTGATCAGTGATATAAAAAATATTTTTACTATTATTTATGTCTCCAGTTTGACGTCCGAAGTCCCCGTCTTCAGTGCGCTTGATTTGATCAAGGAAATGCAAGAGAGACAACTCGTACAACCTCTTTTTAAGTTTAACCTTGTTCAACAGTCTACAGCACGAATTAAATTAAAATTGTTTTATTTTTTTTTGGAATATCTTTAAGTTGCAGAATTTTACCAATTCATCTTGGATTTCTCTCAAAATGCACAAGAAACGTCCATTTGATTTTGGTCGAAATTACCCCTACTGATTTTAAGGACGCGGGGTAAATTGACCACTTTTTCTGAAATATGTGTAAGTTGTCTTTAACAGCTGTTTAAAGCAATGCAGAGTTAGATCTTCCAAAAAAAAAATGATTATTCTGTATTTGTACAATATTATCTACATATAACCTTTTATTAAAAAAAATATGTCAGATTAATTAACATATACATGCCTAGCTACATGTATATAATTATATTTTGCGGGCCGTTCACAAGAGTGCATCACTGATCGACGTGCAAGAGAACACGGAGTCGGCACTGGCTATGAAATAACACATGACGAGAGCAATCCAAGTTTGCAAACCCGTCAAATTAACAAAAGAGAGAATGCAGGCAATACTAAATGTATGTAAAAAAAAAAAAATCAGGTTTTTGTAATTTTTTTTTTCCTTATTACGAATGCCTAAACTTTAGCGGATAAGACTGAGGCTATCGAAAACCAACGAACCGGTCGTATTAAGATCGTATCACACAGTCCAGGTACACAAATCCAAATAGTACCCAAAATATCGGAACAACACACCAAAAGAACCACAACAATCTTGAAGCCAAAAAAAAAAAAAAAAAAAAAAAAAAAAAAAAAAAAAAAAAAAAAAAAACACTATGATGTTTCACGTTATTAATGATTTGTTTGAGTTTGGGTTTTTTCCGGGGGGGGGGGGGGGGGGGGGGGGGGGGGGGATTTAAGAGGACTTTGCTTCTGTAAATCTTTATTTAATTGACTTGATCAAATTTTTCAGGACCTATCTCTTTTAAGAATTAAAAAACACGTAAAATACGTAATACAACGCATTCCAAATGAATGTGTAAATGGTAAAAATTAGTGAAGAAAAATATACGCAATTCTACTGCTATGCTCAAACCTAATACATATATATACAATCTGAATGATTCTGTTGTGAAAAGACGGTATTAAAAAAATCTCTTTTGGGTTGGACATATCAAAAATCATATCAAAGAAATTATTTGTGGAATCTGAGAAGATTTTATCTATTTGCATAACTATATATATCACAATTTTAAAATATAGAGTTTGCGAATTAAAAGCAGAATTTAGAATAAAGAATAAGAATTTAGATGTCCATAAGACAGCATTGAAAAGCTTAAGTAACCCCACCCATTTCTTTACTGTATGGATACTAGTACTTATCCATTTTAATCTTTTTATTGATAGAGATAGATACATGTATTTTCTAAATAAGGCAATATAGTTTCTCGGACCATAAACTTTGAATAAAATGCGACAGTTACAGTTTACTTGCATTGCAGGGATTTTTTTACCCTTTGATTCCAGGGGCCGGGGCCGTCAAGATTGGGAAAAATAGCGATATTTGGTTGAAATTGGGAAAAATATCTTCATACAAATAAATAGGAAAAAACAAGCAAAAGTCAAATATTTAATCATTTTTCTTATTTTTTATAGTATAAAGCTGGCTTAAACCAACTATAGTGATATGAAATAATAGCATGGCTGTTGAAGTTCAGAAGCTTAAAAATGGCAAAGCCGCAGGGTATGATAACATCGTAAATGAACATATTTATACATTGTCATCTTTTTTACCTTTATGTAAGAAGTTCTTAAGAAATAAGGTATCATTTTAAAAGTTTTATCGGGATGTAAATACGGGTTGGTCATGTGATCAAATCCCATAAAGCCCGAAGGGCTTTATGGTAGATTTGATCACATGCCAACCCGTATTTACATCCCAATAAAACTTTTAAATGATACCTTATTACTTATATTTACATTTGTGACTGATTTATAACAGATAGTAAGGTACTAAAGTTTTAAACCCATAAATGATTTATTTTTTTCAAAACTCAACGGTATAACTTGAATGTGTTGAACACGTCGATCACTTATGACGTCACTATGAAATTACGTAGATCGTTGATGACTAAACAATCAATTTATGGTCACATGACGAACGTGTTTTACACAGGTGTAAAAACGCCTTGTTCAAATAGTGTTATATAAGGGAAAACATTTGCAAATGTAAATATTTTAAAATAACATTTGATAGTGGGTTTGTTCCAGATGAGTGGTTAATCGGTATTGTTTGACCAATTTATAAGAATATAAGAGCGATTCAACCCAGCCTGAAAATTACCGTCTTAGGCAAACTGGAGAGACTGACATGATGCACGTTTATGTTTTAGATAACTATCCCGACTTTAATTTTTAAACATCGATCCCGCTTTAAAAAGTATGCATGCAAACATCCGTAGTATTCTGAATAACTTCTCGGAAGCCCTCGGATGGCTCGTACATCGCACATAGAGAACATAAACACCTTTTTGTCATTATTGTATTTTAATAATTTACAACTTAATACTTTTTTCATATTGGGAATTTTTAGGTATGATTTTGGGAAAAACATGCACTTTTCAGCATTGGGAATGGGGCCGAATTTTGGCCCCAGAGAGACCCTAAAAAAATCCCTGCATTGCAAGAGTTATCTTTCTTTTTGATGTTTGTTGTGGTCAAAATTACCCCGAGGCCGGTCGAAATTAACCCATACAACATGCTTACTTATTTTTTAACCAATTCATTATTTTTTATGCAATTTTAACTCCTAAAGCAGAAAAATATGAAGAAAAAATCAATCTCAATTACTTTGAATCTTTTTTAAACTAGTACATTTGAAAACAGTCTTGTTTTGTGGATTGAAAGCCACAAATCAGCAAAAGTGGTCGAAATTACCCCACTCTACCCTAATGAAGTTACACAACTGTGAATGGTATGCAACTATTTTGAAGGAAAACAAAAAAACCTAAGAAATTTAAATAGTACAATATCTTGATAAAAATGTCTCCGGGTCAAAGATCTGTTAAATATTGTGTGTAAATTTTGTAATGTCTATCATGAAATGACGTACATTCCCTTTCATAATTATTTGTTAATTATTCATAATGTAATGTTTCCTGTAAAATATCTTTTTAAATAAAAAAAATTACATTTTTTGATAAATATTTAGATTGTAAATCTGAACGCAACTGCAAAACAGTCATTTAATAAATAAATCCTGTGTTAGTGCAGAAAGGTCAACAAAAGAAGTATTGATAAATAGAGTGTCTCTCATTCGTTTGTGGGGAAAGGTATATATTTTAATCACTTTTTGTAATTATTTGGGTATCTTCTTCACCATATTTAAGAAATAAATAACAAGTTTAAAAACTTCAATGGGAATTGAAGTGGGTCGGTCACGTGATCAAATCCTGTGAAGGCCGAAGGCCTTCTCAGAAGATTTGATCACGTACCGACCCACTTCAATTCCCATTGAAGTTTTTAAACTTGTTATTTATTACTTATATATACATTTGAGACGGACAATCGAATGTAATCGAATATAAATATTGCACTAACTGCACGTCGTAGATTTTGACTAATTACGCTAGGTGTAAATCGGCTTGAAAAGCGGTTACGCTTCAAATTCATCTGGCAAAGGATTCTGTTTTGAAGGGATTATTCTTTGAAAGGCTACTTGTGATCAATTATAGTGAGCATATTGGTGTCTTGGAATTTTTGTATTCATAAGAACCCATATTCGATGTTTAAAAACACAAGAAACACGTCCGATGTTTGATAATAAAAAGTTGGAGGAATTGCGGTCGGAAAGGGATGGATGGAGACACTTGTCCGGACCAGATAACTTGAAATCAAGTGCAAAATTTGATCAAAACAAAAAATCTACGATTTCAGTAAGGCATATTTATTAATTTATGATGTTGACATGGAGACACTGGCAACAGCTTACATTGTTAAGACAACGTCACAACGATCTCGATGATGGAGGTGTGCCTACCGAACTTCCAAAGTGCAGTGTTTGTCAGCTGTTTGTGGCGTGATTGCATTACATTGATATTTTTCAACAGATTTTCAAATTTATTGTGAGTGAAGTTTAATGAAGAAAAATTATAGCATTCAGAGGTCTGCGAGAAAAATAAGGGTAAACGTAGAGACTATGCAGCTCAGACATGAAACTTATAACACGTAGTTTTCTATCATTCTCTATGTAAAATCGATCAAGAACTGTATTAAATACTCGTTTACATTGTAAATAAAATGATTATTATTTTACTTGCGTATTTTGTACATTTTTATGCATGAAAAACATGCTATATTGCTTAGTGGAGTAAGTCTTTTTATGTAGATATTACTGCGCTGTGTGATTAGGTCAAGTAATGACCTATGACCTTCGAAAAACTTCATACAGGTATGAAGATATTTGCTTTCTGCATGTTTATATAATAGAGAGATACCACAAATGTATATATTAAAGATTGAAAACATTCTGACAAAGACTTTTGAAAAATATATACAAATTTAGGTGGTAAATTGACTAAAAAAATATTGAGCACATTTGCCTATATTCGTTGAAATGTGGACTTAATCTTTTATGTCAATTGAATAAAAAATAATTTATTCTTGAATAATATTGCTTAATACGGTTCAATTGATAAAGTCTATAAAAGACGATGTTTGAAGAAGTATTGTTGTGATTTTCTATATTCTCATTATGACCAGTACCCCTAAAAATGACTGAAAATATGTAGTCGCAGTGTAAAATTATCATTCCAAGTTGCACAGGCTGCACTACATTTAATTACAAGGAAACATACCATATATTTTTATCTGATTGACAAGCGAGTGCTAATTTATCATTTTGAAAAGTTTGAAAATCTTGTGACAAAGACTTTTCCGACATAGGTTCTACCTTAAGGTAGGTCACGGGTTTGCTTTTGTCATCAATTTTGGTACACAATTTCAACAATTCGAGTGGTTGTTTTGTATACATTTGATTATGACGTCAGTTACGTCACAAAGGCGACATTGCGTTGTTTCCTGTATAGTTCTCTGAAAATAACTTGAAGTTCATAAATAGTCTACTGGTACGAATCAAGTAGATTAATTCAAAGTGCATGCTATTGTACGTAAACCTTGTACATGTATGAACCAAGATCGGGTATTATTAAATGACAGTCTGAATTCTGATGTGATTTATGTGTAATGTCTTAGAACAACTTAATACGATAACAAATGAAAGGAATAATTTATATTGTAAGTGTTAGTAAACTGCTAAAAGTCAATCAAAATGAGTCAGCGTAAAAGTTATGGTATGCAAAAAGAAAATTATCGTAAATCTCTTAGCCAAAAGCTTGAAGGGTTCTATGTGCTCACGTAATTTGCACCTCAAAGGGAAGAGCGTACATGTATTACACCATGATTGCCAGGGCGAAACTTCTTCAGGATGGAATCAATCCTCAACACTAAAAACGGACGAAATTTAACTAAAGTAGATGTATTTTCCTGATTTTATTATTATTATTTCAATCATCATAATTATTATTTGTTTATTCTGTATTTGAATCTCGTGTAGTCACTATGTATATGCAGGCTAACAAATTGTGAAATGCTTTTAAAATAAATTTAAACAAACACCCGGACTATCAGACCTATATGACACTGTAAACAATTTACAAGTATCAAGTACATTTTTTTCTATATAAGAAAAGCTCTCTGTGTATAAGCCAGTTGCAAGTGTTTTACATTTTGCGTATGGAAATTTGATTGAGAGAATTCGAAATTAAGTAATGTTTGAGAGTTAGTGCTATAAACCAGCTTGCGACTCATATAGAAAGAACATTGCCGGTAACATGCCCCCCCCCCCCATTTTTCTCAGTATTGGGATGTTTTTTCTTCACCGTTTTCGAATGAAGTGATCAAATTCATGTGTTATGCCTGAAATTTTACTGAGCATGAACATCCTAAAATTATATATGAATTAATATTTTATCACTCGCCATGTTGTCGCTGCATGTTAATTCTAATACACAAGAAATGTTTAATATATATTGTTCATTCTAACTTTGTGGGCAGAATATGAATTTCACAATACTAGTGTAAATAAGTTGCTGGTCATCCTAATATGTTTCTGCAATAAGTGAGTTGATGAATAAAATTACATTTTGCAACTATATGTCACCTTTTAGATCTTGCATATTTCAAATGTAAAGATATTTATACTCATATGTAAACGTGATTACGTTCAACACATGACATTGTAGTCATAAATAATGCCATAAATGCAACATTTTGGCAATATAAAAGCAAACCTTGAAATTATTTAGCAAAAAAACTAGCGAGAAGATGTTGATTTTTTTGTCTCAGTAGTTTTAATTTTACCTCATCTGGATATTTTGAAATTCCTGACTTATTCGTCTACATCTTTAAAAAGTTATCCAACCTTTTTTAAAGAAACTCTTTCCGCAAAATTGGCTTAAAAACGTCATTTTTCTATACATTTCAATAGTAAAGCGTAAAAATAGTACTAAAAACTACATGTATACCGCATTTACAGTTAATACAGCATTAAAACTACGTAGACAAATTTAATAAAAATTGCGCCAGATAAAATGCTATAAATTCTAGGGAACATTATATCAAATTTTCAGGATATGTTTTCTCCTAAGAATTTTTAAGCAGTAAACCCGCGACCTACCTTAATTATCTCAATTCATATGATCGTATCTCCTCAATATAATCTTTAATAATGATTATTGTCTGTGAATAAAAAAAAAATTGAGCGAGTATATAACTTGATATTACAAAGCATTGGGAATGTGTTCCTGCAGGGTTTGCGATATCTGTCCAACATTTCTCTTGCCGATTATATCCATATGTCAGATAAGGCAAACACCCACCTTATAGATATTATTGATCAAGATTGGCTCTGCAGTTCTATTATATGTGCTTTATACCAGCCTTAAAATCAAACTCCATACAGTGTCAATTCTCTGGGACTGCTTTCCCTACGAATATTGATATGGAGTTGTAGCGTAACGTAATACTGAGCTGTCTAGAGTTTGCCTTAAAATACATGTACTTTCAAAAATTTCCGGAAGGTAAAGTTTGAACTTTTAACTTTTTAAGTTTAATATGTACCAAAGTCAGTAAATTATATTCAGTATATTCATTGTGATAATATTTCTTTGCAGAATGTGCCATCACTACCCAAGGTAGACATAAAGCAAGCTATACCCACCTCTAAGCTACAGAAAAGTTTAACAAAGATGTCCAAGTTGTCTAGAGGTCCGAGTCTGTTCTTCCCCAAAATCACACTAAATCAGCTGATATCCTCCACATGATGATCAGAGGCCCCGGGAGTGAGATTTCCCTTAGCCACTTTCTTTTACATACTTGATTTACTTCAAAGTTTCAAGAGAACATTATATTTCTCTAGATCTCTAAGTTACATTGTTATATTTTTTTCATGTCCATTTTTATTGTATCAGGCTTTTCATTGCTTTGTAAAATCCATGTTTTCTTTAGACACCAGGAATGAGGTAGAAAATTGTTGTAAAAGCTGCTTTTTTTCAAATTCTTGCTTACAACAAAAGAAAAGAAAAGAAGTTACACAGCATTCCCAATTTCAATATGAATACTAACTATACACTTTACATAACTATAGAGAAAGTCAAATCATAGAATGCTTCTTTGTTATATAGGACACTTGAAATCTGTTTTTCAGGTATGTTTAATTGTTATTAAATTATGTTTGTTGACTATTTGTATTTTTCTTTTCCATCATCTTTGTACCTATTGGCTGCTTTACCAAAGCAATTGCTAAATCTACTTGCATGTGACCTACTTTTATAAGTGGACTACTTCTTAAGGAGCTTCGGATCCATTTTTTTGAGTCAATAAATAATTTTCTCCTACCAAGTAATTAAAGTATATGTAACTGTGGTTTAAAATTTAGTGATCAGCCATGGAAGTAACTCTCTAGGCAACCTAACATTATTTCATCCATTATTAATCTGTATAGATGATACATGTACCGGTACACCCATTACCAACAAAGAGAGAAAAGGAAAAGTTTGTTCTAAATGCAATGCCTCAGAAAATGAAAATAACTATTAGAATGCTAAAAACTGTGCCCTTGAAATCTTGAAATTTCATTTGTTGATTTACATGATACAGTGAACAGTATTTATACAAATTGAAGAATTTCTTTCAAGAATACATACAGACTTGAATGAAAACTACTTAGTATGTTGGGAATTAGCTAGATTGTGGTAGGTACTTGAAGTGGTTTGATCAGTTTGAAATGAAAATGGGTTGGTTAAGTTTTTTGTAAATACTCAAAGCACATAATGAGCTGAAAGTAGTGCATTAGACTATGATACAAACATTGACCTAATGAGTGGCATTTTCGGAGTGAAAAGGGAAAATGCAGAACTCTTAATTAAACTTTACAAACAGAGAAAATGAAGTAGATACTGCAAGTATAATGGACAACAATTACTTGGCTATATTGTCATAACATCAAGTTTGCAAACACTTTAAAAACAGCAGATAAGAACTGTTGAGAATTGTAAAAAGGAGCAATTCCTGATAATTTTGGAAAATGGGAAGCTGCATGTACCCACTCCGAAATTTTGATGGTCGCTTTCTTCAGTGACTATCAGAATTTCTGAGTAAAAGATCTGATATTAATCAGATTGGCTCATTCTATGACTAAAGAAGCTGTAGTGCCAAGGTAAAGATATTCCAGCAGTTTAAAAAATTTTTTTGTAGAAAAGCATATCAACAAGGGAGATAAGCATGATTGCCCTAGTTTGTATCTCTATATGGTAGAGCCATCTCTTATACATCTAAAGTAGAGTTTAGTAATAATGCTTAATGCCCTGTTCACACAGAGAGTTTTAGTTGAATTAAAAGTAATTGCTGTGCATTAAATTTGAGTGACATTCACATGGAAAATTTAATGCAAATTATTTTACTTCAAATTAATTTATTGTGCATCAATTTAATTACTTTGAATCAACTCCATTGAATGCTAGGCAAAGCTAAATCAAATTCAGTTATGCATGTGTAATAGAAAATTGAGTTGCACAGCTATCACTTGTCAGGTATTGGTATATAAACAGTTTTTATTATTCTTTTTTATTATTTTTTTTTATGAGTGAAAGACAAAGAACAAGTACATTTATCATTAAAAATGTGTACAGACACTATGACATTACTAGTAGGTCAGGTGTATCTGCTCTGCATATGACATAAATTGGAAAATGTTAAATGTTTCAAAATTAAGTGGAGAAATCAAAAATTCCCAAGAAAAAGAAAACGATTTTGAATCCACTTTAACTGAGGAAGAGTTGGGACATTGGAGCAACTCTTTGTAGACTTCTTTTGTTTGTTATGATTCCTATGGAGCACCTAATAAACAATATCTTTTTTAAAAAGAAATGAGAATATCTTTAATTATTTGAAAGTATCATTAATTCAATTATTACTTACCAAACCAATTATTTGCTCTTATCATTTCAGCTGATATGCACATCAATCAGAATTGAAAATATTGGTATTTATTTAAAGAGGTGTTTTTTTTTTTTAAATTGGCGCTGCTATGGTTATAAAAATTTTAAAAAATATCAGAATTTTATGTATGGAATTCCAGATTTACAAAAATCCGGTAACAATAATAAAAAAGAATTATTATACCGTATATGGCCAATTAATTTTTAAACCTTAACAAAAGTACAAACTATATTTTCGAGAAAATAAAGACTACCTATTATATTTTATTAGTTAGTGGGGGTAAGGGGGGGGGGGGGATCCACGCTTCAGGTTTCCTGTGATCAGCTAGAGAGACGGACAGACAGACCAAAAACTATATGCCCCAAATCTTCAATTTCAGGTGCATTAAAATCCTTTACTTTTGAACTTTTTTAAACAAAAATAAAGCATGTTCTTGATTTTATCCTCTAGTATGCACATGCAGGGGCCAGTAACGTACTATGATTGATTTCACATTGTCACTATCTTTTTGTATATATATAGTGATGACGTGAAATCAAACTAGTATGTTACTGGCCCCTCTGCTAGAATGATGTGTGTATGGGAAGGGGGGGGGGGGGTGAAAGTAAGACCTTTTACATGTAATATACAAGAAAAAGTTTTTAAAAGGGACATTTAAAATAGAAATTAACAAGTCTAGTGATCAGTATTAATTGTATTTTAATTAAGGAAAAAAGTATTATTGCTAAATTAACATACTTTCTCGTCAAAATTTTGACCAATGCAAAGTTAATGCCTGTTCGCGAATCCAGTTGTGAACGACTTAGCAAGGGAGGTACTTACATGCGTGCGCATGCACCGGAAAGTGATGTAAAAACGTGGTTAGTACGCGAAATGCTTTGGCGTTGTTGATTGTCAGGAAAGTCTGTTTTAATTCAGTGAAATCTAGACGACATCATAATCAAGCTGTAGGACTTTGAACAAGGTTAGTATATCTTTTTCAGTATGTGTCCTTTATCGATCTAAAATGACTAATGATGACTTTTCCAGTCATCAAATTAGAAGTACTGTAACATGCTGTTGTGTGAAGAAAAAAAATCAGCATCCTTGTCTTCTGACCATTATGTGTTGTTAGAGCAGAACATCATTTTAAAAAATTGTTCCTAATATAATTAAAACGGAACGCTATTTTATTGTCTAGTAAATTCCGTCATGTCTGACGAAGCGAAAGTAGAAGTTAAAGAATCTAAAGAAACTACAAATGGTACCGGTACTGAAAAGAACGACGACGTTAAAAAGGAACCAAAAGTTGTAGACGATGTAAAAGAGGATTTAGGACCACCAAATGCGCTGGAGAAAAAGATAATTAAACAAATAGAGGTATTGCAGTTGTTTAAACTTTATTTTACATTGCTCAAAGCAATTTAAAGATGTTATAGGCAAAGATAGCTATATTCTTGATTTAGTCAATCTACTTATATATCTTATAGTATAAGCAAAAGGGATCTTATAGTATAAGCAAAAGGGATTTATATTCTAGCTCACTACATAGTCTCTCATGAAGAGAAAAGTTATTCAGTGTGTTATAAGGTACATCTGTTGGGGTTGGAGCAATTGTATTTATAATATTACTGGATACCATGAAAAACCTTTATGTCCGCCTCTTCAAACAAAAGAGCACAGTCTAGACTATGATATCACATGACCAGTGATGATTCTTTTCCGATATTTAGCAGAATTCCGCTAATTTGAATCCAAGAATCCAATATTCACAAGTGCTTTCCAATATTTCAATACTTTCGATTTTTGCAGTGATCCATTTCCATTTTTGTCGGGTAAGAAATTCAAGTTGTTTCATCCTTGTTTTGATCTAATCTGCATCATCCAGACGTTTTCGTATATCTCCAAGTAAAGTAAACACAAAAGCAGGGATGATTGAGACTTCCTTACAATGGTGTGGCGGTTCATTCAGCCAGGTCAAGATGTAAAAGTTGTTGAACAAACTGTTACACTTTTGTCCCTCATTTAAACCTATTTTGGACTTGCTAAATCCCAAATTTTGTCAGCCCCTCTGCTTCCAAACTATTTCAGATATTTTGGCCAATTCACAGAATCATCACTGCATGACATTGTATGTTAGTTGCACTTCCATAACAAATTCTAAATGTTGATTAAACTTTGTAAATTTTTTAACAAAGGGCTTTAGTAGATGCAATTATTTTTTTGATGCCTTGAAGCTCTCTCTAAGAAATAAATCTTCGTAATAACTGTGAAACTGCTATTCAGTATTCATCAAGAATTCTGGAAAGGTTTCACACAAAAAGGATCAGTGCACTTAAGCTATGAGAGTTGGATCCCGGTGCTTTGCCACCAATAAATTTCCGAAATTTATAAACTTTTGGAATCAGAATTATTAAACAATATCTTAAGAGCAGGGTTTGATATATTATATCACATAAAAATATTAAATAATGCCGAGCGACACTGGTTTTTGCGACAGGGGTCTAGCAGTTTTGTCACATTTCTATTGTTATTCATATGCATACCAGTTTTCAACGACGTTGTTTACATCGAGCCGCAACTTGTCCATTCTTCTCATTTGCACAGAATGTGTATTTTGATTTTAACTTATACATATCCAAAGGGCAATGTTGGACAATTTGCGGCTCATATGTAATTTTTAAAAAAATTCTCCAAACTACGGTCGGGTTTGCTACTAAATTAACAGGTCACCGAGTGTCAACCTATTTTGACCTGTTTGATATTATAATCACTTTACTCACGTGACATTCCACTATTCGATATGCTTTCATTGTGTCTATCAATGGATTTCAGGGCTGTACACACGGATATGTATTTAAGTACACAATCTGACTATATATAGACTTTTAATACGGTGAATCCTAAGATTTTTCGAATCTTATAAAACTGTATTAAGAATAGGGCAATGCTCTATTTCTTAATACAAGTCTTAACTTACCTTTCATTTTTAAACCAATCAAAAGTACTCACATTGTAGTCATCTTATTTTTATCATAACAAAGAAAAGCACGTGGTAAATAATGGTCGATTTTAGCAGTAAAAATATCGAAAAACTCATTGTTTTATGGGAAGAAGATCAAAAGGAGTAACTACATGTAATTGTAAAAGTTGCTCAAATGCAGCGTTATCTATTCTAAAGAAGTTTTTATAACTACTGGGGTCTTCTCTTTGCACCTCATCTAGCGATGCATTGTGTGCACCAAGTACATATACGTGTGTTCCGCCGCTGTTTCCATTACAATGTTGTTTTTTTTTTCAGTTTTATTGCAATGCATAATACGATAACAGATACTGCTAACAGAACCTCGTTTTTCATTATTGAGAGAAAGAGAAAGAGAGAGAAATATTGCGAGGGAAACACGTAGAAATCCCTAAAGTCTATTAACAATCTAATAAAACGTACAAACGAGTGTACAGGAAAGTATTATAATACAAATATAATACTTGTATTATACAGTAACTACAAATCTCACCGTTTGTACCGGCCTGAACAACTTCAAAATAATGAAGAATTTTGCGAAAATTTTATTAGGGTCTTAAAGTTTACCTTGTCTTCTTTCACTAAATTGTGTTTTTCGTTTGCATGGTATTTTGAAGGAAATTCTGGTATTGCCAATGCACGATTAGTATGTAGCTGTGTTAGATCTTGTCGCCTCTGTATTATGGTCTGCAGGCATCTACAGACACATTCTTAAACACTAGTATCATATCTGAGAATATTTGGATTGCCGAAATGAAAGAGATATTGAAGACATAAGCGAGTGATTATCGATATAGTAACGTTGTAGAATTTTCGTTGACCATGTTATTTAATCTGAAATATACTTGTTCCGTCAATAAAATGTTAATTTAAATTATAGATAGTTTGTATTTCTTGGAGTTTTCATGTTAACCTAGCGACTCAAATTTTAAGTTAAAATTTTATATTTCATTTCCGAATGTTATTTATCTATACATACATATGATAAAATATGTATCACCATTGAGTACTACATACATGTATAATTTGTTTCACTACTTGTTTGTCAGTATTACTCTACGTACTACATGTACAGTGAATTACAATTAAATGTAGTGTGACATCTAAGTCATGTACATGTGAATCTTTCTTAAAACATACTTTCATTCTTTGAATTGAAAAGCATTCAGCATATAAAACGAAAAATAATAAAGCTAAAGAAAAAAGAGGGGGCTTTTTTTATCATATACGAAAAACTTAAGATTGATCTAATTCGGTGCTAGGCATCAAACATATGGATACGAATCATGAAAATGATCAATATGTATGGCCATGAATCATTTATTATTTGTGTGAATCATGAAACTACACAATCTTTCTCTCCTCCATTTAAATAATGTGCAAATGTTTACATTCCACTTCCATGCGATTTAAATATCTCCGCCCATTTGCGGGTACCTTACATTCGAAAGTGGTCCAGTTCAAATTTCCGGAATTTAAGGCTTATACATGTTCTTTTCAATGACGTTGTGTGGAATTATAGCAATATGTTTAACAAAAAATTCGAAGTATAAATATCAAGAGCATATGTATGCACAATAATCATAGATTAATTTAGCAATATAGTCTTATTTAAGGCTTAAAATGGGTGGCCGAAAGGCTCCAAATGACACTCTAAAGTGCACTCATTCTTTGCTTGACGAAGGTAAAGATTTCAGTTCAAATTTCCTCTGTTCTTACTTTTAGTCTATAGAACTCACTGCACTTGCTATTATTTTGAATGCAGTTCTAGCAGAGAAAGCCTTTTTTTTAAACTTTATAGGAGGGATTTTATATTTGCTTCATGTATTTTTACAGATGTAACTGAAGTTTGATACATGCATCTATGTTCATTATGACAATCAGACATGCCTAAAGATGGTCAAAAATTTCTTGCTAATATATTGACAGTGCAAGTGTTGGGGCAAGTGCAGTTGTGTATATTATTGGATAGACTGCCTATTCACTTTTAATTTACATCCACCTCTTCAAACCGCACAGACATTTGAAAGGTCTAAACTGTGAAGTCGCATGACATCATACATTAGTTGCATATTTCAGTAACAAAGTCTGAAATATTTAATTTTTTTAACAAAAGAATGTTAAATCTACCATCTATCTACAATACCCATTGAATCAAGATTAGTTTATTTGTAAACTTTTGCTTATTTATTGCAAGAATTTGTTGTGGGTGCCATATGCAATATTATGGAGCATTATGGGTGCTGAGTTAACTGCGGGGAAAAAAATGTTTGGATCATTGTGCCCAGTCCGAATTTTCTCTTCACCCAGGTGTTGCTTTAAGAGCTTGCAGTGACGAGGGGCTCTTCAAGCCGCTTGCTGCGCTGGCTAAATACCTCTGAGGTTTCAACAATATGCACAATAATGTAAGATTTTCTGAGTAATGAAAATGTAGTTTATTTATATATTTTTTCAAGTACTACTTTGGAGATATCAATCTACCTAGGGACAAATTTCTTCAAGATGAGATGAAATTAGAAGATGGCTGTATCCTTTTTTTTATTAACATGACAAAAACAAAATATTCATGTAGGAATCTAGTTAACAATTAAAAAAAATTCAGAAAACAGTAGGTATACATTGGAGAGATTTGATTAGTATCTGATTTGTATATCAATTTAGAAGAAAATTCAAAATCTACAACACAAATATTGAATAGGTCTAGATATATTAACAGATAGCAAGCTATTGAAGCATGGTTAGTTATACATTTTGAGTGCAGTAAAGGTCATGTAGCATACATCAGAATATGCATCAGTTTATATTAATCATATAATACAATAGAGAGAATAGCTTCCTTTACAGTGATTAGGGGTATCTCTTGCCACAATGACCAAATTCAATCGACTGAAACAACTAACCACAAATCATAAAATTATTGCCACAGCATTAAGGAAATCTGACTCCGGACTTATTCAGGTATTTAACCTTGATGATACATCTCTTGCCAGTACCAATATTTGCATGTATATATAAAATTCTTGTCTTAATTGTAAATTTATGAATTAAACTGTTTAACAATCACATATGACAAAGGACATTATTGTTCATAATTGAAAATATGACCAGATGAACAAGTTATTTTTTCAAAGTTAAATTTATTCAATTTACCAAACAACAACAAAAAAATAAAGTAATATTGATTTTTCCCAGTGACATTAATATGACTGCATATAATTTTTAGCAGTTGAAAAGTTGAAAGGTAGTTTGTAAAATTTATACAAAAATTGTTGAAATAAAATCTACCTTTCTGGTTCCGTTTCAGGTTAGCAAGGATAATGTGTTCATCCGTCGTAATCCTGACATTCCAATACCAGAGAACACAGAGGAAAGGCGGAATGATTTTAATGACAGATCTGCTTATGTTGTACGTACTAGTATCTCATGGCTACCTATTTAGCAATTGTTAAAGGTTAATTAAGAAATAAAGTCAGCGTTAACGTGAATGTTGCAGGATAACCTCCAAGGTCAAGAAATGTTGTCTGAAATATAAAAGCCAAGGCGTTAGTTGAGGCTTTTATATTTCAGACAACATTTCAAGACCGAGGAGGTTATCCTGCATCATTCACGACAACAAGGACTTTTATTTCTATTCTACTAACAGCTCTAAAAAATGGCTGATCATTTCCTCTATAGAGAAACGAATTAGGTCACCATGTCGCGATTTTGCAGTTCCATTTCACACCAGAGGGTCAATTTGTTTGTTTACTTAAGAATCCATTGCATAAAATGCAGATGATTTCAGCTTTCGCTGGATTAAAAATATCCTTTAATTATTTATAAATTTTTTGTAACATATATTGATTAATTTTTATGGATGTGAAATAACAAAATCAGTTGTCTATTTCATTGCTTTATCTGTAAAATCATGGAGTGTAAATGTTGTGGGAAGGTCTGTGGAACAGCCTCACTTGCATGGCTATAGAAACGGATATTTATTAGCTGTTTTAGGCAATACACACTGTTTAGACTGCATAAGACACATTTAGACACATCAATATGGTCTAAATAAGTATTAGATTCTACAGTGAATTATTTATTTCAACTGTACAGGTTTGACATGTGTTTCTGATCTGATAATTTTTTGATGATGTTCATGATTTATTGGAGAATAATGTCCTTTGATCTCGGCAATAACTGTGGTAGAATTAACAATAAGTCATTTGTAGAATATGATATTAGTATGTTGATCGACTTCCATATGAAAAACAAAATCACACAGTGTACTTAAAATTTGTTCTAGGTTATACATTTCTATGTAAACTTCAGAGGTTGAAATCATGTGTGAAGCTAATTTCATTACAGAAAGGCTTTCCATTGAATGCATCACTGGACTCATTAATTGCTTACTTTGAGAAGATAGCACCAGTGGATACAGTGTACATGAGAAGAGATCAGGAGAAGAAATTTAAGGTTGGTTTAGGATGCTGTTCTATTTATTTAGTAAATTTACAGTCGTTATACAAGAAAATCAGTACTTTGATATCTATAAAGAGAGGACAATAACTGTTTAAAATGAGAATGAATTGTACGTAATTGTTATACCCTTGCTTGAAAAGTGTCTATATCAGTGAATAAAATTTTATGAGACTCACAGATCCTTTATTACACAGTGCCATTGTGCACCTGTTTTACATTTCAATCAGGTAGATATTTGGGTTTCCCATAGCAAAACATGGACACTGCGATTCTTTCTATAATATTGGGGTATCGATCTCTTATCCACAACTCCTCCTAACTGAATGAAATTTAATGATACTTTCACAGAATCTTTGTTACGTAGTGCCATTGTGACCTATTTTATGTTTCGATCAGACAGATATCTGGGAAGTCCTACAGCAGAACATGGACAGTGTTAGTCTTTGTTAAATATTGAGGGTACCCATCTCTTATCTGCAACTCCTACTATGCCAACAAATAAAATTTAATGAGAGTTTTAGAGATTCTTCATTACATTGTGCCATGTTGCACCTCCTATTTGATTTCTTGTTTAAATTTTATAAAAGATCCTTTTTATGTGTAAAAATTTAGTAAAATGAAGATTAAAGGATAATAAATTTCAGATCTCCACGGAATATACCTGCTGTGAACAGTTTTAAATCAGTTTGTTTGACTTAATGGCATTATAATGATTTACAGGGATCAGTATTCATCACATTTCATAAAAAAGAGGATACTGAGAAGTTCTTGGCAGAGCCGGAATCTAAGTATGAAGATGCAGTACTCATCAAAAAGTCTAAGTAAGTTATTAAGTTCTTCAGTTACAATGTGTATGTTTTCTGCTGCATTGTCAGAAATTTTCTGTCTTGCTTTCACATTTATATTGAAAATGTTTTTGAATTATGAATATCAGAATATTTTATACAGACTGTTATTAGGATATAGAATTTTCTTCAGATGGGTCATATTGTTTTTCTTAATATGAATGAACTGGAATTTTTCATGACTGATTGTGCTTCTGTGATTTTAGACAAGAATATTTTCAAAAAAGAGAAGATGAGAAGAAGCAGAAAAAACTGGAACAGTTACGTAAAAAGAAAGAGTAAGTAAATTTCCTATCCTATTTATGACAACATCTCTGAGATGTTTTTGGCATACAGATCAATTACAGATAATTTTCATAATTAAAATAAAGATTTTAATATTTAATCTGTACAATAGATCATCTCTCTTGCAGGAAAGATAATATGCGTAGATTTTAAAGCAGATTCTCCTTTGGTTAGGTTTATAAGAAAAGGTAGAGTTTTAACACAAATTATTGTCTTATAGAGACCAACAGAGAAGGGAGGAAGAAGAAACAAAGGTTGGTGTTTTTTTACATTGTTATCTATGAAATTTTCTTGTCTTTGCCTTGGTAAATGAGACCAAATTTATTAGTCTAAAATAAGATTTTTTTTATCCTCCCCTCCCCCCCACCCCTTTCCAAACAAAGTTCAGGAAAGACCTTGTCAGGGTTGGACACTGGTACTTAGTATCCATACCTTACAGAGTAATTGTTTAAAAGTTACCAACATATATTGTTTCAATAAATACTGTTACAGATATCCATAGAGTTAACTTGAATTCCTCGGGACTATGTTAAAACTTTGACAGATCAAGAGTGGAGTTTTCAGGAGGCTGAAAATTCAGGGTTACTTGATTAGTGTACAGTTATTTTCACAACAGTGTTAAAATTTTACACATGTATTTTAACAATAACATTCCTTGGGGTTGCTTTTATGTCCCCTTTGGAAAAGGGGGCTTATCGGTTTGCATCTATTGGTCAGTTTATCTGTTGGTCATTAGATTAATTGTTTTCTGCACAATGCATGTATCTTGAGGACCCTTTGCTTGACATACCACAAACTAAGTACAATGGTACCTGCTAAGGAGTAGATGTGAGGACACATGATCAAAGGTCAAATTACTCTGGACATAAGAAGATAGTATCACTAAATTCTTGAGAAACCTTTGCATGGCAGACTTAAAATTTGGTACATTAGTACACTTTAGTAGATTTGTTTCTAAAAAAAATATTGATCAGGTAAATATGCGGATCTGAAATATAAATGAATTAAAATAAGTGTATATTACTATGCTGTTTATGTATTTTATGTAAGGGATGTTTCCAATGCAGAAAGTTTAAAAAAAAACTATTGATCAAACCTAGTTTGAATGTCAGGTATTTTGAGATATAATGCAAAAAGTGATGACGTTGATACCATATGGGACATACTTTAATACTGATTATGATTTTGTGAAAATAGATTTAGACTTAACCACTATTTTTGTTGATATGTCAATTTTGATATGCAGTTGAACTTTGGTATCTGGAACACGGATATCTTGAATACCATGGATATGTCGAAGTGTTTAGGAAGTCCCAACTACTTTAAGTATTTTACCTTGGATTTCTCGAATTCTCAAATATCTTGAAAGTTTTTTTCTAAGCCCCATCGAGTTAAGATACAATGTTTGACTGTATATATTTTTTAATAGTTTATTCAATAAAATTAGAAAAGACTGGGGAATAGGCAAAAGTACCCGGGTACATGTACCTCGTCCTCTCATGTGATAACTAAAGCCTTCTTTACACAAACTTAACAGAAACTTGCTGGTTCCATCACACCTGGTGCTGTGTTACACCTGACAGGTATCACAGGTGAGGAACTGACCAGGGAGGATTTCAAAACCTACTTCAATGATTACACCCCTGTGGCCTGGGTAGACTTTGAGAAAGGTGACAACCAGGTAAAATTCATTGTATTCTATAAGAGAATGTCTAATGAGTAGAAGAGTATCAGAAGTATGAACAGTGTAGGGTGTTTACCTATTAACAATATAGTGTACATCAAGTTTAGTCATATATTAGTCTTCTTATTTTCACAGAAAACAGAATTTTCATTTCAGCTAAATGTAAAACTTGATGTTTTGATGTCTAAAGTTAAGGGATGAGCATTTGAAAAATAAATTGGTTACTAACAAGCACATATTATGGTAGTTTTTTCACCCTTTTCATTATCAATATTCACATGCTTGTATGCAGCACTATGCATCATAAAACTTTTTCCATAATTAAACTTCCTTGCATTAATTTTTAGGCCTGGGTCAGATTTACTGAAGCCAACACAGCAAAATCAACACTAGAGAAAGCAATGGCAGACCATGATGGAAAACTTGAGATTTCAAATCTTGTTTTAGAAGGAAGAATTCTGGAAGGTACTGTTCTGTTACTACAGCTTATAGAATAACCAACATTAATGTTTGGTATGAATAATTATACTCAGTGTCAAGTAATATGCTCAGTGATTATAGATGTATTACTTTTATGCCCTTTAATATTTTAGCAGAGATCATGAATAAGCAAACAACCTACAAAAATATGTGAAAATTAAGATAATTTTAAGAAAATCAGGAAAATAGGAAATAAGTTTTGTACTGCGGATTTTGGGCAAGATCTTCAAGTTTACCAGACAAAAAGTGCATTGTAAAATAGTTTAAGTTCCCCACAGAAAAATTTCATGCAAAAAAATGACAATTTTAGGAGATGAAGAAATGGATCACTGGAGGAAAATTTTTAAAGAAAGAGCAGATAGTATCAATCGCTTTAAGGCATACAGAAAAAGAAGACATGGGAAAGGTCACGGAGGACCCAGGGTAAGTATCCCAATCAGGTGTCTGTTCTTAGAAAATGATAAAATACCAATGGAAGAAGTGTTTAGAATTGCTTGGCACTAGATCATATGTTTCTTTGTGATATATTGAATTATTAGAGAGGTTAAGCAGATGACCATGTACGTCTACGTGTACGTGTAGCTAGAGAAATCCCCGATTTATGTCATCAGTTTTGCATACCGCGTAATTCTACAAGTTGTACACAACGATTAGATTCATAAGTACATGGAGGTAAGAATGTGTAGCTTCTTAAACTCAAATTATAGAATATATATATTTCAGGCGGTGTTTGTTGTGATGTTGAGAGTTTATTACGTACATTTATGTATCTCCTTTAATCAAAGTCATAGAATTATTTGATACAAAAGGATTGTAAATTGACTTGTTGAAATGATGTTTTACGTGTACCGGTACACGTACAGTTTGTTAAACAGAACGTGATTTTAGTTATGCAAAAACACTTCTAGGTTTACACGTACATGTAGACGTACACGGTCAAATGCTTAACCTCTCTATTATCAGAAAGTGAAAAAAATTATGCAATTGTAAAATTAGAGGAAATGGTTGATAAAAGCATCTTTGATAATGCACAAATTACACTGTATTTTTGTCTAACAGGACAAGAAGAAGAAAAATGAGGATGGAGATGGGGGTGGTGACGAGGAGGACAGTGACGGAGGAGAAGAGGATGATGCAGGGGATTGAGGTACGTCTAATCATCCACAACAAAATCTCTTAAACATTTCAAAACTACTTTTGTAGCTACATTCAAAAAAATACTGTAAAATGCTCATGTAATAGAATGTTCACATCCTGTACGTGTTCTTATTTTAGCATATTTGAATTTAAAATTGGCACAGAGGCAAGTCATAGACAGACTTTTATATTTATGAGAAGTTTATAAATTTTTGCTTGTAACAAATGAGACACAGGCACCAAAATATAAATACAGCTTAAATAAAAAACAATACATGCAGTAGTGAACTGTTTTATCTATCAAATCAATTTACATGTGTTTCTCCATGTTAAAGTAAGATTTTAATTGGTGTTCATCAATATGCATTCAGATAAGTGGTAAGATTTATTAAGATAGTGACGATCTGGGATATCTAAATACTGTTTCTCAATTTTTCAGAGCAGGGGTGCTGAAATAGGACTTGACTATTTGAACTGCAGACTTTTAAACACATTTTACAGAAGTAAAAAGTGAGCAGATTGGAACAACAGGACACATGTTGTGTTCTAGTGTAGATGTACATCATAAGAAAACAGTGATTTTATTTATGGCTCCTGATGTTGGCCATGTTTAGAGTGTTGTACAGAAACATTTTGTGTCAATTTTTAGTTTTCATCATCGAGAACAAATACATTTACCTATAAGGCGAATCAGTGTTTGTTTTCTTACTACAGCAATCATGTTTTTAAGACCAGAAAATCTTATGCGATGGTAAGGTGTCTGTTGTCAGTTATTTTGTCTGTAAACAAATTTTTAGAAAGCTACCCCGCCATCAGTTCTAGTCTTACTGCAAGAAAACTTGGTAAGCGACTGAAGTCCACAAGATACATAATTCTTTTTTATTGGGTTTCAATTTCCTTGAACAATGTTATTGTGCTTACTTAAATTAAAAATTCAATGAAATTCGTTCAAAGGCTACTCCTGCTACAGTTATAAAATCAAAAGTGATACTTCTGCCAAAGAAAATATAAAGACTCTAAAATCCAGTAAAAAAAATGGTTCAAGGGCTACAAAACTTTGACTTTTTTATTTGTTTTTGGTCTTCTCACATAAGCTCCTCTTGTCTTTGACCATTTCAGATAACTATACCAAGCAATGATTCAATTCACAGAGTGAATCTTGCATCCCATCTTTACAGTAGGGGTTTCAAGGGTATAGGGCTAAGTTAGGAAAAGTATTTTATATGTAAACTTGTTTGTGCTGGATATTTAGAAATATATTTACTTATTTCACTAATCACCGAGATCTCTACCAATCATGTAAAAGCCATTTTTCACAAGTTCAGGTTACCAGGTGGACTAAATTGCTCATATGAAAATACATTAAACTTGACCTATATTTACTCCAAGATTTACAGGAGACAAACCGCTTTACTTTACTCAGCGGTGAGCCGTATTATAAGGTATCAGTAATGAAATCCATGTATGATGGTTTAGTTCCTGGCCCTATAGATAGTTTTCAGTAGGCCCAAATTAGCAAGTTATTTCCCGTTGGCCGCCATATTGGAGGTCAACATGCTCATATTCCTTCATTATTCAACCAACTTTAACTTTTTATACTGGCCATTGTGGGGTAAGAAGCATTGTTTTTCTGAAAAATATACATTTGTTAAAGCCTCCTTTATTTCATAATTTTTATTCTATAAAGATTTTCCCCCTAATATTTCTGCTACATCCTCTTAGATTTGGTAAGACAAAGAGGAAAAATTACCAGGTTGACCACCAAGATGGCGGCCAAGGGAAATAACTCAGAAAATACGTCATGAAAACTATCTATAGGTGGGCCAAGTTTGAAATGCATTGAATGCAGGGCTGTCCCTAAGACCCAGGGGCCAGGGAATTTCCCCACCTATAATGACATGATCCCCTGGTTATTCTGGTATTCCCCCTCAACCCCCTGTTAGGGAAGGATCCCCAGACCCCAGTCTCCTTTTATAATGTCCCCTGTATTTCCATTCTTAGGGACAATCCTGCATTGAATCATATATGAAGCTACTTTAAAAATTCGAATTCATTTTTGTGATCTAGGTTAAGGCAGAGTTGATCATGTTTTCAAACCTGTCTTAACTCCTGGTCATATAGCAGACAAAAAACATGTTCTGTACCAAATCAAGTTAACCAGCAAACACACAAGGCAAACTACTACTCACTAGAATACTTCAAACATTTTGAATTTCCATAAAAAATATTTACATGTAATTATTGTGCCGGTGTATTGTCTTTCTCAAATGAGGACAGTGTATGGGTTTTGCAGTGGTATTTAACATCCACCTCATTTCTGTATGATTAACTTGGTTTTGTACATTTTGTTTTGATCATTTCATTACCTGTTAAAAACTTTTTTTTTCCTAGTAAGATCATAATATTGATATGTTATACAGTGTACAAATGTATTTCAAAGATCAATGTCGGTGGGCAATGAGAGATTGAAAATGTGTATAGGCTGTAACATGGACCATCAACTTTACAGCGTAGTAGTCCTTTACTGGTGAAATTGACGGATAGCTGTCAGTCAGTCTATCTTACTTGGTTTTCCTGAATTTTTATATAGATACATGCATGTACATGTATTTAGCTGATATTTGGTATGGGTTCATCTTGGTGAGTTACAGATCATGTTTGCATTTCATTCTGTTTCAATGACTTTTGACAGAATAATGGCACATACTGTGAGGGACTCGGTATTGCTCTCAGAATGCTTGCTTAATATGTTAATTTTGTAATTTTTCATTAAAATATATTCAATCTCTTGTGTGTTTTTCACTGTTGAAACCTTTGATTCAAGAATATGTCATCAAGGTCATATAATGACGGTCAAGGAAATTGTTTAGGGAGGGAGAAATCCTTTATTTTTGGTCGAAAAAATGTGTTAAGATTTTTTGTTTTGAGTAAATTTTATGAGTGTAAACATTTTAGTAAAGTTCCTTTATTTGTACAATCAACATTTAATTAAGGACCCTCTCTACACTTGAGCAAAATGTTTTTTAGAGAATGAGAAAATTATATTGTACAAAAGTGTAGATATTGGCCATATCTATCTCGTTTTTAACATAGGATACCTTGCATTTCCCCCAGGAAAAAAAATGTTTAAAGATTATGAAATATTGATGAACAGAAATCACTATTGTTCACTTATGTGAGGAAAATTCATGCCAATATAGTGTTCAATTAATTTATCTTGGCCTATTAAAATGATAAGAATGCTTGAATTGATTACAAATTGAGTAAAATCACGGTTGATTTCAATTTCTTTTATTTTAGTTCTAGGGGCAGATTACTCTTAACTGCATAAAAATGCCACAGAATCGGAACTTTTTAGTGTGCAGTGTAGAGAGGGTTCTTTATATAAGATAATAACAGCAATAGGTCTTTAAAGCAATTAGACCAATATTTGCTCCAAAATTTATATTGTGTAATGGATTTAACTTTGAGCATTATCTCTATATATTTCACCAATTAAAAACAGTAGGATATAATAGTCATGCATTGAGTTAAAGACACATAAAACAATTCAATTTATTCTCACATTGTGTAAAACAACGTAGAGAAAATACAAAAAATGACATCAAGGAAAATACATGTGCATGATGCAAGAGTGTACAGTTTACATTAACCTGGAAGGGTAACTCTCTTATTAACTATACAGTGTATTGATGAATTTACATAAGATTATTGATGATGGATATACCTATATATAAATTTGAAAAATTAAAAAACACTTGGTCATTTTTCATTTTCCACATTTTGCGTCATCCAGACATTTTTTAAACCACATTTTTGTAAAATATTCCGCTACAATCCATTTGAAATTAAAATCAATATTGTTGTACAGTGAGCTATATGAAAAAAAAAACAAACAAAATATGAGACAACTTTGTCTCTTTACATTTCAGCAGTTTTACTACTAATTTATAACTGTCCAGTAGATTGCAGTTTTCCCTTAGCTTAAATATTTCCAGAGTACTGAAGAGTTAATAGCAACGTTCAGAGAAGAGCCATTTTATCATTAAATTATATCTTTTACACACTCTCTAGATCGTCCAAACATCACCTTGCCTCAATCCACTTATAACATCAATAATGTTATAATTTTTCAGACAGGTTGTTTAGTCCAATAACATCTTGTATTATAAAAAATCTTCAGTCATTAAGATACAGTGCGAAAAGAAGAGGAGACAAAATTTCTCCCTGACGAACTCCATTTCGGCAGAAAATACATGTATATTCAGAAAAATCATTATTTATAAAATATTGTAGATCTACAATCATTATAAATATTAACAATAACTTGAAGGCATTTTCCTGTAACATGATATTCAACATTTTTTTCCCCACAACCTACTCGCCATACTTTATCAAATGCAGCCTTAAAATCCATGAAGGCACAATATAATTTCTTTACAGACAACATATATCTACGGTAAAACAGGCTTATAAAGAAAGCGTCTATAACGAATTGATGCTTACAGCTAAGTGATTTTCATTCCCCATGACCTTTTATATATAAATATATTGATATAATGAATTACACATGTACGCTTATAGTGAAGCAAAATCATCTGTCCCTGGTACTTCGTTATAAGCGTGTTTTACTGTACTTGCATACACCAAGTAAAATTCAGTACAGCATATACATTTACATACATACACATCAAGTAAGAGTTAAGTAGTATACAGCATGCATATTTACATACATATTCATTAAGTAAAAGGTACAACATTAGTGTCACTGGCAAAGTAACAAATAATATGTTGAAATGGCGCAGTCATTCCTTCTCCTTTAATTAAATAACACCCCTACATTCATGACCTTTAAGTTTATTGGGTAGGATAAGGTTATTGTAATTAGAAAAAATACGATGTCAATTTGAGTGATACTTCAAGGATTCGGTTTACATATTCTGATTCATATATTTTTTCATTTTATCAAAATACTTCAATAATTGCAAATTGCACATTTTAATTAAGCTCACTGAGCCGAAGACTCAAGTGAACTTTTTTTTTATTAGACTTTGTCCGTTGTTGTTGTCATCGTTGTCGTAAACTTTTTACAATTTCCTTTTCTTCTCCAGAACCACTGGTCCAGTTTCAACCAAACTTGGCACAGAGTATTCTTGGGTAAAGGGGATTTAAGATTGTTCAAATGAAGGGCCACACCCTCTTCCAAGGGGAGAAAGATAAGATGGGGTAATTTAAAAATCTCAAAAACCACCGGGCCAGAAAAGATGAAACTTAACTGAAAGCTTCTTGGCATAGTGTAGATTTTTGTTTGAATCATGACCCCAGGGTAGGGTGGGACCACGAAGGGCAATCAAAGTTTTACATAGGAAAACAGGAAAAATCTAAAAAAAAAAAAAATTTCAAGAACAGCAAAGCCATGAACAGTCATATTTATATGGAAGCATCATCAAGTAGTTTGGATTCAATTTTTTTCAAATCATGACTCCCGGGGGTAGAGTAGGGCTACAATGGTCAATCAAATTTCATAGGAATATATAGAGGAAAAAATCTACTGATGAAGAACAAGAAGTTCGTAGTTACTCATGATCAGATGAGCATTGTGGACCATGGGCCTCTTGTCCTTAAGCATTGTTAGTTTCAATTTATATCTTCAAATCTTAAAAAAAACACTTTCTTTGCAATGAACGTAATGAGGAATGTTATATGTGCTTTTGAGAAAAGTTTAAAGTTTCATACTGATGGGAATCGTCTCTTATTCCTGGCACTGTAACATCTTCATCACTGCCTGGCTTGTGCGATTTCTCAAGGCATTTGGGTGATCTTCGTCTGTTTTATAAAAATAAACAAATTATATAAAATGAACTGAAATAAAGTGTAACTGGTTGTTCAGTAAGGTTAGGATTGTTATGTGTATCACCTGGAGCAAATGGCCGTGATAACTATGACCACTAGTGCTATAACTGATGTAGGAACACCAACCATCACAGCCAGTGGAACAGTGTCCGAATCCCTATGCCGCTCTACTCCTGTATAACACACAAATAATTAAAATAAAAACTAGGATGAATTGATCCATAACTATGATGTCGGACATATTTGACAACAATTGATTAAAAATTGGTATCAGACTATCTGTATTGCTAATAAGTAGCACATCTCTTCTTTTAAAAAATCTTAATGTAGATATTGTCTTCTTTGATTGATAGCATATAATTGGTGATGTTCGGATCTAGCTTCCCCTACCAACGATTTTTTAAATGACCAAGAGTTGAGATTATCTAATGCAATTTAGCTCAGATACACCATATATAGCTTGAAATATGAAATTCAACTCACAATTCAATGAATCATAAAGCAATGGTTTTCAAATTACTTTTTAGTTTGTCACATTTCTTCCCAATGTATCCCTCCGCACAAATTCTACACGAACCATCTACTGGGTCGCATGTTTTGTTTCTGTAGCAATGTCCGCTGCAGTTGTGTAAGCAATCTTTTCCATAAAACCCAGAAGAACAAACTAGATCGAAGAAAAAATATTATTTATATTTTATTGAACTTATGCGTAAAAGTAATTAATTTTGTAATTATATGTACAGGTTGCTTTCAAGCACGAAAATATATTGCACAGTCAATCAGTCTAGTTCTAAGCACATTTTCAAAAAAAAAAAAATCACTTTTATCACAATTTTGTTAAAACGGGCAATATGAAGTAGGTGCATCATTTTTATTGGATTATAGTACTGGTTTAATTTCTTCCTCTAACCCCCCCCAAAAAAAAATCATTCTTATGGCATCTAGATCTAATATGGTCTCAATTTTGACGAATAATAACCGAAATGACCCCGACGGTGTATAGTATTGGCATTGAAAGCATAGTGAGCGATTAACTTTTTAAAAAATTGCAACTTTTCTGAAATTTACCCATATTTCTTTGGGATTGCAATGGCAGCCATTCTGGAAATTTAAAATCTAGAAAATTTGGGAGATATTTGCACATTAATTTTATGCACTTTGATACCCCTTTAGAGGAAAATATCTAAATAAGTTTCCCTGGTAAGTAAAAAAGTTTGTTTAACCAATTCCATTTTTTGGCAGTTTGACTTATCGCAAGAAATTTAATGTTTCAAAAGAATTGGCTGGGCAGAAAATGAGATTAAAAAAAAAAGAACAAACGCAGAGGACCAAAATCTACAAAGCAGTTTATTTCATCTTTTACATTGCTTCGAAGAAAAAGAATTCAATTATGTAATTTTTATAAAAACAAATAATTGGTATATTTAGAGTTGTCAAGCAATAGACGAAGTTGATAAAAAGACTTTGAAAAGAACTTCTAGAGTATGTGATATACTCTATACTCGTAAACCAAGACTCTCTTGTACGACTGACCTTTACAGTCTAGTCTTAGCGAATACGAGGAAAATGTATACGTTTGTCACCGTAAAAGCAAAGACAACATGGGACAAAGATATGGAAAAACAGTTGCAGCGGTCAACATCGTACTTAATAAATCTCAAAAGAAAGAAGCCGCGAAGCAAAGATGGTTTATAGCGTACTTCACACTGACTTTAGAGTAACATCAGGATCTATCAACCAACATTACTCTCTTGGGCGTATGTCAGAACTTAGCGATCTAGTTTTAGCGATGACGAGGAAATTGTAGAAGTTTGTAGCTGTAAAAGCAAAGACAACATGGACAATGATATGGAAAAACAGTTGCGGCGGACAAATCATATTTAAAACATTGCAAAAGAAAGAAGCCGCGAAGAAAAGATGGTGTACTACACTCTC